ACTACGATAACTACGATAGCGCTACGATTACTACGATACTACAACTACGATAACATTTCTTAATTATCTTAATTAACTTTTCGATTAGATTTTTGTTAGATGAAAATATAGTTTGTGGAAAAATTTCTCAACTATTTATTTCAAATTTTATCCGTGTTTTTTCTATGCGTCTTCTTGAGGAATTTCCTGTGATCGAAAAGGCAATAACCAGTTCAGTTCACTGTTAAATGGGAGATTTTGAGATGAATTTTGTGGCCTTAGAAGTGTATCTTCTTAATTGCTAGTAAAACTGACTCAATCCAGCATCAGCTGAGCAATGACAAAGATCGCCGGCCAGTCTTTCCAGTGAATTTTGTGTGTGCAACGTTTAAGTGATTTCTTCGCTTTCCTTTCTTCCAATTTTGGTTGACAGCTGAATTTTAGTGTTCAGGAGGTGAAAAGGAAAAGATTAGATTAAGAGAAATTGATAGAATTAAGGCTATCTGGAATGGGGTAAAATGTGTTAAAATCTCGGCTTATTACAGGTTGATCTCAGCCGCTCCAGGCGGTCCGTTCTGGGCTCATATTTCTGTTATTTGTCGACGAAAACTATTTATTTGTTTTTAAAATAAAAATACATATAATTTTCTGTATATATTCAAGTTTTCGTGATCTTAGAATCAATAGATAATTTTTTGAAACCTTAAAAATTTCTTGTCTAAAAAACTAGCGAGCTTTTTTTTTACGGGATTCCTACAAAAAAAAACACTTTTTTCTTTGCAGTTTTTCTCTAAAAGCTAGGCTTTGTTATGTTTAAAATAGATTTGGTTCAAAAAATATAAATACTTTAATACTTTCTATAAGAACATCGATAGAGAAACCCCTAGAATTTGAGCTCACTGTTTTTGACAACCTATTTTCAGTAAACTTAAAACAAAATTATCTAGTGATTTTATGATCATGAAATCTTCAATGTGTACAGTAAACGATACTAATTTTATTTAAAAAAAGGAAATAAGTTGGCTTAGGTCTACAAATAACAAAAATATGAGCCTAGAACGGACTGCCTAGAGCGGTTGAGATCAACCTGTAATAAGCCGAGATTTTAGCACATTTTACCCCATCCAGACAACCTTAATTCTATCAATTTCCTGGAATACCTCGAAGAGAATAAAAAGAAATAGTTGCTTAGGTCTACAAATAACAAAAATATGAGCCTAGAAGAGGACGGATGATGAAAACGCGTTTTTCTCTTTTCTCTTTAGTTCTCTTTAGGTTTTACGGTAGGGAATAAGCCAATTATCGAAATCTCTTTTCAAAAAGAATTAATTTTCAATCCTCACCCCTTTCGATCAAAACAGAATCCATGTAGATTTCTTTGCTAGGGAAACATTCTTTCAAACACAACGCCCACTCTCGCCTGCCGAGTCAGAATATGCTTGATTGGTGAGAGGGAGAGCCTAAAATCAATTTGCATTTGCAGAAAGGTACATTTGGATTTTAAGCACAGATAAGTTAACTGTAAATAATCTGGAGATAGAGTAAGAATCCGTATACGCCTTCTAAAAGGTGTTTTGAAAATTGCCGTTATCTTTTCTTCAACTTTTCTCCGTTCTACTTAATTTTGAAATCATTTCGATGATGGAAGGAGTCGTAATTAAGTAAAGCTGAACTGAGCTCTCGGAAAAGCTGAAGAAAATCTGGAGTCTGAAATTCCGATCTTTTAGAAAAGCATTAAATCCCGCACCTCCAATGTTGGATCTTTCCTCTCGAGGGCATTCTGTGCAAGGCTGAAGTTGAGAGATATCTGTTTTTTGGTATTTGTGGACCGTTCATCGTTGAGACACAACTAAAAATAGAATAAAAGAGACTAGTAGCAGTAAATTTATTTTGTGAAAATCTATTCAAATAAAGATTCACCCATCAACTTGTGTCTCAAAACACCGAGAAATCCCTCGATGATCCCGCTTTCTCATCAAAACACTGGAAAGTTGGTCGACTCTTGAGGTCACCTGAAATGTTGAAATTATATAATTATAATAAAAGTGATAATAAAAATGATAATAGCTAAAGTATTTGAATGCTGCAGCTATAAATGCTGTAGCTATAAATGCTGTAGCTATAAATGCTGTAGCTCTAAATGCTGTAGCTCTAAATGCTGTAGCTACTAGACTTGAGGAATCTCGATGTGAATGCCAATAGTCGTGCAACGAAAAATGACATATCTCGGCCAATTTCACTCTAATCTTTTGATTTTGATATCATTTGACGCAGAATTTCATTTTCCATCAATTCAAATCAGAGACAAATAGATTGAGGCAAAATTGGACAAGCTATGACATTTTTCCCTTTGTACACCTATCGACGTTTCCCATGTCTACAGGGTGCGGCAAAAGTTCTGACACTTTTGTGTAAACAGTTTGACTTGGAAAAAACGCGATTTTTGAAAAACTAACTCCGGATTATAAAATTCAGATATTTTACCCCCTAATATACTTTTTACACAAAATTGCCATCCCAACAATTGATGTGGATGTTTAAAGGTCGTTACCGCCTTGTTTTTTGCTGTTGAGATTTGGGTGCCCTTCGTAGAATCGCTTGAAAATCTTTCGTTTTTGAGATATTAAAGCTTTTTGTGGCTTGTTTTCAAGAAAAACTCAGTTCTATCAAATGGTAACAGCAGTTTTGGAAAAATTTCATTCTGCAAAGTTTAAGTCCAACTTTCGCAAAAATCTTCAGCGACCAGACCGGGATATAAAAATTCTCGTCAAAAAGTTATTGAGAGTTGAAATCTTTTGATGAAAATGGCTATATTGGGGTGAAACTACCTAAATTTTTAGAATCCGGCGTTAGTTTTGAAATTCACGGGTTTTTGAAGCCAACAAAATTACGCTTACAGGAAAAGTGTCAGGACTTTTGCCGCACCCTGTAGTAGCTGGGATAGGAAAAAGTGTTCTAGAGAGGTTACAGGAATAGACACTGACATGTCGCTGTGTCGTAATATCGCCAGTTTTCATTTAATTAGCTCAATTTTTGTATTATTTGATAAGGCTTACAAAAAAATGACCTTATAAATCGCTCAGAAGCACGGTCGATTGCACTCAGTGGCTGTCGCTTCATCTCGGCTACACACACTTTGTTCACCGCATGAGCACTGAAAAAAGTTGAAGCATGAAGAAGTGGAGAAAAAAAGAAATAGAAGATTTCCGGAGGGGCATCTAACCCTCGACCTTTGCTTTTCGAGATTGCTGGGCTCTAACCACTGAGCTATTCGGTACCTTAACTTGGCAAGAGAAAAAGAGAAAGGAAGAAGAAAGGAAGAAAATAACCGAAACTAAGCTTGTACTTTTTAATAGAAAACAAAATTATTTAAATTTACATGGATTTCCATTTAGAGTTCACGTTTATAATAGAAAAATTGAAATTGAAAGGTATAAATTAGCATTTAACAAATCCCTAAACAAAAGTAAGCATTTTAAAACTTTCAGAGTATTCAATTTTCTACAATTTTAGTATTATTGAAATGAGATGAAATGAAATTTTACCTGTCTAACATGCCCAAAACCCGTGGACGCTTTCTTGAGAATATCTGAGCCGTCTTTTGTGATCTGAAATTGTTTAAATTGAGATATCAGATATTCAGTTATCAGATATTCAGTTATTTCTTAAAGGGATACTTTCTTAAACTCTTTGAGCTCCCAGGTCATTCTTTTCATTTTTTTTTTCTTCTCGAACTTTCCGTTCTCTCATCAATTTCATCCTCTTTTCAGACAATCGAATGATGTGACGAAAACATGAAAAAAATATATCGATATTGGATGGATTGGATATCCTTTTTGAGATAATCAAAAGTCTAGAGAGTCTGGAGAAGAAACGGGAAAAGAACGGGTCAAAGTTTGGGTGAAAATTGATGAAAACAACTCTCAAAGTGCAGCTCCAAAACTGGTACTTTTGTTCCTATAAACACACATCGTCTAGCGTATCAAATTCCCCCATTTTTCTCGTGAAAATGAAGAGTTAAAGGCACGAGAGAAATGCGCTTTTGAATAAAGAAGCTATTAGAATAAAGCTATTTAAATAAAGCTATTTGAATCAAGTTATTTGAATACTGCTATTCGAATACTGCTATTTGAATAAAGCTATTAGAATATAGCTATTAGAATATAGCTATTTGAATATAGCTATTTGAATAAAACTATTTGAATAAAACTATTTGAATAAAACTATTTTGTGATTGATGGAGTAGGGTTTGATTTGGGGTAAGTAAGGTAAATAAAACCAGAATCAGGAACAGGCCAGCCTTCGTTTATAGGCTAGATTTGAAAAATCTTTGATCAAGTGCACTACTCGATTGCATTGTAACTTGTTTTACATTCTATCTTTATCTGAATAGTTCAATTTTCTTCAATACATGTATTCTATTTAGACTTAAGTCCTAATTTGTTAAAGATGAGAAAAGAGTTTGCTTTGATCGATTTTCTACTTTGAATTACTTTGAACTACTTTGAACGCATTTTCTAAGCCGAGCCGCTACTTTGAACGAATTTTCTAAGCCGAGCTCGAATTTGCTTCGAAATTCGGTCAATTTTGAGTGTGTTTGAGTGTTTCTTAAAGAACCCACCGATCCAACGAGCTGATCACCTGAATCAGCTTCACCAAATCGCAATAGAAAACAAAGAGTTGATAAAGAGTACAGTATTCTCATTGCTCAATACTAAAATAAGCAGACACAAATAGTTGGGCAAAAACTGGGTTTAAAAGGTGGAAAATTTTTGATTGAAAAAAAAGGGGAAAAGACAAGGACAAATCTTTGCTTTTTTTTTCTGGTGGACGGTGCGTTTAGAACTGAGAAAATGAAAAGAGAAGGAAGGGTTTTTGCATTGTTATGTTTTGTATTTCTTTGGGTATTTGTCACAGCTGAATGGATATGGTCAGACAGGGGGAAATCGAGGGAAAGATGGGAAAGGGATCGCAGAGATCGCTGATTCGTCACTCGATCTCATACATTCAAATCGATAAATAAGTAATCGAGGTGATCAAAAACAACACATACTATTGTTTTGTTTAGAAACTTGGTAATTCCGCTGATCAAACTGGCTTTCAACTTGGTCCTAGAGCCAGATCAGATCCAATCAAGGCAAGGCCAGAGTCTGATCAAAAATCAGACCCAGCTCTGACTAGATCTAGCTACAAAAGGAATTGAACCTGAGCAAAAAGGTGAATGGCTTGCTCTTGATACGAGCTCCTTATCTACTACACCACAAAGGGATCATTTTCGGCCTGTATCAGGCCCTGTATTAACCAGGCAAGTCAAGCCAGGACAGGACTTGGCTTTTGATCAAAACAAGAGCAAAACGAATGCTTGCTATTCAAATTGACTTTGTGACCTGCAAGGCTGATCAAGGCTAGACCTGACTTTTGATGAGTAGCCAGCTTTTTGGCTTCTAGCTGAAACTTTGCTCGATCCAATAAAATCGCTTTTGGAGCAGCCCTGAAACTGTACTTTGTTGTACTTTGTGCACCCTTTCTATTACACTCTTTGTTTTCTCGTAAATTGAGCTATTTTTACAGAGAAATTGAGGGCTGAGTTTGCCAGGAAAGGGGTGCGTTTACCCCTCCTGTCTTGAAATTATGTATTAACAAGTGAAGTGTACTGTTTTCAAATTTTTCAATCAGCTTGCTTTTTGATTTTTTCAAATTTTCCAATCAAGATCTCATCTTCAACTCTAGACCTGAAATCTCGTTCTATCCTCAAATCACGGACATCTTTTAAATGATTCATTTGTGATTTGTGATCCTGCTAACTTTGTCACTATTTTGTGCTTGTTTACGAGAAAAGGGGGGAACTGAAACTACAAGGACAAATTGAAAACGTTTACGAAAAAGATTTCGCAGACATTTAAAAGTCGATAAAGTTTAAATGAGTTCTTGCAAATGAAATTGACAAATACGAAGGAAAGATTACGGTGGAAAGTTTAAAGGTTTATCTCCCGTAAATACTCTAATAGCTCTAATAATTATCCCACTCCAATAAATGATGGTGTAAAAGCGAAAAGAGAAGAAAACTTCAAAGTCTAAAAAAAGCCTTTCAAAAGCCTTTTAAAAAAAAATTGCCAATGAAATCTTGAATGTTGTGGAATTGACAAAGGTTGGAAGGGAAAGATTACGATAGAAAGGGAAAAAGAAAGGGTGATTACCTACCGTAAATAATAGATTCTATTATTAACCATCACAACGGGTTTAAAATCGATTTTTTAATCTGATCAATACCAATTTTTCTATGCTATCCAACTAAGAGAAATTGAAAGTTTTATTAAAATTTGTCTACTCAAAAAAAAGTTAATAGGATGAAGAGGTTTCCAGGCTATTTGTTCTAGGTTTACATCTATTCTTTATCTAGCCGAGGAAGGAATTGAAGGAATTCGCTGTAAGCTTGCGACGGAAATTGAGAAACATAAAATGAATGTTTCAAATTGAATAAACACCATCAAATGGCTTGTAAGTGATGTCTTAATTTCAGATTTTGGAAACGCTTAAAGAACCGCTCATATCTCGACACCAGTACGTTTATTTCGGCGCGCTTTGGTATCAAATTCCTAGTTTCCCTGATTCTTTCTTTCTTGTGACTAGTCGATTATGTATTCTTTCTGTCGACTGACAGCTTATTCCTCAGAAAACAGAAACGTAGAATAAAACAAAAGTAATAACAATTAAAATCGTGTTTTAACTTTTGTAATGAATTTCTGTAATGTTTTCTGTAATGAAAGTTCAAAATGAAGTCAAACTTGAACATTCAAGGGAAGCGGAGTAAACACAAACTCAAACTAGAGGACTTAAAGAGGAATTAAAGCCAAATTTGTGGCACAAACAAATTAGCTGAGCTTAAGAAACATATGAGTCGACAGAAAGAAAACATAAATCGACTAGTCACAAGAAAGAAAGAATCAGGGAAACTAGCATTAACTCTCTCGAAAATCAAGCTGAAAAAAAGTGTACTGTCTTTACGTGGGAAGAACTTCTGCAAAAAAAACGTCAAACTTTCAAAAATAGTTTTCCAATGAGCAAAAGCCATCTCAAAAAAAAGATTTTTGAATCGTTGAAACACCAAAAAGTTCTCCCCACGCAAAAGCAAAATGCTCATTATGTATACGCTTAAATTAGCAGTTTATAAAGGACCCGAAATGAAAGAAAATTGTTGAATCCGTTTGAAAGAAAATTATTTATTTTATCTTTCATTTTGAAATCATTTTTTGTATTTTTTTGTCTTCCTAAATGGAGACTTTTTGGATTTACGGTCGTCTAGAAGCGAATCCTAAATACGATTGCGGGTTTGGCTTTGAAGCTTTAATCATACTTGATCAATTTTTAATTGTTAATTGTTATTTTGTTAGCATTTGTATTTGTTTTTTTTTATTGAATTGTTATTTGTTAAATTGTTAAAGTGATGAACGTTTTAGGAAATAGAAACCAAATGGAAACCAAAAAGGAACCAAATATGAACCCAATAGGAACCAAATAGGAACCCAATAGGAACTACAAGGAAACGAATAGGAACCAAGTAGGAACTCAATAGGAACTAAATAGAAACTACAAGGAACCAAAAAGGACCCAAACAGTAACCCAATATAAACCAAATAGGACCCAAATAGGAACCCAATAGGAACTACAAGGAAAGAAATAGGAACCAAGTAGGAACTCAATAGGAACCAAATAGGAATCAAATAGGACCCAAATAGGACCCAAATAGGACCCAAATAGGAACCAAATAGTAACCCAATAGGAACCAAATATGGACGAAAGAGGACCCAAATAGTAACCCAATAGGAACCAAATAGGACCCAAATAGTAACCCAATAGGAACCAGATAGTAACCAAATATCTACCCAATAGGAACCAAATAAAAAAATGTTCAGCATTTCGAATGTTAAAATGTTTTATTTTTCAGCAACTACACTCCAGTCTCACCAAGATCACAAGCCCATTTATCGTTGGGCTTGTTTTATATCATTTTTAGCTTTTTCATTCAGGTAACGCAAAATACAGAGAAAGAGAAAAAGTATCGTAAACTTTGAGATTCTTTACTTAATCTGTTTGGCGATTATTGGAAGGAAAGAGCTTCTCAAGTATTCTGCGTATAAACTCATGTTTGCCTTGGGTGAGTGAAATGGTGCTGGAAATTGAATCTTCAATTGTTTTTTTTTTGTTTCCTTAATAGATTTTTTGACTCTAGCGTAATTGAAATGTAAAAATTTGCGGTAAAATCTTAAAAGTTGTCTTAAACAAGATTTAGTTTAAAGAAAAAGAAAGAAGTAGATGGTTAGAAGTAGGTTAGAAGTAAGTTAAAAGTAATTTAAAAGTAATTTAAAAATAAATGGTGGTTAAATCTTTTAACCATTTAAGATTCAAAATCAAGATTTAACCACCATTTATTTTTAAATTACTTTTAAATTGCTTTTAAATAGCTTTTAAATTGCTTTTAAATTACTTTTAACTAGAGTTCGGCAAACGAAACCAAAACCAAAACCAGACCAAAACCAAAACCAAAACAAACCAAAACTCAATTTGCATATAAATTAACATGTAAATTTAAAATTCGAGTGATACTCAGTTGGTTAACTGAATATCTTTAGAGACCCATTTTGAGTGCTCTTTTTATCTATGAAATATTAACTTTTTAAAAAAACTGTTTCACCCATCATGTAGCCAAGAATGCAAGGAATTTTTTGATATAAAACTTGAGCCGGCTTGGTTTTTTGGATTGTGAGAAATTTGACGGCGCTGTTTTGACTACCCCCCACATCGGCGCGAAATAAGGCAAAAATGATAGGATTTTTCTGGGAGTACCTTTTTTAGATGCGGAAAATTGTGCTGATTCCGAATCTGAAGGAATAATTTCCCTCCCTGACAGAAACTTTTTAAATTGAGTTTTAGCAGTTTTTTGGTCATTTTGTATGGGAAATTTTGTGGTACCCTGCAGTTTGGAGCTCGTAACTCGACAACGAGGGTCTAGAACCAAAAACGAAGGAGTAGATCTTATTCTAGAGATTCTTACGAATATTTTGATGCAAAAATCATAAAATTTGCTCAACTCTACAAAAAGTTATAACATTTTTTAAAGAAGAAATGAGAAAATTTAAAAATTCTCTATTGCACAATTGTTTTGTTCAAAAGAACAATGTAGCTATGTATCGTATTCACTCAAAACAATTAAGGAATATGCAAAATAATGACTGAAGTGCGCGGGAGAGTCGAACCAACAACCCCGTACTTTTGCGCTGGATTGACGTCGCGCGCCTTAGACCACTCGGCCACGGTTTCCCCTGATGTTTTTAGTGTATTTTGCAAAATTTCTTTAAAGATGTTATAACTTTTTGTAGAGTTGAGCAAATTTTATGATTTTTGCATCAAAATGTTCGTAAGAATCTCTAGAATAAGACCTACTCCTTCGTTTTTGGTTCTAGACCCTCGTTGTCGAGTTACGAGCTCCAAACTGCAGGGTACCACAAAATTTCCCATACAAAATGACCAAAAAACTGCTAAAACTCAATTTAAAAAATTTCTGTCAGAGGGATTTGGAAAATTCCTTCAGATTCGGAATCAGCACAATTTTCCGCATCTAAAAAAGGTACTCCCAGAAAAATCCTATAGAAAACGCATTTTCGCGCCGATGTGCCCCCCCCCCCAAAATCTCGCGGCCGAAAAAAGGACCAAAACACGACCTCGAAATTTCGAAAAAAGAGCCTATGGGATAGATTTTTGCATGCTGATTTCAAATCTGCAAACAGATTTTCGCTAGCTCCTCCCAGTCGCGAGATATTGGCGAGTTTTGGTTAGTTTTGGTTTTGGTTTTTGTTAAGTTTTGTTTTCCGAAGTCTACTTTTAACCATTTACTTCTTTCTTTTAACCTTTTTAACTTTTACTTCTTTTAACCATTTACTTTAGACATTTAATATTTAGGATATTTAGGGATTTGTGATTGTTTTGCTATTTTCACTGCTGGACATTTCACTGGATATTTTGTGGCTGTCGGAACCGTGTTTTGTGATTATCCTTTATTGATTTATTGTCTCGGAAGCTTTGGCAATCGTAAGTAGAAAATAATGACTCAGCTCTTGAAATCCTTGAATTGAAATGAAAAAAATAAAATAAAAGTTTAAACCCTAAAAATATGGAGGCTGGTGGGGGAGGCGATGTTTGTGAAAAAGGCCCAAAACCAAGAGCCAATTTGAATTGAAAAACTGTCCGTCTTGGTTTCGTTTAGGTTTTTGAAGTTTTCGGCATCGATTCCTGGCTGAATGATGGTTTAATTTCTAGTAAATTTTTGATTGTCCCATGAGAATCCGTTACAGAATCGGCGAATACGTCCTTTCTTCTGACATTTCTCCTTCTTCTCACGCGAATACTCGATTTAGCTGCCAGCAAATGGAAGGACTTTCTCTTCAAGGTTTACCACTTAAATCAACGACAAAATCGTTTTTGAGGAAAACCGAGCGTTGTGGTCGATTGGAATCTCAATTGGATTCGGAGTTTATCTCAATCTTTTCGGCACACCTGGTCTTTTCAATGCCGACTTCGGGAGTTGGATTTTCGATCCGATGATTCCGGGTCTCACAAATAATCAGGTACCCCGATTTTCTGTGTTTTCCTAGCGCTAATTTGCTTTAATACTTTACACGATTTCCTATCTGTCATTCAATTTCAGTTCGAGGCAAAAGTGCAGGGGATTTTCAATTTGATTTTCTGCTTTTCATTGGGCATTTTCACTCCATTAACCTATCTGCTGCAATGGAGAAGAGAAAGGAAATATGGACAAATGGTTTCCTACAAAAAACAGGTTTTTGTTGAAGCAAAAGAAAGAGTGGCTTGGGTTTTGAGTTTGATCTCGTACTGGAATCTCGTACTGGAACGAAGAATGTCGACTCTCCCTATCCATACCAATTGACCTACCGTCTTTCTTCTAATAGTGCCTTCTAAATTGACCCGGTTCACGATTAGAGGAAATCCGATAACCAAATCTACCTACTTATTTCCCGATCACAGGTCCTTCAGCAGGCCATCCTCGTCTCCGTGTTCCCTCTGCTCACTGCCACCGCCTATGCGACGTTGGGCCTTTTCGCCAGCTCTCCCTATTTTATGCTTATGATGTATATCAGTTCGAATGCATGGTTTCTGATGCATTGTAAATTCTACTTTCTTTTTTTGATTAAATTCAAAAATGTTTTCCAGGTATGCCGGCCATTGTCTACCTCTTCTTCAACAAAACCATTCGTAAAAAAGCGCTGAAAGCGATGGGATTAAAGAAATTTCAAATTGTTTTCAAAATTCAAATTGTGCCTAGCGTAGCGCAAACGTCAGTTAAAAGTACAGTTAACTCAAAATGAAATGCAAAGCAATAAATGTTTTATATTTTCAGCTTTTTTTAACCTAAATATGGCTGTAAAAGTTTGTAATTCACAAGAATTAAATAGGTAATTTACCATAATTAAATAGGTAATTTACCAGAATTAAATATTAAATAGGTAATAAAGCATTCCAATTGACGTCGTCGCCATTTGGAGGTAGTCGATGGGAGCGCCGCGTCGTCGTTTCTTTTTCGTTTTCAAATCATTTTTTTTTTGTTGAATTAATTGAAAGTATTTTTTTACACGATAAATTTTGTGTTGAAATGGGGGGTGGGACAAATGCGACTTTTTTTGCGCACCTGGACATTTGCGCACCTTTTTTTTTTTGCTGGAAAAGGCCTTAGGCAAGGCCGTAGAGCTTCAAAAATGTTTTCATACAAGGGAATCGTATGCGTAGATTCCGAATTTCGACAAATCAGACCTCGCTGACACGTCAAATTTGGACTAAAAGGCAAAAACTACGCAACTTAACGCTTTTCCGCAGTTTTTGCATTTTAGCTCAAATTTGACGTGTCAGCGAGATCTGATTTGTCGAAATTCGGAATCTACGCATACGATTCCGTTGTATGAAAGCATTTTTGAAGCTCTACGACCTTTCCTAAGGCCTTTTCCAGCAAAAAAGGTGCGAATGTCCAGGTGCGCAAAAAAGTCGCATTTGTCCCACCCCTGAAATGAGAAAGCAATCTATTTTCATCTATTTTCTATTGCATCTATTTCATCTAAAGCAATCTATTTTCATTTGGAAGCCAAGTGGAGAATCCGGAACTTTTCGTAGCACGATCACAATGAAGACCAAAACTAACTTTACAGTTAGTTTTGGTCTTCATTTGGGTTTGGGGAGTTGAATGAAAACAACGAAAGCAAGGCTCATCTTCTGGGCCGTTACAAAACTCGTTCTCTGGTTTGTATTTTGTGTGCATGAGCTCATTTTGAACAGAATTTTATGCAAAATGCGAAAATCGATATCATTTTGCAAACCTTTCGAGCAGATTTAAAAAAATTTTTAATGAACACTTTAATGAACTTTCAAAAATACACTCGAGTTTTGTTTTTTTACAATATATTTTTCTAGTAGACAAAAAAGTGAACCGGACGGTGCTTTTCGATGAACAAATAGCACGTAGGACTCAAAAAAAAAAACGCTTAGTCCAGGCTAAAAGCCCGTGACGTCGCCATTGACCGATCCACGCGAAAACAGCTACACACAATAGTGAAAATTTCAATTTGTATGGTTAGTGTGGGTGTGCAGGGCATTGTGCTCACTTACACTTGTTAGCTTTTGCTAATCGGACAATAGACTGTGCTAGGCGATCGGTCATTTGATGCGATTCAATTGAAATTGACCGTATAAAACGAAGTCGAAAAAGCGAAGAGATCACTTTAAACGAGATCACTTTAACTCTCGAAAATGATCCGTCAACTGGGGATTTTCCTCGTCATTAGCGGTGAGTTTTTTGAAGTTTTCGTGTAGCTTAACTAAATTGTTAACTATTCCTTGTCATGCATTGTTGAAAAGTTGAGATTTTGACTAAGTAGCCTAAATATGCAGATCAGCTTGTACAGAGTGCGACATAATTATGGGCCTAGGGGTGCCAACTTTATCTATGACCATTTGGGGCCACCTATACCATGTTCTTTTATATCTTTTGCTTTTTTCATGTTTACCCTTGTTATTTGATATAATTTCTAGGATTCTATAGTGTTTTTTAGAGATGGTCAAGCCGAGTATTTATCGGAACATGATCATAGCGTTCAATCGACGAGGGCTTTGAGCACGTGCAATTCCTCAAAATTTGGTTTCTACACAGCTCATGAACAAGACGATTAAACACTTCAAGGAAGTGGGAACAAATGTTGATAGAGCTGGTCGAGGAAAACGGTGTTCTGTAGGGCTTCAGGCCAACATCAAAAAACTGCGAGAGAGGTTGTGTCGTAAACCGGAACGATCATGTCACGCAAAATAGGAATTTCTGAGCCTTCTTTGCGTCGAATTGTGCGGCGCGAACTCAAGATTTCATCTTGAGCTTTCAAAAAGAACAAATGTTAAGGGTTCACTGAAGCTGCCAAAAAGAAAAGAAAAGAGCGATGTGAGGACCTTCTCAATCGATTCAATCAACGCGGCCGTCGTGAGATTTTGTTCTCAGATCAAAAATTATTCAACGTTAAACAAGTGCTAAACAAGCAGAATGACCGAATTTATGCCATTTCGAACCCACACAAATCGCGCGTTCTTCATCCAGAACCTACCCGAATTTATCGCATTCAACGAGTGGCCACCAAGCTCCAGGATCTTAATCCGCTTGATTTTTTAGTCTGGACAACTTTAGAGGCTAAGGCCTGTGCTAACCACATCGAACAGTTGACTCGTTGAAGAAAGCGCTCCATAAATCATGAGACGAGCTTGATGTTGCCTTGCGTGCCACAGTTGACGCCTTCCGCCGACGTCTTGAAGCGTGCATCACCGCTGACGTAGGAATTTTTGAAATTTGAGTTTTACACTTGTTAACATATAAATAAAGATTGTTATAAAAGCTTTGTTATCTTTGGGTGATTTGTTTTTCGGTTAATACCGACTGATTTATCTGGGGGTATAACTGTGACGCATCCTGTATACTGAAAAGCCTAGTTGAGCCCATAATTGTGTCGCACCCTGTACACTAAACTGTTGTTGTCCTAACCATTGCCTAATCTTTAGTGGCCTCTGTGCATGCCGTCACAAATTGTACCACCTGTCCAGCTGGCGGTGTCTGGTCGGACTGGTCGAATTACACTTTGTGCTCGGACACTTGCGGCCTCTTCGGAACGCAGGTTCAGAAAAGAACTTGCACCTCGTGGAAATTCGGATGCCCGTGCACGTAAGAAGCACTGAAAACACCAGTAAAGCATACCTCAATTCAGTGGAAACTACTCTCGATCGGAACCTTGTGGAGACTCGCCTTGCCCTTTTCCGAGGGACACCTGCAAGAGTCCGTATGTAAAGGTTTTTTAAAAAAGCTTTTAGCAAAGAAACAGTTTGAAATTTAGTATCCGAATCAAGTGCTGAAGAGATACGTCTGTGGAAACATCACAAATAGTCCTGAAACTGGTGACTACGTGGCCCCAAATTGTACAGTCAATAGTCAGTTTTTCAAAGTTCTTTTTGATAAATCTGAAACACAGAAGTTTTGAACACTTGTCCATGTCCACCGGGCGGCATTTGGTCCGCGTGGAGCTCGACAGGCACTTGTTCAGCCACATGTGGCCTCTGTGGGACGGTGAACCAGACTCGAACCTGCAAATCGACAAGTTATGGCTGTGCTTGCAGGTGGGCACTAAATATTGCATTTGCATTTGTACATTTGCATTTGGTACATTTGCATTATTGCATTTGTAAGGTAATCAAAACAAAATTAAAACAATTTTACATTATTTCCATCAAGTTTAGACCAAGCTAGTTTTACTTTAATTTGCGCTACTTTTTACAATCCATTTAGTGGAGCATCTTCTCAAATGATTGCTTGTCCAACGACCCCTTGTGATGGCTCAACTTGTTGCAATAACGAAACCCTCGTCATCAACGTTTCGACAAACCAAACTCAATGTGGGCAACAACTGCCCCCAGATCCCGTCTATGCATTGCCAGCCTGTCCAACGGTATGTATGTTAGCGATAACCAGTTTTCTAGGTCTGCCTTTAGACAACCATTGCTCCGACTACGACTACAAAAAAGACAACGACCAAAACGACGACCAAACCAACAACGAAAGCCACCACAAAGAAAACTACGATAAAAACCACTGCCAAGACAACCATTAAAACCACAAAAAAAGCAACAACGACTACTAAGAAAACCACTACGACTTCGGTGAGTACTTAATCAGCACGACAAAAAGTGTTTGCTTGCAATTAAAAGGTAGAAAAATTGAAATATTTAAGACAACCACTACCACGACCACTACCACGACTACTACGTAAGTTTCTCAAAACTTTCAAAACATTTTTCTTTATGTAAAAGTTTGATAATTATTTAAGATGTTTTATGCATCTTTACGAGATTCTATTGGGTTGGTGAATTGAAAACTGACTTTGAACTAAAATTTATTCAACATAAAACCATGAATTCATTCCAAATAATTTCCATTATTATTGACGACTTCTGCCCATTTTACAGGCAATTTGTGGATTCCTCTTTCGTAGTAGGATTTTGGTTTGTGTGTGAGACAAGTGTGAGACTCAAAAATCGAGAGCTGGAGATGTCCCAGTTTGAGCACTTTCTTCAAAAGAAACCCATTTTGGTGTCAATAGAAAAGTTGTAGAGAATCAAAAATGAGGCTTATAGCCAAATTTCCAAAAAGATACACTTAGTAGTTTCGCTTAAAATGCAAGTTTTGTTGCAAGTTTTGTGAAAATTCATAAATTTGGCATTTCTTGAAAACCAGTTTTTGAATCGTTCTGAAAATTTGGATATAAACTTGATTTTTGATTCTCTACAACTTTTCCATTGACACCAAAATGGGTTTTTTATGAAGAAAGTGCTCAAACTGTCACATATGACAATAGCCCGCAGTTTTCAATTCATCAACCCAACAATAGAACGACAACTACAACGACAACAACGACAACAACGACAACAACGACAACAACGACAACAACGACAACAACGACAACAGAGCTCGACACAACAGAAGCCCCGACCACCTCGACGACAACAGTCCCACCCACAACGAAAAAAGCATGCAATCCGAATGTGACAAGAGGTTCGCAAACATTTTCATTGTTTGATCATTTTAAAACCTCCTAGCTTGCCAACAGTGTGGCAGCCTGCCGGCCTTCTTTAAGCCGAATCCTCTGGCTCCATATCCGGTTGGACAAATGACCTACACCTACTCGTAAGTGGATGCTTTATACTATAAAAGGTTGGATAAAAAAATTGCTGGAAAAATGATTTAAAACAATTCCTTGTTTCTTTTTCCAACTTTTTCCAGGTTGTAAACAAAGTCTTGACCCTTAGATTGATAATATCTCAGCGTAGAATCAATGTATTTAAATGAAATTTTAAGCAGATTATTCTTTAAAATCTTACAAGCTTAATGTCAAAGCTATAAAGTTATTCGGCGATTAACGACCAAGTTATAGCCAAAAGACTTTACGAGAGCAATTTTTTATCACTAGTGTTAAATTCAAAAATACGAGCACATGAGGAAACAATACAAATTCCCTTCTACTACATTTAAAACTAAAATAATGTAAGATAGTTTCTAAAAAAGTTTCAAAAACTCTTAGCGAAGTTTATTTGATTTTTCAAGAGGGTTAAACTTTTGTTATAATTTGGTCTATAACTTGCTATAACTTGTTGTAACTTGCTATAACTATAACTTGGTCGTTCATCGCCGAATAACTTTATAACTTTGGCATTAAGCTTGTCAGATTTTAAAGAATAATCTGTTTAAAATTTCATTTAAATATATTGATTCTACGCTGATTAGCAATCTAAGAAAGGGTGAAGACTTTTTAAACCTACCGTAAATACTTGAATAGTACCCCTCCGCCCATAATGACGGTGCGGAGTGTTGCATAGTCTAGCTTTGAACGAGTTTTTCTCGACACTGGTTTATGCTACAATGCGGGCTTTGGTATCAAAAAATAGCTGAAATTCAGGGCTATTTTTTGATACCAAAGACGTATTTTTTTAAAGTACGGGCGCTTTGAAAAAATGAAATACGAAAAAACTTTTGCGACTACGCGACTGTACGAGGGCGGTGGGGTACTATTAAAGTATTTACGGGAATACACTTTGTCTATCCCCTTTTACAGCATCAATGTCACTAACTGTTGCATGGTGGCCGATTGGGATTGCTCGCGAAATCCAGGAGATAATGTAGGCAAAGTTTTATTGTTAAAATAAAAAGGAAACTTTTTCTTCAGATGGGCTTTCAAGTGAATGATGGGTCTGGAGCCGTTGCACAAGCACAACAATGTCCAAATGTATGTTTGTTGAAAGTTTTTTTCTCTACAACCTCTTGACTAACAAAAACAGAAATATTCTAGGAACTAGGAAATAGATTTTTTAAACTTTAAAGGTCATATTTAAAGTTAAAACCTTTTTTAGGTGGACTCGACGAAAAAACCGGAAATGTTTCCGTTTCTTTGCGGGAATGATAAAGTCTGGCGCTTTCATGGGGTATTTATAATAAAACAAACATTTGATTAAAAATGTGTAACTTAAAGTTTACCTAAAAGTAAAACCTTTTTTAGCACACCTTCACCAATTTTGCGTGTTATGTTCTTGGAACGGGCGCCTGTTAAAGAAGACTTTTGAACAGGAAAGAGAGATTTATAGTAAATTGTTCTTATATAAAAGTTGAAAAGAATAAATTATTTTTGTAAATTCAAATGTATGTTTAAAAGAATCGATGAATGGAAGTGAATATTTAGAGACAAAAGAAAAGGCTTTGGGCATTGAAGAGCTGCTGAAGCAAGGGTTTTTTGGTTTTGAGGGAGCTAAGATTGAAATTGTCTGATTGAAATTGTCTGATTGAAATTGTCTGATTGAAATTTTCTGATTGAAATTTTCTGATTGAAATTTTCTGATTGAAATTTTCTGATTGAAATTGTCTGATTGAAATTGTTTCTCGAGAGGTTCATTCGCACAAAAGTGCCTGAAAAACATTTGAAATTAAAAACAAAACTAGTTTTAGTTCGAAACTACAATTTGCATGTCAAAAAAGGCTAAATTTTTGTCTTAATTTTGCATCAACCACTCAGAAAATCACCAAATAGAAGAATTTCGAATTATCCGGATTATAAAATAGAATCGTGATCCAGATGAATTGGTAACGGTATTCAAAAGATGAATGAATCGGTATTCAAAAGATGATGCCAATATTTTTGCCTTTAGCTCGAGGGCATCAATTATTTTCAATTCCAAAAGAAAACCAAAAGAAAACCAAAAGCAAACCTGAGAAAAAACTTTTTCCATTATGATTTCATAGAATCTCTGTCTACTCTACTCTTCTTATCAAGAAAAATCACGAAAAAATATAAAAAGGCTTGATAAAAACGGTATGGGAAAAGGAAATTCTCGCATTCAGAAATGCGGTCATCACTTGCTTTTGCTTTGTCGCTTTTCACTTGCTTGGTAATGATTTTGAATCATATTTTATATTATTTTTCCTTTGATAGTTTAGATTTTATCCTTCGGAGAACTATTTGACAAGAGCACATGTGGGAAAACGAAGCAATGCATTGTACCTTGTTACAATCAAAATCCGGACACATGCGACTTTGTCGCTTCGATAAACGTTTGTTTTTTCTTCCGTCTATGAAGATAACTTAAAGTTTATGTAGTTTCGAAATATAAGTGGCACTTATTATCTGGACATCGAGCTACTTACGAGGAATTTTCAACAATCAAACAGCTATGTTGCTCTAGGCTTCAGTACCGACCAGGAAATGGTAATCATTGCTTAAAACATTTGCTATTTAGTGCTTAAAACATCGATCTTCGTCGCGTTGTCAGATTTTTTGCTGTTTTCAGTGTAAAATTGGTGTTCGCTGCCGATTTGTGATCCCAAAAAGGTTATCAGAAATTTGAAAATTGAAAACAGAAAACGCACCCCACCCCTTTTCCCATTAGCAATCTAACTTTGAGCTCAAATATCTTCGTGTTGGGGTGTTCAATTTAAATATTCTTGATATCATTGAATGCGCCAAGTCTTTCTCTGTCGATTGATACAAAAACTATTTAAATTCGATAGCCCAATGACGAGAAATTTGAGCTCAAAGTTGGATTGGCAATGGCAAAGGTGGCGGGGCGCGTATCAAATATCCCATATGCCAAAATGCATTTGATTACCTTCATTACCTTAATCTTTTCAAACACTTTAACTTATATTATAGCAATTTTCATCAAGAACCGATCCTAAAGTACTTAAAAATCTGTATCAATAGCGCATTCCCATATGCGGATATTTTCGCGCGAATCTAAAGAATGAGTCTAAGGATCTAAAGAACCTAAAGAATGATTCTAAAGATCTAAAGAATGATTCTAAAGAACTAAAGAATGATTCTAAAGATCTAAAGAATGATTCTAAAGATCTAAAGAATATAAAACGTATTTCGGTAAAAGCTTTATTTTAAAAGGTACAAAAAAAGCAATTAGCCGATTTGAGATGGGATCAAAAGTGTCGGAATGTTCGGCATTAGGAGTTGATCAAATGAGCCCAAAACTCTCGTACAATCCACAGAAATATCCACCCTACAATTCGCGGATAGCCAACATGACGGTGAGTTTGGAAAAAGAAAAAGACTAAAAAGTGAAAAGGTCTAACATTTTCTAGGCTACTTGTAGAATTCACGTGAATCTTGCTGGCTTTGTTTTTATATTGGAATCTACATAGTGCAATTGATGTGAGCACTAGAAATGGGGAAAATTCCAATTCCAAAATTCCAAGCCGAACCTAATTCCACCTTTGTTCTAATTCCGTTTCCACGGCCGTTTCTTGTCCGATTCTTCAGAGATTTTATCTGAAAGGTGAAAATGCTGAATCGACTTTTCTACGTAAAATAAAGCCATAGATTTTCTATATTTTTAATTAAATTTACAACCAAATCCGTACAGCCGTTTTTTCTGAATTTTCGTTTGAACAAAAGTCCAAATAGAAGATTTTGAGCATACAGTGCGTTTCAAATTCTTAAACGCACCCTCTAAAAAAGTGAATTTTGCATTTTGACCACCTTTACAACTATTAATCTTTTTTCTATTAGAAAGAGCATGTCTGAAAACCTAAATAACACGAAAATAAGCATACTGTAAAAAAACAAAAATTTTCAAAATAGAAACTTTTTGCTAAATCAACCGTTTCAAATTCTTAAACGCACTATGAAAATATTTTTATTTATCGACACAAATAAAAAATCAAAGGTAAAAAATCAAAACTAATAATCTGTACACGCACCAGAACGATTAATTACTTGAAAAATCCGGTCTGGCATTAAATTGATGAGGTTTTGAAGAGCAGGGACGTCGAGATCGCTCCAGGCCGAAAAAATTGCTGCTTTAAGTGTAAAAACGTCTTGAAACTGACGATGATTCTTGTAGACAGCTCGAACAAGTATTCCCCATAAATTTTCTATTGGATTGAGGTCCGGAGACTGTGCGAGCCAGTCCAAAGTTGCAATGTTGTTGTTTTTCAGCCAATCTCGGGTATCTCCGGCTCGATGAACTGACGCGTTGTCCTATTGAAACAAATCGGGAACGGTTTGATTTAGGAGCGAAAACGGCGACAAGCAATTTTTCAAGATATTTATCTAGTCATCCGATTCGAAACCATCTTCAGAGCGACCGTTCCATCAGCACAAAATACGGCCCAAACCATCACAGAACCACCGCCAAAGTTTCGAGTCCCAAACACCATCGGATCACGTCGAAGATCCCTCCAATAGTAGCCAACGCCATCGGGGCTATCCAAATTTCATTTCTTCTCATCGGAAAAGATCACCTAAACGCAAAAAAAATAATAAAACATAATCGGCTTTCTAACCATAGACCAATCCTGATTCATATGAGCCTTGGCGAACGCCAATCGGGCTTCCTTGTGCAAAAGCGTCACAGCCGGTTGCTTGTTCAACAAGTGTCGATCGATATGTGGATTTTCCGTGACGGCTCGCCAAATTGTCGACTTCGAAGCGTCGATTTTCAGTTCCGTTTTCACTTCATTGATCGTTTTTCCCTGGATGTTGTTCACAATATGACGTCTAGCTCACGGTGTAAGCTTTGGTTTTGGTCCTGGCTTCTTTGGTGCAGAAACGAACTCGGACTTTATATAATTTCGCACGGCAGAGTCGGATCGGCCCAAATTTTTTGCGATTTTCCTTATTGAGTCGCCAATCCTCAAACGGGCATCAATCTGGCCTTTCTCATAATCCGTGAGCAGCTTTCCGTGTGCCATTTATCTGGAAATTAACAAAAATTATAAATTTGATAAAAAATATGCACAACAAAACGAAAAACTTCAAATAACAACAGCAAGGGCGGGTGCGTTTAAGAATTTGAAACGGTTGATTTAGCAAAAAGTTTCTATTTTGAATATTTTTGTTTTTTACAGTATGCTTATTTTCGTGTTATTTAGGTTTTAAGACATGCTCTTTCTAATAGAAAAAAGATTAATAGTTGTAGAGGTGGTCAAAATGCAAAATTCGCTATTTTAGAGGGTGCGTTTAAGAATTTGAAACGCACTGTATAAGGCGCTCTGAATAACTTGAAATTTTTAGAAAAATGGCTGCATTGATTTTATTGGAAATTTCATTAAAAATATAATAGATATTGATCTTTCTTTAGCATATAAAGTTAGTGTCAGTTCCCATCAAAAAACAGAAGTTGACATCCGTCGATTCTGATCAATTTTGCCTACTCACCTTTACACTCCCAAAAAACCCCAAAAACTAAAGCTTTTCTAAAGTGTCAACAACGATCTTGTAGAGGAAATCTAGATCTTTCCAATGGTTTCCTTCAACATTTGTAAAAACAATTTTTAATGCAAAAGTCCGTTATTTAGTTGACAACCTAATAGTGAGGATTTTCTCGGAAATCTGTTTCGAAAATCGAAAAAGCTTAATCGATTGGATATTTGGGTTGTTTCTCAAGTGTACAATTTACAAGTTTAATGGATATTTGGGCTGAAAGTTGCATTGACAATGGCAAAGGTAGCGGGGCGCGTATCAAATATCCCATATTTAAATACATCTTAACAATGAAACGGCTATCACCAAATAGCCGGTTTATTGTTAAGACGTTGAGAGAAATAGTTTTGCGTGTTTTTAGCAAAATGATTTCGATATGATTTTGACGAATGTCATTGTTGCCGAAGTTGATGGGGCGATTTATTGTTGCTTCACACAACGAATCAACAACTTCTCAATTGTCAACAGCGAAATCTACAACTATAAAGATGGGGATTTGGAATATTTTCTTTTTGCTCGAGGAAATACGTCGGAAAACGGTTATTTGAAAGAAAAGCTTTGCAAAGTTCTTTAGGATTGATGTATCATACAGAATCAGGCCGAGAAGCAACCATTTGGCAGTACAAGATTGGACGAATCTTTGGTTTGTTGTTGCATTTTTTGGATAGCTTTCTGTTACAATGGTAAACTTTTGAATTCATATTTATATATTAGGGTGGTGCAAAAGAAACTGCCGATGGGTATCAGCTCTCATTTATCAGAAACGAGCGATGCTAACGGCATTATTTTTTTTATGTTTTGTTCGCATATTTGTTTGCTATTTATTTCGACATTTGAATTTTTTGGTTGTTGTTTATTTTATTTAAAAATGCTTATATTTTTTATTTAGATCATGGTCAAGCAAAAGTTTGTGCTACAGCATTACTGTTTAACTTCAAAACTGGAAAGTCTGCTACCGAATCGCATCGTTCTCTCTGTGTTGCTTTCGGAGATGGCAGTTTGTCTCTCAGGCAGTGTCAGACTTGGTTTCAACGATTCCGAGAGGGAGACGAGACTTTGGAAGCTTACGAGCACGGTTCGAGGCCAGAAGTCGTGAACGAAGCCAAGCTGAGGGACGTTATTCAGGCCGATCCATGCCAATCTGCTCGAGATCTTGCGAAAATATTCCATTGTGATCATGTCACCATCGAACGCCATCTTTTTTTAATTTGCCGTCAAATCGGCAGTTTCTTTTGCACCACCCTAATATTTACACTTTTGCTTTCGTAAAATCACCGCTATCAGATCGATTTTTATTCGACTTTTGCTTTTGCAAAGTCAGAAGTTCAGTATTGCAGGTGAGGAGTGCCCGAATGGCTATGAGTACGTCACAGCGAAGGGCTTATGCGTTGGAAATCCTCGATATAGATTTGGTGGGTACTAAAAGAAAAAGCAACCACACTTCAGCTTGTTCAAATTGATCGGAAAGAGGTCAAGCCAAGTCAAAGCCAATGGCTCGAAATCCTGGCTTTGGCTTGGCTTGGCCTAGTCTGAAAATGCGTGATTACCGTTTTTCTTCGAATAGTAGATGAGCCATTATTTTTGAACACCTCAAAAATGCGAATCACCAATTCGGTTCCCAGTACCGGACAAGGTGAGTTCAGAATTTTGGTCCTTAGCTTGAAGCCAAGTTTTCGAGCTGAGCACCTTGCGTGGTTCTGGCCCCGACAACTTGGTTCTGAGCACAGATTCAGCTTCGAGGCTTTCCACCAAACTATTTAGATCTACAAAAACATCTAGCATTTACCAATTTATCAGCTAGCAATTTTGCTAAAACGAATTTAGCAGTTTAATATGTACCAATGCAACTTTGCTAAATGCTAAATACCAAAAAAATTTCGCTAAATTTAGCATAATTAAGTCTTATTTCTTGTAGACTGAATATTCTGATGCTGCCAAATAAAGCTAACAAATTTATGTGCTCAAAATTGGCTAAATTTTGATTTATATTGTAGCTAGAGGCTGTCTTTTCGAAAAGAAATGTTTCTGTAAAGTGGTAAAGCAATTAAAGTGGTTATTTTAACTTTACAATAGCTATGGCAGCTTTGATTTCATTCAGTTACTATATAGATTGCTCCAAGTGTGTTAATTTGTTATTTTCCTTGTTATCAAATCGGTAATTTCTTCTCAAGTTGCTTGATTGATTTCAGGAAACGGTTGGGATGTGAATGAGGCTTCATGCGAGTTAGATGGAGGGAATTTGGTTGTGATTCATGACGCCTTTTACAATGCGTTAATTGCTCAGATGGCCACGGAAAGTTGGTGACATTTCTTGGCTTTTTCTGCTTTTTCTCTTTCTCAAGATCTTCAAGCATGAAACTTTAAATTACAATTGCTAATGTGATTTTTTTTTAATATTTAATTTAATTCTTCTTTTTTTTCTCAAGACTCATCATCTCAAAATTTTTGCTAAAGATGAAAGATGATTGTGCGAGATAACAAGCAACGAAAAGTTTTCAATAAAATGACAAGACGAACAATTGATCTTTATATCTTCATCAAATTTTCGTAGAATATGGTGCCGAGCAAGGCGTAATGATTGGATTGATGTTGAATGGAACGACGTGGAAATGGTCAGATGGCTCACCGATGGACTATCAGAAATGGGCTCAAGGTGAGTTGATTTTAAAAAAGTAAATTTGGTTTTTAAAGGATATTTAGAATGTTGACAGTCAAGGTTTTTAGGTGAACCAGCAAATGGAAAAGAATGCGGTTATATGAATCCGATTAGCAACGATTGGTACGCTGGTCCTTGCTTTTCGTATAATGATTTTCTTTGCCAAACTTCTTTGTAAATATTGATTGGATCAGAAACTTTTGTATTATCACAATTGTTTTTTTGTATTTTTGGTTTCATTAATCGTCTTGTTCGTCTTGTCATACTGATCGTTTTATTGAAAACTTTACGTTGCTTTTTATCTCGCACAATCACCTTTCATCTTTAATTAAGATTTTGAGATGATGAGTCCTGAGAAAAAAAAAGAAGACGATTAAATAAAATTTCATGAACTTTTGATCATGACAAAGACGGAAAAAGATTTATTCAATAAAAGTTGTTGTCAAATAACCTGAAGTCATCAAGATTCTTCAGAAATTGATATTCCAAATAAGTCAAAGTACCAAAACTCAATTTAGGACTACTTTAGGACTCAATTTCATCAGCATCAAGCTCAAAAAAGCCTTAAAACCGACTTTAACTTCTGGACTTTAGTTTCTAAGCAGAAGTCCTTATTAAGATTAGCTCAAAGTGACAGCCAACGTTCACTGCATTCACTGATATCACTAGAGTGTGTTCCACGGGAGTAATTACTCAAGTAAAATTTGCATGAGTAATCTTTACTCGATTAATCGACGTTTTTTGGTCGAGTAACTACGAGTAATCCTCTTTACACGTCGAGTAAATTGAATATCTTTACATTTGAAGGGAATTTGCCACCAAATCAGTCGAACGGTTGAATATCTTTAAAAGAAGTCGTGATTTTGGCCCCATTTTTTTGGGAGGTAGTCAAATGAGCGCCAACAATTGGGCGCCAATCATTTCAGCGCCAACGATTTGGCTCACGCTTATTTCAGCGCCACTCATTTGAGCGCCGTGCCAAAAATGATTGGAAAACAATCATTTGAGTGCCAAATTAAAAAGGCCTAAAAACGTTCATTTAAGCGCCGGGCCAAAAATGACTGGAAAACGTTCATTTCAGCGCGACTAAATTTTAATATTTTTGCTTTCTACGCTGCTTTTGCATGTTTTTTAGGGTTTTGCTTCTGTTTTTACACTTTTTTCACTCATTTGACCTAGGGCACGGCAGTAGGCACCGAATGCGCGGAAAAAATTGTTAGATTAGCTCGTATTTAAGGTTTTTTTGATGAAAATGTGTAAATTTGCTAGTTGTATGATATTTTCCCCCAATAGCATGCTTTTTCACCGTTCCTTGCCGTTTTCGTTTACAATTTGCTTACAGTTAACATAGTTCTTTGCTTAGGCTCGTGAACTGCGCAAGAAGCGGCGAGACAAAGGAACACTCTGAGTCAAAGTAACGTTTTGTTCATGATTTATTTTGGTTTATTTTGCTGCCAAGAATTATTTTTATCTTTAGATGATTGCAATTGCAATTGTTGTTGTTATTGCGTGTTAACTAGTTGAATAAAAACATACAGTAAAAACTTTGAGATCATGCAGAAAATGCAAAAATAACATGCATATACAGAATGGGCTGATTCGGCGCTGAAATGAATGTTTTCCAGTCATTTTTGGTGCGGCGCTGAAATGAACGCGCGCTAAAATGATTGGCGCTGAAATGATTGGCGCTCAATTTTTGGCGCTCATTTGACTACCTCCCATTTTTTTTGCAATAATTTTCGCTAAAAGTACGGTAATTTTTCTTAAGCGTGCGCTTTAAAAAAAAGACATTACTCGCGAGGAAAACACTCTAATGTTTGAGAAAGAACTTGAGAAAGAAGACTCTAGATATCACTCATCTCACATCCTCTCGTAACCTTCAGTTCACTCACAACGATCAATCGATACTCAAAATTTCTTCCTTCGCAATGGCATTTCAGTGATTTTTGAGCAATTTCATATTCATTAAAATGAACTTGATCGTAGACAAGAACCACAACTGTTGTTGTGGCTCATTTTCAAATGGATACTAAAAACTAAAGATAAATTTGTCTAAAAAAACATTAAACTTACACTTTTGAAGAATAAAATAATTACAATTCCTAAAAATAAAAGAAAAAGAAAAAAGAAAGTTTTCGTTTTTTTCAAAGAAAAACCTTTGAAAAAAACTAAAACTAAAGTCTTTGAATAGGCGTTGAATTGAGTTAACCAAGAAAAATCTTGTTTTTATTTCTTTGAAAGATTGAACAATTGAAATTTGACCTTTTTTCTATCTCTATTCATTAAAAGCAGCTTCAAAGATTTTTTTTTCAATTTTTAAACTAAAAAAGTCAGTTGGAGAGCATTGAAATAATGTTTTTTTAGGTAAAAATTAGTTTATTAAAAGAAACGTTTAATAAAACAATTTTAGGGGTTTAAACCAAGTCATTTCTTGAAGTAATAGCCGAGGAAATGGCCTCGTTTTGTGGATCATTCGTGTTTTTCATCGACATATTTGAGTGGAGATGGTCGTGAATCTTGTAGGTTTTGCTTTTTCGTTTCCAGCAGAAAAGTTTGAGAACTTTTTCTTGATAAGGCGCCACGTAGTAGATTGTGATACACGGATTGATTGAACTCACCTGAATCTTTGATTTTATTGGGTTGGTGAATTGAAAACTGTCGGACTTTGAATTAAAATTAATTTAACATAAAACCATGAACTGATTCGAAATAATTTCCATTATTATTGACGACTTCTGCCCATTTTACAAGCAATTTGCGGATTCCTCTTTCGTGGTAGGATTCTGGTTTGTGTGTGAGACTCAAAAACATCTATATAGTCGGATTTTGGAGCAAAAACAAACAATCGTCCAAGACATCTATATAGTGAAAACTGTTTCCGTTGACTTTTGAAAGGAATAATTGTTGACTAAAAGGGACGAGCTATCTATCAGGACGGTGTGCCAGAAAGCGAGCGATTGTGCCGGTGGACAAAGAACATCTGGCCAGTCATTTCTTTTGCTTTGTTTGGGTTGGTGAATTGAAAACTGCCGGACTTTGAATTAAAATTAATTCAACATAAAACCATGAATTGATTCGAAATAATTTCCATTATTATTGACGACTTCTGCCCATTTTACAGGCAATTTGCGGATTCCTCTTTTGTAGTAGGATTCTGGTTTGTGTGTGAGACAAGTGTGAGACTCAAAAATGGAGGACTGGAGGGCTGTCAGCCCAGTTTGAGCACTTTCTTTAAAAGAAACCCATTTTGGTGTCAACGGAAAAGTTGTAGAGAATCAAAAATGAGGCTTATAGCCAAATTTCCGAAAAGATACACTTAGTAGTTTCGCTTAAAATGCAAGTTTTGTGAAAATTCGTAAATTACGCATTTCTTGAAAACCAGTTTTTGAATCGTTCTGAAAATTTGAATATAAGCTTGATTTTTGATTCTCTACAACTTTTCTATTGACACCAAAATGGGTTTCTTTTGAAGTAAGTCCTCAAACTGTCACATATGACAATAGCCCACAGTTTTCAATTCACCAACCCAATAGTTACAGTTAAACCTCACAATGGCCACCAACAAGAAGACCCATTCCTCGAAATATGGAACCGAATGAGCAAATCTGAAATTAGGGCTTTTGCTGCTAAAAGTTGATTACGATAGTTACGGTAGTTTAAATTGTCTCCACATGTAGACAGAAGCTTGACTCATCATGATAAGTGGAAGAACTGCTTGGAGGGTTAGAGCCTGGAACAAGATTTCGCTGACTTGGCTGATTTTTGTATCATGACCTATCCTAATCCAGACCGGAATTACATAAGGATTAGGTCCTTATCCTAGTTAGATAAGGACCTAATCCTTATCTAACTAGGACCAAGCGCTGATCAGGTTATTGCCAACAAAGCTCATCAGCTGGTGAGCTCATGAGCCAATAAAATTTCCGTTTTCCCCACTTTCACCAATTTCTTCTGTGTCGTTTTCGTTTTCGGACTCATCGAGTTTCTCTCGAGAACTCGCAGAATTCGAATCCGATAGATGATAGCTGCTGTATAACCGGGGAAAATCGGCAAACAAACCCAGAGCATCAACGGCATTATGCTAAAAATACACTCTACTCACAGCTTAATAGATTTAAAGTTTTCAAACCAAACACGTACGTTTTTTGATAAAGATACTCATAGCCGATGATGGCTGCGATTTTTGGGTCATCAGGAAAAAGAGAACCGTTTTGATGATCGATAAGCATTTGTCTGGCCACAGCTGGGTCGCTGGTCGAAGAAGCGAATGGAAACTGAAAAAGAAATTCGAAAAGTTATTTACAAGCAGTTATTTACAAGCAGCTATTTACAAGCAGCTATTTACAAGCAGCTATTTTCAAGCAGCTATTTACAAGCAGCTATTTACAAGCAGCTACTCCAATCACTGACCATTGTGATGAAAGCTGGTAGATAAATGAGAAAACAAAGAAAAGCTATCAATTTTGGACTTGGAGCTTTGTTTGAGAGAACGTAGTGACGGTACCTGGACAATAAATATTATTATTATTAGGTACTACAAGAAAATAATCACGTTTTCCGGCTGGTTGACTTTTAAATATACTTTTTAAAAACTTGGATTTGACTCTTGTAATTATTATTTTTATTTTCATGCTAGGTTCTTCTAGTTTCCTTAAAGATTTTGTGTTTCTAATTATCTATGATGTTTAGGACTACATAAACAATTAAAAACCCTTGAACCCTAAAGGGTTCAAGGGTTTTTAATTGTTTATTTAATCGGTCTAGTTTAATCAATCAATTTCTAAAAACTTACCAAAAAGAGAGTGGCACAAGGGAATACCCGTAAGAAATACAATGCAGTGTGATCGTATGAACTGAAACTTCGTTTTGCGTAGTCTTTCCATTAAACACACCGTCATTACAGAATTGAGGAGTGAATTTTCGACACAAACCATGAAATTGAAGAACGATGCCGTTTTCAATTGGGATAAGTCTAAATTTGAGGATTTGGGTAAAAGATTCGTTTTCTCACCTAGTCATTGCTAGGGCGGCTGTGAGTCCAAGAAAAAACTCGGACAGAGTGACACTGAAATAGAGGATCTGTTGAGTTTAAGCTCAGCTAGTTAGTGAATGTTACATCCCATACCGATCACGCATCCAAATCGGATCCGGATGTCCGATTCGGACACCGGATTTGGATATCCGACTCGGATCCGGATGTCGGAATCCGATCCAGACGTCCGGATCGGATGTCGGAATCTGATCTAGACGTCCGTATCGGATCCAGAAGTCCGGATCGGATGTCCGAATCCGATCCAAACGTCCGGATCGGATGTCCGAATCTGATCCAAACGTCCGGATCGGATCCGAACGTCTGGATCCGATACGGACATCCGAATCCGATCGTCCGAATACGATCAAATTTAATTCAAATGCTAATTTCACCATTATTTTAGTGAATACCATATGCTTGTTAGAATCCCAGCTATCATTTAATAATCTATGTTTGTATTTCATAAGTCCTTCATCAATCAATCATCAATGCAAGACAGCAATGACAAGCTTTGTCATTCAAAAACTTTTGCACAGTCTTTTACTTTACTAACCTTGCTAGAATGATAGAATATGATCGAAAAGTTTTTGATGTCTGAAAAACGATGAGATACAAAAGTAGAGCATTCATCGTAATTGAGATGAGATCAAAGATCTGGTGAGCCGTTGTGAAGAGTGTCGCTCGGAATTGAGTGAACGGGAAGTCCATTTTCGAAATAAATAGGATTTTAGTGATGGTAAAGTGAAAATAAAAGTAAACTATTTTCAATTTTACGATGAACTGACGATTCGCTGGTACTCAAAGTCTGGTAGACAAGGAAGGAAAATACTGAAGTTCTCACGAAATCGTGGCTGACTCAAAGTGAGGTTCATAGTGTAGCTTTGGTTTCCAAGGTCTTACGAAAAAGTCTATGTTACCTTCCACAATTAGGTAAATGCCGGTGAGAATTTGTCTACTAGTTAGCTCAAAGTTTTTCTTCTTGTAGTCTACTTTAATTTTGGATTCAGTTGTTGAGTTGTTGAGTTGTTGACTTGTTGAGTTGTTGACTCTTTCTCTTACGATAGCAAATTAGTTTTTAAAGCAGCTCATACAGCAGCTGCTTAACTTGAATGAACACTCAACAATGGAAAAACCGCAATCTTTGGAATGACATTAGAAAGCATTTGTAGCAGATTGTTAACTAAATAGTGTTTTTGGTTATAGTTTTACCTTGACAAGTTGTTCCTTTTTAATGTTCGGAACAATGAATAGTTGTCAGAATGAGGCACAGAGTGGCGATCACGTACACAGAAGTTAGGGACACGTAGAATTGCAGCAAGTTGAAAGAGAAATGGATTGATGCTCATCGAAATAAAATCTCTAAAAGAAATAGAAAGAAATGACTCTTGTCATCATTTATTAATCATAAACTATTGAGGTAAGTGGAATCGAACATAGCTGCTTGTCGAAAACTTTCTTTTTCTTGTTCTTGTTCTTGTTTGAAATAATTGAAAAATCTTTATTATCTGGAAAGCTTAAGAATCAGCAATAAATTTTGATTCTTACAACAATCAGACAAGCCATTTCGGTTTAGTAAAAGAGTAGATGATGCCATTTGTTGAAGATTTGGCTGCTCTCACTTCTCTGGCTTTAATCGAAAAAGGTTTTTTCTGAAAAACAAAATTAAAGTGTTTTAAGAAAAAGAAAGTTGGAAAAATGATTCAATTTTTGATTTTTTTTTTGTGCAAAAGCTCTTTGTAGATTTTTGAACTTTTAAATGATTTTTGCAGATTATTTTTGGGTAAAATCTTTCTTTTTTTTGAAAGTTCATTGTTTTTTTGAGTAATTTTTGTAATGTCAGCACCGTTTTTCACCTGAAACTTTTCCGATTTGATTGTCCGGTTTAGTCGATTTATTAGGTTGATGCAAAAGTCTTTTTCATTTTTTTCGTACTTCTGTTAAAAAGTAACAAATTCACGAATTAATCTATAGTTTGCTCTATAAAAAAAGTGTTTTTTTGTTCAACTTGCATCTTTTTAAATGAATTTCGGTTCACTTTGAAGCAAATTCGAGAGTGAAAAACGCCTTTTTCGTAAAAATCTATAAAAAACTCTACGGAAAAATCGGCTGAATGAATTTCTCTGAAATTTTGGCGAAATATCAAACGTTTTTTTCTCTATCCTTTTATCTATTGACACGAAGATAGGTTTTCTTTAGCTAAGGTGTCTAAACCGCATCATCGAGTTAGCCCTTTTTGACTACCCGACTTCATACTCTCAAGAAAATCCAGGCATTAAATATTTTTAAACCCGTTTTAATGTTATTTTGCAGAAAAATAATTGGTTTTTCTAATGAAACCAACCGTAGTTTAATTGGTGCATTTGTTGGCTTGAAACGGCAGACGAAAAAAAATGAAAAAGACTTTTGCATCAACCTAATATTTCACCAGAAAACGAATCAACCATCAAGCTATCAAACAGTCCAAGTTCTATTCAAGTTCAAGCTCAAGTTCAAGTTCAAGTACAGAACGGAATTTGTTAAGATGTACAAGGCACAAGCTGATCCCGATCTTTTCTAATAACTGCTTGATCTCTGATTTTGAAAGAATAAAAAAACTGTACCGTTTATCGTTTGAATTTTCAATTTGCGAATTTTCAATTTCAACATAGCTAATCATTTCGTGAGAAATTAAAATCAAATTGATAAGCGTGAGTCTTTCCTCGAGTTGAACTCCAAATTGCTGTGTGAGTGCGCCACGATTTCCCCTTCCCGCGTACTTCGAGTGTTTTTCAGATCACGAACTAAAGTCTTATCAACAATCTGTTTTAAGCCGTCTTCATTTCAAGCAACCAGAGATGGACTTTCCGTTTACTCAATTCCGAGCGACTCTCTTCACAACGGCTCACCAGATCTCTGATATCATTTCAATCGCAATGAATGGACTATTGCTATATCTCATTGTATTTCAAACCTCGAAATCTTTCCGATCATATTCTATAATTCTAGCAAGGTTAGTAAAGCAAAAGACTGTAAAAAGGTTGTGGGTAATACGAGAAACTTAAAGTATTCAACTGGTTAAAGGATTCAACATAAAGTATCCAACTGGTTAAAGTATCCAAATTAAAGTATCCAATTGGTTAAAGTGTCCAAATTAAAGTATCCAATTGGTTAAAGTATCCAAATTAAAGTATCCAACCTAAAGTATCCAACTGGTTAAAGTATCCAAATTAAAGTATCCAATTGGTTAAAGTATCCAAATTAAAGTATCTAACCTAAAGTATCTAACTGGTTAAAGTATCCAAATTAAAGTATCGGTTTATGTCGAAAAGTTTCACCTCAGTTTTGTGCTACTGGTAATCGACAGTAATTGATGAGTAAAAAGTTTGTTCAGTTCACTCGCTCACTTTGCATTGCATCGCTTATGGGTATTCACTTTTGCCCCTTTCTTTTTGGTAAACACAATTTGCTAGGCTTGTTTAAACCTACCGTAAATACTGTAAGAGTACCCCACCGCTCATAATGACGGTGCGGAGTGTTGCGTAGTCTAGCTTTGAACGGGTTTTTCTCGACACTGGTTTATGCTACAATGCGGGCTTAGATATCAAAAAATAGCCCTGAAATTCAGCTATTTTTTGATACCAAAGACCCATTTTTTGAAAGTACGGGCGCTTTGAAAAAAAATGAAATACGAAAAACTACACGAAATACTTTTGCGACTACGCGACTGTACGAGGGCGGTGGGGTACTATTACAGTATTTACGGTAGTTATTTAAATGCCAAAGTTTTTCAGAACTTATGATTAGCTAATCTATTAAGTACTACAAAAAAATAACTACGTTTTTCATACTCAACTTCAATCATCAAAGATTTTTTATTTATAATACTAACTAAATAATATTCATTACAATCAATGCATTTTTATCAGAAGACGGCAAGTTTTTCGATTCCATGGATGTAGAAATCGAAAGTTCTAGAGTTAATCAAAAAACGTCAATAGCATTATGGCATTATTTGGCCTCTAAGAAAGCAATCAAGATGCTTAAATAAGTGATAATCAGTTGGGGATAGATCTGGTGAATAGACTGAATAAGGTAGGCCTTCGATGCTTAAATCATTGAGTGCCCTGAGTATCATTACCGAGGCGTGAGGAGGCGCGTTGTCTTGCAGCAGTTTTGTTTCCTTTTTCTCTACAGACTTGATTCCCTTTTCTCTACAAATTTGATTCCTTTCCTCTACAGATTTTCTGTCTTCTGTAGCAGAATAGAACCTTCTCGATTGATCTAGGTGGGGTTCAAAGTCTGCAACTTTCCGTGCATCTCCTTGATTTGTTACACGTAGATCTCCGAATCGATGCTTTGGCCGCTTTTCAACAACGAATAGTGTATCACTTCTTTCTGATATCACCAAGTTGACAACATGATCTTCTTTGGATGAAGACCCAGTTTTGGAAAAGAAGTCGGAGTTTCGCCCTTATCCAACCATTCCGAATTTCGCTTTCAATTCAATTAAATGAAGTAAAGGACTCATTTTTCATAGCACGTTATCAATCGACCCAAAAAAGAGTCTTTCTCATTTCGAAACTTCAAAGAAGATGAAGCGAGACACCGAGCAAATTTTGGTCGATTATTCAATAGATGCGGAATCCATTTCTCAAGCTTCTTTACTTTGCCAATCTCTTTCAAATGATTGCCAACTGTTATAACTCCAACACCGAAGTGTTTCGCAAGCTCCAGCTCCGTGTTCCGAGGATCAGCTTCGAAAAAACGCTTCAAATCCTCATTTTCAAGTAGTCACCTCGGCTCTCCATATCTTCAAGATCCTTGTCTCCTTCGTGGAATCGCTTGAACCAAACTTGTGCGGTGGGAACTGATATAGTGCTTTGTCCAAATACACGATTGATGTTTTTGTCTGCATTTGTTGCTGAATGCCTGAGTTTGAATTCATACAAAAGAATCGTCCGAATTTGCTCCATATTTGGAAGTCCGAGTCTTAAACATCATAGATAATTAGAAACACAAAATCTTTAAGGAAACTGAAAGAAGAATAACCTAGCATGAAAATAAAAATAATAATTACAAGAGTCAAAGCTCAAAGTCAAGTCAAATCAAATTTAAAAACTATGTCAAAGTCAACCAGCCAGAAAACGTGGTTATTTTCTTGTAGTACCTAATAATAATATTTATTGTCCAGGTACCGTCACTACGTTCTCTCAAACAAAGCTCCAAGCCCAAAATTCATTGCTTTCCTTTGTTTTCTTATCTATCTACCAGCTTTCATCACAATGGTCAGTTAATAGAGTTCGAAAAGAAAACTGTAAAAAAGAAGAACATCGGCAACTGTCCACTACTTTCCAGATTCCATTCGCTTCTTCGACCAGCGACCCAGCTGGGGCCAGACAAATGCTTATCGATCATCAAAATGGTTCTCTTTTTCCTGATGACCCAAAAATCGCAGCCATCATCGGCTACGAAAACATTCTCCAACCAACGTAGCTTTTATTTATTGTAAGTTTAAAATTCTTGTTCAGAACAATGCCACTTCTGGCTTTGCTTTGTCTGCCAATTTTACCCGGCTACACAGCCGCTATCATCTATCGGATTCAAATTCTGCGAGTTCTTGAGAAAAACTCGATGAGTCCAAAAACGAAAATGGCACAGAAGAAATTGGTGAAGGTTGGTAAAGAAAAAAGTAATGTTTCAAACAGACCCTGTCTAGCAAACCAAAGCGAGTAAGGAAGACAAAAGCTCAGCTAAGTCCAGCTCTTGCTCCGATCAAGCCTAACTTTACACTCAACAAAAAGCTAGGCTTATCAAAGCATTTATAAATCGTTAACATTTGTCTTCAACTTTTTTCTTTAATAAGTTACTTTCATCTTTATCATTAACTCCAGTTTAGATCAGTTTTTTAGGCTCTAACGATTCAAGCAGTTCTCCCGATTTTGATGATGAGTCAAGCGTCGATTTACGCTTGGAGACAATTTCAGTTACCGTAAGATCATTAATAGAGGCTGAAGGTCAAGTACTTGCAAACCTTCAAGTTAAGGTTTGCGCACTCGGTTCCGTACTTTGAGGAATGGGCTTTTCTGTTAGTGGCCATGGTGAGTTCGGTGATAAAACGGATGCTAGGTCGAAGTTTGAAACGAATGAAATGGCCTTTTGATTGATCAGTCCAGACAACCAAGTCTAGTTGACCACTCACGCTCATCGTCTACCCAAGAACAATAACAGTTTAAGGTGTAAGATCTTTTTAAATCTCGTTTAGGTCAGCTCAATGAACCCGTGTATTACGGTCTACTACGTGGCTCCGTATCGAGAGAAAGTCATCCAAATATTCGGTCATTTGAGAAGAAAACGAGAAATCTACAAAATCCACGATCATTCGAATGCTTCATCAAGGAACACCACGAAAGACACCCACAATAAGCAAATTTCAACTCAAATCACTTCACAATATGATCTAACTTCAGTTTTAAATAAAGATTTCAACTTGCAACGGTTTATTGTTTTACAGGATCGCAAAAAAATTCTATGGGCACCCTTTTGGTAATTTAGTTTTTAAAAAATCAAGTCAAAACCCAGGAAGATAAGTTTATTATTTCAGAATTTAAAGAACAATCTTAAGAACAACAATTTTAGCATCCCAGCAAAACGCAAGGCTTGCAGACAGAAACGCGAGTTGAAGAAGCACTAAGGAAGATCAAACATCGCCCAAAAGCGCACAGTTTTCTGCTATTCTTTGAGTATTTTGCTTTTCTTTATATACAAATGAAAACCGATTGTCTTTTTCTGATAGTATGCTTATTTTTAATTTTGGGATCAGCATTTGTAAGCATGTCTCACAAAAACAGTGATTCCGTTTTCGATGGAGTTCGTCGTTTGGCCAATCCAACATGTGCGCTTTGAAATCATTTAACTAATCATAGGTAACTTCTTTAAAAAACACAAAAAAATAAGCATACTGTCAAAAGTAAAAATTTTCAAAATACAAACTTTTTGGTAAATCAACCGTTTCAAATTCTTAAACGCACCCGCCTTTGCTGTTGTTATTTGAAATTTTTCGTCTTGTTGTGAATATCTTTTCAGTAAATTTATAATTTTTGTTAATTTTCAGGTAAATGGCGCGCGGAAAGCTGCTCACGGATTATGAGAAAGGCCAGATTGATGCTCGTTTGAGGATTGGCGACTCAATAAGGAAAATCGCAAAAAATTTGGACCCTTTCCCAAATTTTTTGGGATTTTGGGATAATTTGCTGTGCGAAATTATATAAAGTCCGAGTTCGTTTCTGCACCAAAGAAGAAGCCAGGACCAAAGCCAAAGCTTGCATCGCGAGCTAGACGCCATATTGTGAACAACATCCACGAAAAAACGATCAATGAAGTGAAGACGGAACTGAAAATCGACGCTTCGAAGTCGACAATTTGGCGAGCCGTCACGGAAAATCCACATATCGATCGACACTTGTTGAACAAGTAATCGGCTGTGACGCTTTTGCACGAGAAAGCCCGATTGGTGTTCGCCAGGGTCCATATGAACCAGGATTGGTCTAAGTTTAGAAAAAAAACTATGTTATATTAATTTTTCCTTTTTTAGGTGATCTTTTCCGATGAGAAGAAATGGAATTTGGATGGCCCCGATGGCGTTGACTACTATTGGAGGATCTTCGACGTGATCCGATGGTGTTTGGAACTCGAAACTTTGGCGGTGGTCATAGGTAACTTCTTTAATTAGAAAATGTTTAATATTTCTATTTGTTAAAAATGCTTTGAAAAGTTTTAAATAAAACGAAAACTATAAAAACGGGAGCTGTGCTGTGTTGCGTGCCAAGTGGTATTCGGTCAATGTGTGGGACTCAATTCACGCTCATCTGCACACAATGTGGATGACTGAAAATATATTGTTTTATTTCATAGCTAAAGAATTATTCAAAAAATTAAAGAATTAGTTTACAAAAGTAGTTAAAATATTAAAGAATCAACTAACATTTGTATTTTCTGTATTTCCATTTCTCCACTCAGAATACGAGTTGAGTCGATCAACTTCACTCGCCAACTTTCCCTCAATTTCTTCGGCTTTTCCCGGCAACACCATCTCGAGATGTTCTCGCATTTTTTGAACACAATCCTAACATTTGAAAAGTTCGATTGTCAATGAAGTCGCTCTTAAATCACCTTGAACAACGGTCTCTCTTGTGTCTTCGAATTCCAGCATTTAAGCATAAAGTTGTACCTAGAATGTCTTCTCTCTCTCTGAAACTTCCCTTCAACTTACAGATCATCATGTACAAACTCGGGCTTTTTATTTCGTTCTCCATTTCGAACTCGCAGATAAATTTCCTTGAGCGGAATTCCCGGATATGGACGATTGCCAAGGGTGAATAGTTCGTACAAGAGGATTCCGTACGCCCAAACATCAGACTGCAAATTTACTTCAGAATCTTTTCCTTTAGCCAATATACTACAGTTCTATAGTACTTTAGTATTTGTACTTTGGTATCCGTAAAACCTTCACATAAAACAATTGAGTACCGCTTGTGTGTAATATCCGCTCTCAATCGATTCCGGACTCATCCACTGCAAAGGTAAAAGATCCTTTTTATGCTTCTCGAAGTCTTTTCTAAAAATAGCTTTTTATAATCAATAGTTTCTCCCAAACCGATAATAAGAATTGTTAGCACTTCTTGCCAATCCAAAATCAGCGATTCGACAAATGTTTTTCTCTGTGATTAATATATTTCTCGCGGCCAGATCTCGATGAATGCACTGAAAGGAAAGGATAGGCCTTTTCAAATGGTACTATGATCATTAGATGCAGTTTTTGATGCTGATTCCGAATCTGGTTTCAGATTTTGCTAATTAAGAGATATTTGGGTCAGAAAAAGCCTTTTAAAGGTCTTGTTAAAACCTGCAAGCTAAATATCTCGCAATCCCGAGGTGTTCAGCAAAACCTGAACCCAGATTCGGAATCAGCATCAAAAACTGCATCTAATCTTTTGTCGTTGAGGTTTTTAAGGTCAAAAGTCAAGGAGCAAAATATGAGGTGAAAGTCAAATAATTTTTGGCTTGATTAGCTTGTCTCATTAAGTCTTGGTCGAAGCTCGTTAAGAAACCATCTCAAGCCAGACTTCGAGCCAGCCAGACCAACCGGGATTTCACTCAAAAACTCCATTCCGCTAGCGATTTGCATCGCAAACGATAAAAGATCGGATGTCGAGCATAGAAATGTCTGAAATATTAAAATCTCATTCAACGTCGTTCCTCTTCAAAACTTTTAGAAACCTGAACAATTGGTGTCTTCTCGTCTCCATCATGCTTTTCGTCTTGACTTTCAACTTGAGTCCACTAAACAATTCGAATTCAAGCTAAAAACTAAAACAAGATCATACCGGAATGTAGCTGTCAGACTTTTTTTTAATTATTGACAATTCAACCTAAACAAAGTCTTTTAACTTTTTAGCGATCATTTTCCTACTGTGTTTCCTATATCTTTGCGATCTGGCTTCATGTATTCACTGTTTTGAGCCTGAAATGTTAGTTTAACAAGAGACGGTCAAAAGGGTGTGGATGGTCAAATGACATGAGGCATTCTAACCAACGTAGAATTTTGGGCTGATTCGAAGAAAACAGACCCTGAATTGATAAGTTGACCTACCAGAGGGGATAAGATTTTGTGGTGGCAGTAGGTGTGAATATGAGGCGAGGACTTTTGTTTGACTTTTGTTTTTGGATCAAAATTGACTACCTAGAGTATCTAACTCAACTTATAAACTTCAGATCTGTTTTCTGCGATTCCATACAAAAATTGGCACGTTTTTAACTTTTGACAGAGTGTTGCGGTGCAAAATCGGAAAGCAGATTCAGAATCAGTGCAAAATTCTACGCCGGTTAGTATCTGGCTCATGTCACGTGTTAGTAATAATTCAAATACTAACCTTTCTCAATTCATTACAAAATGTGTCGCGTGTGAGGTTTTTCAGAAATTTCTCGAGACTCCCATTGGCGCATAGCTCCGTGACAACACAGAGACGACCACTGGATTTACAAGATGCGTTCAGAATCACGTATCAAGTTTCATTTTGGTCAAGATATTAAGTGCTTACCTAGTCAGATGATCGGTGACTGCTCCAATCAGAGTGAGCACATTCGGATGCGGTGGAATTAAGGACATCAACTTCAGCTCGTCGGCCAACATTTGAATGTTGATGATGTGTTGTCGGATTGAGGCTGCGTGAAATGGTTCCTATAGTAATGTTTGAGAATCTTTTGTCAAGAAGTTCACCTTAACAGCGACCTTTAAAGTTGGTCTTTCGGAAGTGGAATTATTGATTTGATTCGGTTTCTTCAAAAACCCCATTGAAACTTTCCCGAACTGTCCACTTCCCAACTGTAAACATCTTAGAAGTCGTAAAAAGAAACTTTTTACCGTTTTTCGATCAGAAATTTGAAGATCATCACATGAAATTTCCAACTTCGAACGATCGTAAACGATTTGATTGATTTGTTGATCGAGGGGAATCTGCTTGTTTCGATCTTGAGCTGGAATGGTTCCTCCGTTTATTAAATCATCATGCAGCACTCGGAAAGCACTAAACAAAGAGGTTTTAAATACGATATCAATTTACTACAGACTTTTCTTGATTTCGAGCTCGAGCTTTCTGTCTTCTCCACAAAATAACAAAATTGAGTACACACGCGAGCGAGATGATAAAGATGATGGAGAAAGCAACGAATGCAACCATTAGACGTCTTCTTTTATCGTCTTTGACCTATTGTTAATGCTGACCAATATTTCCGCGGGTTTGTTCGTGATTAGCTGCGACCGCAAAAGTGGAGCCAAGTATGCGTTTGGCTATTATAAACTCTCTGACAAGGGAATGATCGGAACTGGGCGGACGTTTTTGCTACGCCGTTGAGATTTTAAACGCCTATCGAGCATGGGGAAAACGATGCTCTATTTATTTTTTGCCCATTCTCAATGGTTCACAAGAAAAACGCTTGCAAAGTTTAGGGATTCACTCGAGTAATCGAACCTCAGAAACCGAACCTTGGGATATATAGGCTCTTTCCCTTCCCAGTCAGCATGACCAAATGGTGTAGCTTTTGCCCCTCTCAACCCTGGTTCGGATCCCGTTGCGAGAGTTTTTCTTACTTTCTTTTGGGTGAACCCGCGATCTTTTGCTTCCCCTATTACCTGCAGAGAGATGCTCCGTCGCACTTCTCCCACTCGATTCTTCCCAACACATTCATAGACTCCACTATCATCGGTGTCGACTTTAGGAAGAACAATTGAAGCATTTACAAGAAGACTTTCACTATCCCTCATTGCAATCCCATTCTTTGACCTTTAATCATTCAGTGTTTTCTGCTCACTTCAAACAAAGTTTTCTCTTGTAAACAACAAACCATGAAATGAACGGAGTCGGATCTCCACTCATTTTGCAGTCTAATAGCTGGCTTTCTCCAGCTTTTATGTGAACTATTTCTGTTTCATTGACGAGCAATACGGGTGCTATCATTTCATGAATCTATAATAGACAATTTCAAATGAAAAAAGAAAGTCTCAAACCTCGAGCCCGATTGTTTGATTAAACTCCTGTTCGGTTTCAGTGTTTCTTGCGACGCAAATGTAGTCACCAGAGTTATTTGTGGAAATATTCTATGATTGAAGTTTGAGGATAAAAGCTCTATTTGTAGTATGAATTGGCTTAAACCACAAAAACAAAAAGAACAAAAAAAGATCGAGCTCTAAAATCAAGCTCTGGCTATTTGTATTCACTGATCTTTTTAAAATTTTCTTTGCTTAATTTTTGATTTTCAAACAAACAAACAAACCTTGAGCGTCATTTTTAAGAGCACTGAATCCCCGTCAATGCTTTGCCCAATGCTGCTTTCATCTAGCACTGTCTGGTTGTGAATCCAAAACATTGAGCTGTAAATGAATAAATTTCAGGAATATTTTGTTAACCAACATGTCAGCCACCATGTGAATTCGGCAAAATAGTGTGATATCATCGCCCCGATAAGTTCTGTTCTAAAAGAACTTTGCAAAGAGATTTCAAGAAGTATCCAACCGGATCCTCGCCACGAATTTCTGGATCTCTTTTGATCCAAACTGCTGGACGTTGACCTGCGACCCGGAGATGAAATGAACCTTGTAGGGAGGTGCGCTAGATGTTTGAATTGGAGAAACTTCTAAACGAAACAAACAGATGTAAACCAGAGTGACAACAATTTGCTGCAAACAACAATGAGATCCTCGTGAACGGTCGTGTTCCAAAAAACCTTATTCGCTCCGGTCACACTTGCTGCTGGGACCATTTTATTCGACCTTAAGCAGTCATTGCTTTCACCTTTTCTCATCGTTACCGTTGATAAAATAAGTGAAGTTTGTCAACATGACGCCTCGAATGACAGCCAAGCCGAATCTTTGCGCCAATCTAAAGATTTATTAGGTTGTGAACTGTGTTGATCCCTTCAGGAAAGTTTCGAAATTTTGTTTACGCTTAGTGAGGGTGCGCTCTGTTTTTCCTGTTATGGGGACGACTTATCCGAAAGTACAATAAAACACTGGTTTCACAAATTCAGAAATAAGGAGATTTCTCTCGACGATCAAGACCGATGGGGCAGGCCTAGAGAGCTTGGAAATGCAGATATTCTTCGTCCCGAAAACCCCCGAATTTCTTTGCGGCTGAGGTTGAATACTCTGGCTGAGACCTGGAGTTACACCAGCAAAGGATGTGCTCCCAGACCTCCACCAAAAGAAGTACATGCTATCGGTTTGGTAGGATCCCTTGGGTGTCATTTATTGAGAGCTTCTCGATAATAAGCAGACAATCAATGCTCTATTATACAGCGGCCAGCTCAGAAAGCTTGAAGAGGAAATTAAGGTAAAGCGCCCCAATTTGAAAGAGTCTCCAACACGATAACGCCAGTTCACATGGCAAACATGACCCGCTCTACAATCCATGAGTTGAACTGGGAACTCTTACCCCGCCCACCATATTCTCCTGACCTCAGTCCTACAGATTACCACATTTTCCAATCAATGCAACATGCCCTGGATGGAGAGCACTTCCAAAATGAAAAAGGCCTCAAAAAGTTGCTCCAAGGCTATTTTGACTTGAAAGCAAGCATTTTCTATGACAGGAGAAGCCTCCAATTGTCAGTAAAATGGGGAAAATTCATTGCTAAATAATGAATTCATTTTGATTAAACTGCTCTTTTAGTTGTCAATAAATATTGTTTTGAATTTAGGGTCATGACTTAGTTTACAATCTAATACAAGTGCAAAAGCTATAAATTTTGGATTTAAAACAAAACAATTTTCTCAATAGGTATTTTCTATCGAAATTTCAGTTTTTTATAGTCCTCTGGACCTACCACGTGATACACTTTATCGAATTGAACGAAATGATCCGAGGATTGCACGTTGAAAGTAAAATCTTTCACTGGAGTGTCGACTTTGACTTTCCACTGAATCATTTGATAGCGCTGTTCGAACACATTAAATGTGATTTCATAGCTAGAAAACTCGAATGAAATGGAATGAAAATTTGATTGGTTTTTGCACTCACGTTTCACCAGGAGCTAGTTTGTGACTAGGTATGAAGAGCTCTTCGGTGTAACTTTCCACTCTGCCATTTTCATCGACCTACAAGATCGTACGTCTATTACTAATCGTCTTAGCTCATTTGATCCAAAATCTTTTTGTGTCTGGGCCACTAACATTTAACGGTTTGCTTTGGTTCGGGTTCTTAAACGATAAGAGAGGATCGTTTTGACTAACATAAAACCGATTAACACCGGTTTTAATAGGTTTTAATATTAATCGGTTCCGAACCGATTAAATGGTTGCTCGGCTCGATTTGTTTCCATTAAGAACCGAAGCTAATGGCTTCGGAAGTTTTTACCTTCAGATATGGTCTCTTGCCACAGTCCACCATTTCCTCCCGAGAGGAAACTTTTTGTCTTCCAACATCGACATATCTCATGTACGACCATTTACAGGTGTACTTTACAAAATCGGATGCTATCGGGAGAATCGTTGCTGAAAGAACTTGTTCTATCCAACAGATTCGGCCTAAGGCTACCTTTTATTCTGATGGGCTCTCCTTGAAAAACAGTCAACTCTTCGGCGTGTGGAGCAAACTACAACAAAGATCCAATTTTAAATTTAATCGAAATCCTACGTGCATTCTGGATAATGCGAAAAAGATTCGGAATGGAGACGTTTGCTGAGTCTTAGCATCCCATTTGTTGACCACTTTTTGAGGCCTGAAGTAAATTTCGAGAGAGAGACAATAATCTTCTTACCAAGAACATGTGTATAGACCAAAATGGCGGGGTTCAACCTCCTCAAATATCACACTCAATGAGAAGAGCGTCGAATCCCCATGAATTTGCACATCTTTTTGGATCTTTGGCTGAAAAGACTTTGTAAAACTTACTACGAACTTTTTTTACTCCATCTTTTTGCCTGCATCGAGGACACTGCATTTGTAATTGGTTTTCAATATCGCTCGTAGTATTGTCCAATCGCAGATCACATTGAACAGTGACATTTATTCCTATATCGTTTGTAAATATCACCAACCATGCACTAGAAATGGTTTCTGATTCGATCCGATCCAATCAAATCCGATTCGATCCGTTCCGTCCGATCAGAAACCATGTCTACCATGCACTGCAGACTGATACAGTTTGTGAGCAGTCAATCGTTGTTGAAGGTATATGAAAAACAAACGGACGTTTGTTAAACGAAAAATCCCTAGCATCCAGGTTTGAGATCATCATTGACACAGAGTTCACGGGCATTGAAGCAAACTAAACAATTGGTTATAACAAAATTCTAAATCAAAGACGCCAACCCGCACGAACCACTCGACTTCATCGCCCTTGGAAGCCACACAGCGGAACCGGCCACTACCCGGTAAACTCCTGTTCAGTTTCACCAAATCTATTTCAAAGCCGTACCTTAAAGTAAACAGTGCTGTTTTAAGATGAACCAGCCAACTTACCGTAAGTCAGAGGTCACAGCATATAGCGCTTCACTATCTATCAGCCATTCCTCTCCGTCCACAAACAAAGAGGGCCAATCTCGCCAATGACCGATTTCCGCGTATCGACACGGAAGAAGAAATTTTGATGAGGTGACATCGAGTGTATAGGTTTTGGGTTTTAGAAACTCATATAAACCTGAAAATGAAGTAAAATTTGCAAAATGCAATACTTTGAATTGAGTCTACCTTCCACAAAAACGTAAACAAAATCAGTGTGGTTCTTCTCGTCCAAACACGAGTATTTCCCGGTATCACTCTGTTCCAGGGATCGAATGTGAAACAATTGACTCTAAAAATTTACACAAAGGTTTTTAAAGACAACATTATTTTACCCGTTCATCTTCTTTTTCGACAGTGACTCTCTTTAGGAAATCCTCTTCACTAAACCCTTCCAAATCGAGATTCGATTCAATTGGCAGCATCCATCTACACAAGAAAATCACTTGTAGTTTGAAAAAACAATTTTTGACTAACAGCTTAAGATAACAGTTCGAAAAGAAACAACATTTTCGTTAACTTGAATCAAATTCACTTACTGAAGTCTATTAGCAGTTGTGCTCTGGCATCGAAGACTCAAATTCTGTCCAGCTGACATTTGGATCATACGATAACTAAAAGTTTAAGTTAAATAAACAAGATCAAAAAGAACCTTCCTGCTGAATTGTCATGCACAGGAATCTCTTTGTCCACAGGCATCACCGTCAAACTCGCGTCCACAATTTGAAAGAACAAGAGAAAAGGAAAAAGAAGAGCGAGAAAAAGTTTGTTTTTAGGCATCCACCTTTCTGCAATTGATTGAATCTTTTGCATTTTAACAAAATGCCTTTTTTCTAAGCGAATAATAGATAGTGGTAGAATAGGTTTTGGTTTCAAAATGATTTGTGAAACAATGTGTATTGAGAAGTAAAAGTCTTTAATTGCTAATCTTTTTTACTTTGTTTATCGGAAATCTAGTTTCGAAGAAAAGGTGACTAATTAGAGAAAACAACTGAAAGGACAATTCGTGGAAAGAGAAAGCTTCATCTTCTTTGCAACGGACTCTTATCAGATTTTTCAAACTCTGTTGTTAAAATGACAAGGTGATACGAAGTCGTCAATTGATTGATTGTTCGAGAGGAAGTGAGTTGGAAGATTACTCACTTTATTTCCACCAAAAGCTCAAGCTTTTCGTATTTATTGGGTTGGGGACTATGACTCGGCGCCGAAAATCAAAAAAATTTCTGAAACTTCTAGCAGACTTCGTCAAATGATACGTGTTTGATATCAGTAGAAAAGTGAACTAATTCTCTACAAAATGACATTTAAAAGAAAACTCAAACAGCGCCTCAGCTCAAGAAAAGGCCATTTTTTCACAAAAACTACAAAGTGTCATCTAGAAAAAACGATTGAAGGGATCTTCCTGCAAATTTGGCAACTTATGTAATTGAATGTGCTCTATCTTTTTTACACCGACACCAAAGAAGGTTTATGTGCAAAGAAACTGTTCAAACGATGAGTCGGACTCTTTGCCATTTTGATCAGCTGTGTTTGGAAGTTCATAAAATCCACGAAAGAAAAGCTTTGTGGAATCTCTCAAAAGTCATTTTGTAGAGAAATAGTGGATCCTTTTGATGAAAGAAAACGGATATTTAAAGAAGGCTTTATGTGTGCAAAAAGTGTCTTTAAAGTTTGGCGCCGAGTCATAGTCCCCAACCCAATACATATAGCAGGCAACAAATTTGAGGAGCAAATTTCGATTCGAATCGAATTTCAGTCTAGAATTAGGTACCATTTCTTTTTAAGTCAACACATTTATCGGTTAACTTTAATGCAATAACAATGGACCAACAGTTAACAAAATATTCCTAACAATAAAACAAAGCAACAATTGAACAATAGTTGAACAATAGTTGAACAAAAAGTGACAAGAATTGGCGAAATTTGAACAACTTAGGACGTCCAGAATAAAAGTTAAAGCAAATTATGGTATTCATCCTCAGATGGCGCTTAAAAGTCCAAAATGCACCCAAATTCTCAACTATTAACGCTTAAAAAATGAAAACTGATAAGAAAAATGATTTTGCAGTTAAAAAGAGAGCGAATACGCGACGCAACATGGCGACGACAATTGAGTCAATAGGAAAGCAACGTAGCGTCAAAAATTATCATTTAAGAAAAAGAAATTAACATTTAATTTTGAGACAGGCATTCAAAGTGACGTCACAGATCGAATCGAATCGGTTCAGTTAATTTCAACCTTGTTTTCAAAGCCTTTCGAGAAATTTGGGTTTGTGTTTTGAATCTAAAACTCTTTCGTTAAATCCGTTCTTTCTCTTGGCTAAACATTTTTAAGGAGTTTATTCAATAAAACTCAGAAAAATGAAGATAAAGGTAAATCGAAAAGTATGATCAAATTACATGAGAAATGAGCATTTGTGCTCCAGGCAACCGATGATTTGGTGATTTGGTTGTAAGAAAATCAAGTCAAAATACAGGAAGATAAGATAAAAGAAACGTTTTCTTTTTATTCAGACATTCAGACAGTCTTTTGAAATTGTTTTAACGTATTTTATTAAGTTTGCATCAGTTTATTTGATCAGAATTGAAAAAACAATCGTTTTTTCAAAACAACAATTTTAGCATCCCAGCAAAACTCAAGGCTTGCAGACAGAAACGTGAGTTGAAGAAGCACTAACGAAAATCAAACATCGGGCCAATAAAAGATGCGGGACTTGTCGGCTAGAAACATCTTACGGCAAACATGCACTCACAAAGAGAAAGCCACTCGTTTGTGCCAGGCTGAGCAACATCGCACAGAATTCCTCGTGGTATCAAAAGGATATCGTCAAGTTGGCAAGGATGTCTGTCTTGGCTGTATGTGGAGGCCGGCTTTACAACCTTTTCACCTTCATCTCCTCGTCACACGGTTCCCATCTGGTTCTTCACCGAGCCCTATTAGAATTTTTAACTCAGGAAGATAAGATCTTTTTTTCTTTTTAACAACCTGCAAAAAAATGGAAAGATTCATGAAATAAGAAGAAAGAAGAAACTAAGAAGAAATATTGTTGTCGGGCAGACAAGGGAATTGTCCAGCTCTTGCTCCGATCAAGCCTAACTTGACACTCAACAAAAAGCCACGCTTATCAAAGCATTTATGAATTGTTAACATTTGTCTTCCAGATTTTTCTTTAATAAGCTACTTTGTTGCCTATAGCCCATCAGCTTGTCTTTTCTATGAGTACGATGTATCACACGCGTTCAGATCACAAGCGTTCATAGGACGATCAAAATTGTTGAGACTGAGAAACTGAGATAATTGTTGTTACCTTAGAGTTTAGTTCTTGTAACTAAAAAATGTAAATTTTAAAATGAACTGTTTTAATACACTTGTGCTTGTGTTACTAACACTTAAGCTCATAATGCTAATTATAAGATGGCTCTCATTCATATACTGTCTCTCGTGACCAGGCTTTTTTTCTCTGATTGCTATACCTAAAAACAAGCACAATTTACAAGCTATCGGCTTCTTGTTGTCTCTTCACGTGTGCCTTTTTGTTCAAACCGGTGCCTACAGTCAGAACGGACTCGTACGTAACAATTCTACTAACTTAATTCAAAGTCATTTTTCTTTACAATACGCGTTCAGGCGATCGGCAACTCTCTGGCCTTTAAGCCGATTGTTCCAAACTTTATGTATACACTTATTTTGCTTTACGTAAACGGATTTCTCATCACTGCTATCACTTTTTCCTATCGCTCTACGACAGTCGTTTTGTGGAGGTAAGGAAAAAATCTTTTCATAAAGTTTTGTCAAATCTCAACAATTCATTGTTGTGAACAGACTGTTCTTCACAAGCCAACTAGGCTTTCCAGTATACAGGATGCGTCACAATTATGTACCCAGATGAATTAGTCGGTATTAACCGATAAACAAGTCATCCAAAGATAACAAGGAGACGTGGGCTGAAGGCGTCAACTGTGGCACGCAAGTAGGCAACCTCAAGCTCGTCCCATGCTTTATGGAGCCCTTTCTTTAATGCGTCAACTGTTCGATGTGGTTTAACACATGCCTTCGCTTCTAAGATTTACGAGACTAAAAAAATCAAGTGAATTAAAATCCGGCGAGCTTGGATGCCACTCGTTGAATGAGATGAAGTCGAATAGGTTCTGCTCACACCATGCTGAACCATTCGAGAAGGCCCTCACATCGTTCTTTCAATCGTGTTTTTATTCAAACATTCAGATAGTCTTTTGAAATTGTTTTAAAGGGGGGCACATCCGCGCGAAATAAGGCAAAAAATTGTTTTCTATAGGATTTTTACGTTTGAATAGCCATTTGATGCAGAAAAATGTGCTGAATTCAATGGTGAAAAAATTATCAAAATCCGTCTTGTAGATTTTTTAAAATCGCACTTTATCAAAAAAATCGGTCATTTTACACAGAAACGGCCAAAGTCACCTGCATTTGGGCCTCCACTACTCGATGGTAACAAAAAATTAGGAAATGCCAGGGAATAGACTTTGTCAAAATGTTGTCTGCGGTCATTTTGAGACCAAAATCGTATTAATTGGTCAACTCAAAAAAAAGTTATAACATTTTGAAGACAAAAATGACGTTTGACGACTTTCTGCGCGCTAAAACGTGGATAATACCGTAACCCTTTCCATGACGAAAAACAAAACTACTTAAAGAGCGCTTGCAAAGAATCTTTTCAGTTCATTTTTCTTCTTTTGACGAGCTTTCTTTATCATTTTCATGTCATAATAATTGTTTCTTTTTTTCAGATACCCAAGAATGAGTCGACCAAAGAAACACAGCAAAATAGGAAAGCAAACGATCGAAAACAAAAGAGTGAAGCAGCGGATGAAGGTTTCGAGCCAACTTAAGATGGAAAGGATTAGAGCAAGCAAAAAGGAGATTACTCGAATCAAAAAACGCAAACGCGTTGAACTGTTGCAGAAGCTTCGTTTAGCCCGAAACAAAGACGACACAGTTTTCTCCTATTCTTTGAGTATTTTGCTTTTCTTTATCTAAAAATGAAAACCGATTGTCTTTTTCTGATAGTATCCTTATTTTTCACTGAAAGTAAGTGAAATTATTGACCTAATGGAACAAACCATTTCAGAGGAAATGCTAGAAGGAATGTGCTGAGAAAGAGCACCAAAGATCTGTTTGACATTTGTAGCTTTAGTATGAGACTTCTCCATTCAGAAAAACTCTTAAATATTGAAAAAAAACTTATTGTTAGGTAAGAAAATGATTCTTGAAGCTTGCAAATTCTTGGAAAGCCGAATCTCGAAACATTTCTTTTAATTTTTCCCTAATTCGATCTATCATTTCAAGTTTATTTGACAATTTCTCCGTAAACATTTATCAAGTCAACAAAAAATGATTCCTTGCGAAATCAAAAGCTGCTTTTCATTGAAAAAAAGGTATTGAGAAAATTGTTTTTCAACGTGAAATCAATCAATTTTACCTCCAATCAATTTTTCTTATACCTTAACACGATAAGAAGAACATTGATGGTGGTGAGAGATGAGAGACCAAAGAATAGAGAACCCTTCCCATGGGCATTTGTCTAGCATTTGTTTCTCCCAAAAAGCTTCATTTTCCTTGTAGAAATCTTTTCGTAAAACCTCGAAGATCTTTCATTGCACTTTTGGGTCTTGACAGCTAGACATCGACCTCGAACTTCATGTACTCAAAGAAAAGATCCAAAAATTTAAATCTACCATACGTTTTCTTAAAGCAAAAGATTTTCCCCTTTCTTTTTTGCATAATGAATTTTGTCGTTTTTCTGTGGTGAACTCTAGCTCAAAATCTAGCAATTGTTTTTGAATGGAAGTCCTAACAAGCAAGAATAAATGGTTTTAAAACATACGATGTCAGCGAGCAATGTCAAGAGCTAACTGGGAGACTCATTCAACTTGAGAATGCTCTAGCTGCTACACAAGCATCTACGTGATGTAACTGATAGAACTAAGTGCATTACAAATTTAAATATAAAAGTTTTGTGAATTTTAAAACTAACTGTTTAATATTTCTGTTTGTTAAAAATGCTTTGAAAAGTTTTAAATAAAATAAAAACTATAAAAACGGGAGCTGTGCTGTGTTGAGTGCCAAGTGGTATTCGGTCGATTGGTGGGACTCAATTCGCGCTTATCTGCACAATTCCCAACAACAAGATCAATCAAATGTTTAAAGAGAATTGCTCACCTCAAGGTTCAATGATTCTTTGACGGGAAACTTTCTATGTAAAGCAATAGCTGTTATAGTAAAAATCAACACTCAAAGGAATTGACTTCAAAGATTCATAGAACAAAAGGACTTGCTTACTCGCTTACACAAGTTGTTCTTTACAGATTTCCTAATTAAAACCTGTTAAAAACTCTAAATTTATTAAAACGCTAATGTTTTTCTTTGTTTAAAGGCTCATTTTGATCATTTTAAACTAGAATAAAAATAAATTGTTTATTGATAAAATGTTTAAAGTTTAGATGTTTCTCCAATCAGAATACGAGTTGAGTCGATCAACTTCACTCGCCAACTTTCCCTCAATTTCCTCGGCTTTTCCCGGCAACACCATCTCGAGATGTTGTCGCATTTTTTGAACACAATCCTAACATTTGAAAAGTTCGATTGTTAGTGAAGTCACTCGTAACTCACCTTGAACAACGGTCTCTCGTTTGTCTTCGAATTCCAGCATTTCAGCATAAAGTTGTACCGAAAATATCTTCCTTCGCTCTCTTCAACTATCCTTGAACTTACAGATCACCATGTGCAAACGCGGGCTTTTTATTTCGTTCTCCATTTCGAACTCGCGGATAAATTTCCTCGAGCGGAATTCCCGGATATGGACGATCGCCGAGGGTGAATAGTTCGTACAAAAGGATTCCGTACGACCAAACATCAGACTGCAAATTTACTTCAGAATCTTTTCCTTTATCCAAAACACTATAGTACTTTAGTATTCGTAAAATTTTCACATAAAACAATTGCATACCGCTTGTGTGTAATATCCACTTTCCATCGATTCCGGGCTCATCCACTGCAAAGGTAAAAGATCATTTTTAGGCTTCCCGAAGTCTTTTCTAAAAATAGCTTTCTTTAATGAATAGTTTCTTCCAAACCGATAATAAGATTTGTTAGTACTTCTTGCCAATCCAAAATCAGCGATTCGACAAATGTTTTTCTCTGTGATTAATATATTTCTCGCGGCCAGATCTCGATGAATGCACTGAAAGGAAAGAATAGGCCTTTTCAAATGGTACTATGACCATTCAATGCAGTTTTTTGATGCTCCTACAGAATCTGGTTTCAGATTTTGCTGATCAAGAGATTTTGGGATCAAAAGATATTTAGGTTAGAAGAAAAGCCTTTTGAAGGTCTTGCTAAAACCTGCAAGCTAAATATCTCGCAATCCCGAGGTGTTCAACAAAATCTGAACCCAGATTCGAAATCAGTATCAAAAACTGCATCAAATGGTCATAGTACCATTTGAAAAAGCCACAGTGACTACCCATTCTTCCCTCCTGAGAATTAAAGGGTTCAGATTTTGCTGAACACCTCGGGATTGCGAGATATTTAGCTTGCAATTTTTAGCAAGACCTTCAAAAGGCTTTTCTTCTAAGCTAAATATCTCTTGATCCCAAAATCTCTTGATCACCAAAATCTGAAAGCAGATTCGGAATCAGCATCAAAAACTGCATCTAATCAGCTTGGCAAAAGTCATCAAAGTCAAAGTTCAAATGGTCATCGTACCATTTGAAAAAGCCACACTGACTACCCATTCTTCCCTCCTGAGAAGTTGACTTTTGCGAGATGCAAACCAAAAAGGTCAAAAGTCAGGGAGTAAAATATGGGGTGGAAGTCAAATAATTTTTGGCTTGCTCGTTCAGAAACCATCTCAAGCCTGACTTCGAGCCAGCCAGACTTACCGGGATTTCACTCAGAAACTCCATTCCGCTAGCGATTTGCATCGCAAAGGATAAAAGATCGGATGTCGAGCATAGAAATGTCTGGAATATTAAAACCCCATTCAATTTCGTTTCTCTTCAAAACTTTTAGAAACCTGAACAATTGGTGTCTTCTCGTGTCCATCATGCTTTTCGTCTTGACTTTCAACTTGAGTCCACTAAACAATTCGAACTCAAGCTAAAAACTAAAACAAGATCATACCGGAATGTAGCTGTCAGTAGCTACATCCACAGAGATTTTTCTAATTATTGACAATTCAACCTAAACAGTTTTTTTAGCTTTTTAGCGATCATTTTTCTACTGTGTTTCCTCTATTTTTGCGATCCGGCTCCATGTCTTCACTGTTTTGAGCCTGAAATGTTAGTTTTACAAGAGACGGTCAACAGGGTGTGGATGGTCAAATGGCATGAGCCATTCAGTAACCAACGTAGAATTTTGCGCTGATTCTGAATCTGCTTTCCGTTTTTGCACCGCAGCACTCTGTCAAAAGTTAAAAGCGTTGCAAATTTTTGTATGTATTGTTTGTATGTATCGCAGAAAACAGTCCCTCAATTGATAAGTTGACCTACCAGAGGGGAAATTCTGTGGTGGAGATTCTGTGGTGGAGATTCTGTGGTGGCCGACTGGCAGTAGGTTTCAATATGAGGCGAGGATTCTAGGGATCGATTCCGGAGTTTGACTTTTGTTTTTGGATCAAAATTACCTAGAGCATCTAACTCAAGGTCTGTTTTCTCCGTTTCCATACAAAAATTTGCACGCTTTTAACTTTTGGCAGAGTGCTGCGGTGCATAAACGGAAAGCAGATTCGGATTCAGCGCAAAATTCGACGTTGTTAGTAATAATTCAAATACTAACCTTTCTCAATTCATTACAAAATGTGTCGCGTGTGAGGTTTTTCAGAAATTTCTCGAGACTCCCTTTGGCGCATAGCTCCGTGACAACACAGAGACGACCACTGGATTTACAAGATGCGTTCAGAATCAGATGTCAAGTTTCGCTCTGGGCAAGATATTACCTAGTCAGATGATCGGTGACTGCTCCAATCAGAGTGAGCACATTCGGATGCGGTGGAATTAAGGACATCAACTTCAGCTCGTCGGCCAACATTTGAATGTTGATGATGTGTTGTCGGATTGAGGCTGCGTGAAATGGTTCTTATAGTAATGTTCGAGAATCTTTTGTCAAGAAGTTCACCTTAACAGCGACCTTTAAAGTTGGTCTTTCGGAAGCAAAATTATTGATTTGATCCGGTTTCTTCAAAAATCCCATTGAAACTTTCCCGAACTGTCCACTTCCCAACTATAAAAAGTCTAAAGACTCAGTGGATAGAAGCTTTTTACCGTTTTTTGATCAGAAATTTGAAGATCATCACACGAAATCTCAAACTTCGAACGATCGTAAACGATTTGATTGATTTGTTGATCGAGGGGAATCTGCTTGTTTCGATCTTGAGCTGGAATGGTTCCTCCGTTTATTAAATCATCATGCAGCACTCGGAAAGCACTAAACAAAGAGGTTTTAAATACGATATCAATTTACTACAGACTTTTCTTGATTTCGAGCTCGAGCTTTCTGTCTTCTCCACAAAATAACAAAATTGAGCACACATGCGAGCAAGATGAGAAAGATGATGGAGAGAGCAACGGATGCAAGAATTAGACGTCTTCTTTTATCATCTTTGACCTATTGTTAATGCTGACTTACATTTCCGTGGGTCATTGTTTGTTCGTGATTAGTTGCGACCATGAAGTGGAGCAAAGTATGCGCTTGGCTATTATAAACTCTCTGACTAGGGAATGATCAAAACTGGGCGGACAATTTTGCTACGCCGTTGAGATTCAAATGCCTATCGTGCTTGGGGAAAACGATGCTCTATTTATTTTTGGCCCATTCTCAATGGCTCACAAGAGAAACGCAACGAAAAACGAAAAAAGAGTCTTTTTTCTTCCGTTCGTTTAAAAGATGTTGCGGTGCGAGCGCACTTGTCTCTAGGCCACACGATTCGGGTTCGACTCCCACCCGCGTCGGCACTTTTGGTTTTTTAAAAATTTAATAACATGTTGCATAACGACATGAAATTCTAAGCCAAACTAACTATTTGAAACGGCCTACTGGGCGTGGAGGAGTAGTGCGCACAGACAGACAGACAGACGTCTTAGTCCTTTATATTTATAATAACGTTGCGGGATTTTCGGCAGCCTAAAATCCTCATAGTTTCAATTTTGGGAGACAGATTTATTTTTAACCTATTCTCTGTGATTGTTTTTATTAGTTTCTTTGTTGTTTTACTTTGTTTCAAGTCTATTTATTTTTTTATAGGATGACAAACAAGGGATCTGCGATTCTGGAGCTTCATCGTCAAGGCCAATGCATGAGTGCGATCGCGCGATTGCTACGTGTTTCTCATCAGCTCGTCTCAAAAGCGATTAAGCGATACAAGGAGCTTGGCAACGATGGAGATCGTCCAGGAAGAGGCAGAAAAAGAACTGTCAACACCTCCAGAAATCGCAAAGTGATTCAGAAGCGCGTGGCCCGGAATCCACAGTTCTCAATGAGAAAGATCGCTCGACGGACGGGGATCGCTCGCGAATCGGTTCGACTTATGGCCAAAAATGAGCTCAATCTTCACCCTTACAAGCTCAAGCAAGGGCAACAACTCGACGACAACAACAAACGAGTTCGACTCGAAAGATGTCGAGAGCTTCTCAAGCGGGCCGCAACTCCACACTGGGAGCGAATCCTGTTTTCTGACGAGAAGCTCTTCTCGGTGGAGCAAAGCTACAACCGCCAAAACGATCGTATTTGGTCAACGTCCTCTCCAGGCAGCTCTGCGGTTGTTCAACACCGACAAAATCCCAAATCGGTCATGGTATGGGCCGGAATCTGCGCCACTGGCAAAACTCCTCTCATTTTCATTGATTCTGGGGTAAAAATCAATAAGGATGTGTACCAAAAAAGATTCTTTAGGATGTTTTGCTTCCATGGGCTCAACAGCACTTTGGTAACGGATTTTGGACCTTCCAACAAGACTCAGCTCCTTCTCATCGAGCCAAATCCACACAGGACTGGTGTAGGACAAACTTTCCGGATTTCATCTCGGCCCAGGAATGGCCTCCGTATTCGTGTGATCTCAATCCGTTGGACTACAGTGTTTGGTCAATTTTGGAGGCAAGGGCTTGTGCAAAACCCCACAAAAGTTTGGAGGCTCTTAAGCGATCGTTGACCAGGGAATGGGATCGAATCACTCCGGCCGAGCTGCGGCCCATCGCCGAAAACTTCATCAAGCGTTTGAGGTTCTGCATCGGAGCCAAAGGTGGCCACTTTGAAGAAAAGTAGAGTTTATACTCTCTTTATGTCTGTTGTTAATAAAAAATTGTTTCTGTTACAAAAACTTTTTTGGATTTCTAAAAAATAGGCTAAATTAGGCCGCAACGTTATTTCTGGTCACCCTGTATATAGTAGATTATTGTGTGTGCTATCCCTAGTCATCAGGTTAGTATAATAGAGACCCCTTGACAGTAGATTGGGTTGGTTTGGACTGGCTTGGAGGCTCAAACGATTTCCTTCAATTCAGTATGGTTTCTAGAATCAAAGCAAACCAAACCGATGTCCATGTAAATTGTTAAGTGGATAAGCCACCGTATAAATGTACCGTATCGGACAAATGAACGAGTCTCAATTGTGGCATCGCTCCCTTATTACCTCAAGAGAGATACTCCGTCGCACTTCTCCCACTCGATTCTTCCCAACACATTCATAGACTCCACTATCATCGGTGTCGACTTTAGGAAGAACAATTGAAGCATTTACAAGAAGACTTTCACTATCCTTCATTGCAATCCCATTTTTTGACCTTTAACCATTCAGTGTTTTCTGCTCACTTCCAACAAAGTTTTCTCTTGTAAACAACAAACCATGAAATGGAAGGAGTCGGATCTCCACTCATTTTGCAGTCTAATAGATGGCTTTCTCCAGCTTTTATATGAACTATTTCTGTTTCATTGTCGAGCAATACAGGTGCTATCATTTCATGAATCTATAACAGACAATTTCAAATGCAAAAAAAGTCTCAAACCTCCAGCCCGATTGTTTGATTCAACTCCTGTCTGGTTTCAGTGTTTCTTGCAACGCAAATGTAGTCACCGGAGTTATTTGTGGAAATATTCTATGATTGAAGTTTGAGGATCAAGCTCTATTTGTAGTATGAATTGGCTTCAACTACAAAAACAAAAAGAACGAAAACAGAACGAGCTCTAAAATCTAGCTCTGGCTATTTGTATTCACTGACATTTGTAAAAACAAACAAACAAACCTTGATTGTCATTTTTAAGAGCACTGAATCGCCGTCAATGCTTTGGACAATGTTGCTTTCATCTAGCACTGTCTTGTTGTAAATCCAAAACATTGAACTGTGAATGAATAAATTTAAGGAAGATTTTGTTAACCAACATATCAGCCAACATGTGAACTCGGCAAAATAGTGTGATATCATCGCCCCGATAAACTCTGTTCTAAGAGAACTTTGCAAAGAGATTTCAACAAGTAATCAACCGGATCCTCGCCGCTAATTTCTGGATCCCTTTTCATCCAAACTGCTGGACGTTGACCGGCGACTCGGAGATGAAATGAACCTTGATGGAAGATACCCTAGATGTTTGAATTTGAGAAAAGTTTCCTTCTAAACGAAACAACCATGGGATCAGACCACAACGTGCCTTTGCGGCAAACAACAATGAGATCCTCGTGAACGGCCGTGTTCCAATAAACATTCTTCGCTCCGGTCACACTTGTTGCTGAGACCATTTTATTCGATCTTAAGCAGTCATTGCTTTCACCTTTTCTCATCGTTACCGTTGATAAAATAAGTGAAGTTTTTTGTCCTCGTCAACGTGAAGCCTCGAATGACAGCCAAGCCGAATCTTTGCGCCAATCTAAAGATTTATTAGGTTGTAAACTAAGTGTTGACGCCTTCAGGAAAGTTTCGACATTTTGTTTACTTTTAGTGAGGTTGCGCTCTGTTCTTCCTGTTATGGGGAGGACTCTTCCGAAAGTACAATAAAACGCTGACTTCACAAATTCAGGAATAAGGAGATTTCTGGACCTAGAGAGCTTGAAAATGCAGATATTCTTTGTCCCGAAAGCCCCCGAATTTCTTTGTGGCTGAGGTTGAATACTCTCATGTAACAGTTGAAAACCTCCTTACTATTGGTTTTAAACCGATTCACGGTCAAAAGGTGCCCCACAACCTCACTGAGCCCATGAAAGGCCAGAGATCATCAGTTGCTGCTGCCCTTCTTTCCAGATAGGAAATCTTTCTTGCCGTGTGTAGTGACAGGAGATGAGAAATGGATTATGACTGCAAACTTTCAGAGAAAACGATTATGGCTGAGACCTGGAGTTGCACCAGCAAAGGATGTGCTCCCAGACCTCCACCAAAAGAAGTACATGCTATCGGTTTGGCGGGATCTCTTGGATGTCATTTATTGAGAGCTTCTCGATAATAAGCAGACAACCAATGCTCTATTATACAGCGGCCAGCTCAGAAAGCTTGAAGAGGAAATTAAGGTAAAGCGTGCCAATTTGAAAGAGGAATTTCGAAGTTTTATTATAGTCCTCTGGATAATTATTATTATTATTTATTATAGTCCTCTGGACCTACCACGTGATACACTTTATCGAATTGAACGAAATGAGCGGAGGATTGTACGTTGAAAGTAAAATCTTTCACTGGAGGGTCGACGTTGACTTTCCACCTGATCCATTGATCCTCCGTTTCCATGACAGACAATACGATTCCATAGCTAGAAAACTCAAATGAAATGAAATGAAAATTTGATTGGTTTTTGCACTCACGTTCCACCAGCAGCTAGTTTGTGACTCGGTATGAAGAGCTCTTCGGTGTAACTTTCCACTCTGCCATCTTCATCGACCTACAAGATCGTACTTCTTTTACTAATCGTATTAGTTCATTTGACAATAAGTGACAATGAATGACAATGAATGGCATCTTTTTTGTGTCTGGGCCACTAACATTGTAACCTGTTCGAAATTTATCGGTTTGCTTTGGTTTGGGTTCTTAAACGATAAGAGAGGATAGTTTTGACTAACGTAAAACCCATTAAAACCGCTTTTCATAGGTTTTACCGGTTGATACCGGGCCTGTTGCTAACCGATTAAACGGTCGCTCGGCTCGATCTGTTCCGACTAAGAACCGAAGCTAATGGCTTCAAAAGTTTTCACCTTCAGATAGGGTCGGTTGCCGCAGTCCACGCTTGCCTTTTCGTACGAAGAGAAAACTTTTTGTGTTCCAACATCGACATATCTTGTGTACGACCATGTACAGGTGTAGTTTACAAAATCGGCTGCTATCGGGAGAATCGTTGCTGAAAGAACTTGTTCTGTTCTGAAAGAACAGATTCGGCATAGGGTTACCTTTTATTCTGATCGGCTCCCCTTGAAAAACAGTCAACACTTCGGGGTGTGGGGCAAACTACAACAAAGATTCAATTTAAAATTTAATCGAAATCCTACGTGCATTCTGTATAATGGGGAAAAGATTCGGAATGGAGACATTTGCTGAGTCTTTGCATCCCATTGGTTGACCACTTTTTGAGGCCTGGAGTAAATTTCGAGAGAAAGACCATAATCTTCTTACCAAGAACATGTGTATAGACCATAATCGTCCAGTTTAACCTCCTCAAATATGACACTTAATGAGAAGAGCGTCGAATTCCCATGAATTCGCACATCTTTTTGAATCTTTGGCTGAAAATACTTTGTAAAACATACTACGAACTTTTTCTACTCCATCTTCTTCCCTGCATCGAGGACACTGCACTTGTAATTGGTTTTCAAATTCGCTCGTAGTATTGTCCAATCGCAGATCACATTGAACAGTGAAATTTTTTCCTATATTGCTTGTAAATATCACCAACCATGCACTAGACATGATTTCTGATTCAATATTCATCAGATCGGATCGGATCGAATCCAATTCGATCAGATTCGATCCGATTCAATCAAATCCGATTCGATCCGTTCCGTCGGATCAGAAACCATGTCTACCATGCACTGCAGACTGATCCAGTAGTACTGATACAGTCTGTGAGCAGTAAATCATTGTTGAAAGTATATGATAAACAAACGGACGTTTGTGAAGCGCCAAAACAAAAGCCTTTAGTTGTGGGATCGTTATTGACACAGAGTTCACGGGCATTGAAGGAAACTAAACAATTGGTTTGAACAAAATTCTAAATCAAAGACGCTAACCCGCACGAACCACTCGACCCTATCGCCATTTAAAGCCACACAGCGGAACCGGCCACTACCCATCGGTAAACTCCTGTTGAGTTTCACCAAATCTATTTCAAAGCCGTATCTTAAAGTAAACAGCGTTGTTTTAAGATGAACCAGCCAACTTACCGTGAGTCAAACGTCACAGCATCTCGCTCTTTACGATCTTTCAGCCATTCCTCTCCGTCCACAAACAAAGAGGGCCAAACTGGTAAATAACCGATTTGCGCGTATCGACACGGAAGAAGAAATTTTGATGTGGTGACATCGAGTGTATAGGTTTTGGGTTTTAGAAAATCATATAAACCTTAAAATGAAATAAAATTTGCAAAATGCAATGCTTTGAATTGAGTCTACCTTCCACAAAAACATAGCGAAAATCAATGTGGTTTTTGTCGTCCAAACACGAGTATGTCCCGGTGTCACTCTGTTTCAGGGATCGAATGTGAAACAATTGACTCTAGAAATTTACATAAAGGTTTTTAAAGACAACATTATTTTACCCGTTCATCTTCGTTTTCGACAGTGACTCTCTTTTGGAAATCCTCTTCACTAAACCCTTCCAAATCGAGATTCGATTCAATTGGCATCATCCATCTACACAAGAAAATCACTTCAAGAATCAAATTCACCTACCGAAGTGTATTAGCAGTTGTGCTCTGGCATCGAAGACTCAAATTCTGCCCAGCTGACATTTCGATCATACGATAGCTAAAAGCTTAAGTTAAATAAACAAGATCAAAAAACCTTTCCATTTTATGGTAATGGATCAAAATCTCTTCAGAGTCAGACACGAGAATCTCTTTGTCCACAGGCATCACCGTCAAACTCGCGTCCACATTTTGAAAGAACAAGAGAAAAGGAAAAAGAAAAGCAACAAAAAGTTTGTTTTTAGGCATCCACCTTCTTTCAATTGATTGAATCTTTTGCATTTTAATAAAGAGCTTTCTTTCTAAACGAATAAATGAATAGGTAGTGGTAGAATAGGTTTTGGTTGCAAAATGATTTGCGAAACAATTTGTATTGAGAAGTAAAATTCTTTGATTGCTAATCTTTTTTACGTTGTTTATCGCAAATCTAGTTTCGAAGAAAAGGTTGGAGAAAACAGCTTAAAGGAGGAAAGAAACGACAATTGTTCGATTGTTCGGGAGGAAGTGAGTTGGAAGATTACTCACTTTTCTTCCACCAAAAGCTCAAGCTTTTCGTATTGACATATATTGGGCAGGCAGCAAGTTTCGTTTCGAATCGAATTTCGGTCTAGGATTAAAAGTATAAAATCTACACAAATTATCAACTATTAACGCTTAAAAAAATAAAAACTGGCAAGAAAAATGATTTTGCAGTTATTGGATTGGTGAATTGAAAACTGCCGGACTTTGAGCTAAAATTTATTGAACATAAAACCATGAATTCATTCCAAAAATTTTCATTATTACTGACGACTTCTGCCCATTTTACAGGCAATTAGCGGATTCCTCTTTCGTGGTAGGATTCTGGTTTGTGTGTGAGACAAGTGTGAGACTCAAAAATGGAGGACTGGAGATGTCATCTGTCAGCCCAGTTTGAGCACTTTCTTCAAAAGAAACCCATTTTGGTGTCAATAGAAAAGTTGTAGAGAATCAAAAATTAGGCTTATAGCCAAATTTCCAAAAACACTTAGTAGTTTCGCTTAAAATGCAAGTTTTGTGAAAATTCGTAAATTTGACATTTCTTGAAAACCAGTTTTTGAATCGTTCTGAAAATTTGGATATAAGCTTGATTTTTGATTCTCTACAACTTTTCATTGACACCAAAATGGGTTTTTTTGAAGAAAGTGCTCAAACTGTCACATATGACAATAGCCCGCAGTTTTCAATTCATCAATCCAATAAAACGAGAGCGAATACGCGACGCAACGTGGTGACGACAATTGAGTCAATAGGAAAGCAACGTAGCGTCAAAAATTATCATTTAACAAAAACAAATTAACATTTAATTTTGAGACAGACATTCAAAGTGACGTCACAGATCGAATCGAATCGGTTCAGTTAATTTTAACCTTGTTTTCAAAGCCTTTCGAGAAATTTGGGTCTGTTTTGAATCTAAAACTCTTTCGTTAAATCTCTTCTTTTTCTCGGCCAAACATTGGAGTTTATTCAATAAAACTAAGAAAAATGAAGATAAAAGTAAACGAAAAGTATGATCAAGTTACATGAGAAATGAGCATTTGTGCGCCACGCAATGAGGCCACCGATCTTGGCCGCTCGTTTCTCGCCGATTCACGATCATTCGAATGCTTCATCAAGGAACACCACGAAAGACACCCACAATAAGCAAATTTCTACTCAAATCACTTCACAATATGATCTAACTTCAGTTTTAAATAAAGATTTCAACTTCCAACGGTTTATTGTTTTACAGGATGGCAAAAAAAATTGTAGGCGCACCCTTTTGGTAATTTAGTTGTAAAAAAAATCAAGTCAAAGCCCAGGAAGATAAGATAAAAGAAATGTTTTTTTATTCAGACATTCAGACAGTCTTTTGAAATTGTTTTGACGTATTTTATTAAGTTATTAAGTTTATTTGATCAGAATTTAAAGGACAATCGTAAGAACAACAACAACAAAACAATCCCAGCAAAACACAAGGCTTGCAGACAGAAGCGCGAGTTGAAGAAGCACTAATGAAGATCAAACATCGGGCCAATAAAAGAAAGACTTGTCGGCTGGAAACATCTTACGGCAAACATCCACTCACAAAGAGAAAGCCACTCGTTTGTGCCACGTTGAGCAACATCGCAACATCGCACAGGATTCCTCGTGCCCTCAAAAGGATATCGTCAAGTTGGCAAGGATGTCTGTCTGGGCTGTATGTGGGAGGGCCGGCTTTACAACCTTCTCACCTTCATCTCCTCGTCACACGATTCTCATCTGGCTCTTCACCGAGGCCTATTAGAATTTTCTTTTTAACAACCTGCAAAAAAATGGAAAGATTCTTGAAAGAAGAAATATTGTTGTCTGGCAGGCAAGGGAATTGTCCAGCTCTTGCTCCGATCAAGCCTAACTTGACACTCAACAAAAAGCCAGGCTTATCAAAGCATTTATGAATTGTTAACATTTATCTTCAACTTTTTTTTCTTTAATAAGCTACTTTGTTGCCTATAAAAAATCAGCTTGTCTTTTCTATTAGGTTGGTAAAAAAGAAATGAGCGTTGTGTTTGTTGATTTGTATTTTATTCACAGTGAAAGATTTTTTTAAATAGTTTATTCTATTGGAAAGAGCGTGTTCTTGCGCATCGTTTGACATATAATTTGTCTATATTTACTTTGTTTTTTTTACAAGAAAGAGTGTTTAGAAAATGTCGAACCAAAAATTTCGCTTGCGGGCCTGCTTGTGGTATGAATTTAAGCAAGGCAAATCGGCTGCTGAAGCTCATCGCGCTCTATCTCAAGTGTTTGACGAAGATGCTCTATCCGAAAGTCAGTGTAAACAATGGTTCCAGCGCTTCCGAGACGGCGACGAAAGCTTGGAAGACCAAAAACACGGGAGTCTACCTCAAATCATCGACAACGACGCATTGAAGGAAGCCATTGAGTCGGATCCACGCCAAACCACTCGCGACCTGGCAGAACAGTTTGGCTGCCCTCAATGAAAATTTGATTGGTTTTTGCACTCACGTTCCACCAGGAGCTAGTTTGTGACTCGGTATGAAGAGCTCTTCGGTGTAACTTTCCACTCTGCCATTTTCATCAACCTACAAGATCTCACTTCTTTTATTAATCGTATTAGCTGATTTGACAAGAAGTGACAATGTCCAAAAGCTTTTTTGTGTCTGAGTCACTAACATTGCAACCGGTTCGAAATTTATCGGTTTGCTTTGGTTCGGGTTCTGAGACGATAAGAGAGAATCGTTTTGAGTAACGTAAAACCGATTAAAACCGGTTTTAATAGGCCTTACCGTTTGATTCCCGGTCGGTTTCTAACCGATTAGACGGTCGCTCGGCTCGATTTATTTCGATTAAGAACCGAATCTAATGGCTTCGAAAGCTTTCACCTTCAGATATGGTCTCTCGCCACAGGCCACCATTGCCGGTCCGTACGAAGAGGAAACCTTTTGTCTTCCAACATCGACATATCTTGTGTACCGCCATGTACAGGTGTAGTTTACAAAATCGGCTGCTATCGGGAGGATCGTTGCTGAAAGAACTTGTTCTGTCAAACAGATTCGGCATAAGATTACCTTTTATTCTGATGGGCTCTCCTTGAAAAACAGTCAACACTTCGGCGTGTGGGGCAAACTACAACAAAGATTCAATTTCAAATTTAATCGAAATCCTACGTGCATTCTGGATAATGGGGAAAAGATTCGGAATGGAGACGATTGATGAGTCTTTGCATCCCATTTGTTGACCACTTTTTGAGGCCTGAGGTAAATTTCGAGAGAAAGACAATAATCTCTTCTTACCAAGAACATGTGTACCGACCATAATCGTCGGATTTAACCTCCTCAAATATCACACTTAATGAGAAGAGCGTCGAATTCCCATGAATTCGCACATCTTTTTGAATCTTTGGCTGAAAATACTTTGTAAAACTTACTACGAACTTTTTTTACTCCATATTTTTCCCCGCATCGAGGACACTGCATTTGTAATTGATTTTCAAATTGGCTCGTAGTATTGTCCAATCGCAGATCACATTGAACAGTGACATTTCCTATATCGTTTGTAAATATCACCAACCAAGCACTAGACATGGTTTCTGATTCAATATTCATCAGATCGGATCGGATCGAATCCCATTCGATCTGATTCGATCCGATCCAATCAAATCCGATTCTATCCGTTCCGTCCGATCAGAAACCATGTCTACCATGCACTGCAGACTGACACTGTAGTACTTTTACAGTCTGTGAGCAGTAAATCATTGTTGAAAGTATATGATAGACAAAGGGACGTTTGTTACCAAAAGTAAACCAGTCTGGGATTGTCATTGACACAGAGTCCACGGGCATTGAAGCAAACTAAACAATTGGTTATAACAAAATTCTAAATCAAAGACGCCAACCCGCACGAACCACTCGACTTCATCGCCCTTGGAAGCCACACAGCGGAACCGGCCACTACCCATCGGTAAACTCCTGTTCAGTTTCACCAAATCTATTTCGAAGCCGTATCTTAAAGTAAACAGTGTTGAGATTTAATATGCACCATCTAACTTACCCTGAGTCAAAGGTCACAGCATCTCGCTCTTTACGATCTTTCAGCCATTCCTCTCCGTCAACAAACAAAGAGGGCCAAACTGGCTCAAAACCGATTTGCGCATTTCGACACGGAAGAAGAAATTTCGATGAGGTGACATCCAGTGTATAGGTTTTGGGTTTTAGAAATTCATATAAACCTTAAAATGAAGTAAAATTTGCAGAATGCAATGCTTTGAATTGAGTCTACCTTCCACAAAAACATAGAGAAAATCAGTGTCGTTTTTGTCGTCCAAACACGAGTATGTCCCGGTATCACTCTGTTCCAGGGATCGAATGTGAAACAATTGACTCTAAAAATTTACACAAAGGTTTTTAAAGACAACATTATTTTACCCGTTCATCTTCTTTTTCGACAGTGACTTTCTTTAGGAAATCCTCTTCACTAAACCCTTCCAAATCGAGATTCGATTCAATTGGCAGCATCCATCTACACAAGAAAATCACTTGTAGTTTGAAACAACAATTTTTGACTAATAGCTTAAGATAACAGTTCGAGAGACAACAACATTTTCGTTAAATTGAATCAAATTCACGTACCGAAGTTTATTAGCAATTGTGCTCTGGCATCGAAGACTCAAATTCTGCCCAGCTGATTCTGATCATAGGATAACTAAAAGCTTAACTTAAATAAACAAGATTAAAAAAAATCTTTCATTTACTAGATAGCGATACCGGCGAATCTCTTTGTCCACAGGCATCACCGTCAAACTCGCGTCCACATTTTGAAAGAACAAGAGAAAAGGAAAAAGAAACACAACAAAAAGTTTGTTTTTAGGCATCCACCTTTCTTCAATTGATTGAATCTTTTGCATTTTAATAAAGAGCTTTCTTTCTAAACGAATAAATGAATCGGGAGTGGTAGAATAGGTTTTGTTTTCAAAATGATTTGGGAAAGAATTTGTATTGAGAGGTAAAATTCGTTGATTGCTAATCTTTTTTACTTTGTGTATCCAAAATCTAGTTTCGAAGAAAAGGTTGGAGAAAACAACTTAAAGGAGGAAAGAAACGACAATTGTTCGAGATTGATTGTTCGAGAGGAAGTGAGTTGGAAGATTACTTTTTTTTGCGCCAAAATCTCAAGCTTTTCGTATTTACATATATTGAGCAGGCAGCAAATTTGAGCAGCAAATTTCGAATCGAATCGAATTTTAGTCTAGAATTAGGTACCATTTCTTTTTAAGTCAACACATTTATCGGTTAACTTTAATGCAATAACAATTGAGCAACAGTTAACAAAATATTCCTAACAATAAAATAAAACAACAATTGAACAAGAGTTGAACAAAAAGTGACAAGAATTAGCGAATTTGAACAACTTAATGTCATTAATAGTTATGACCAGTTAATAGAATTTGAAAAGAAAACTGTAAAAATGAAGAACATCGGCAACTGTCCACTACTTTCCAGATTCCATTCGCCTCTTCAACAAGTGACCCAGCTGTGGCCAGACAAATGCTTATCGATCATCAAAATGGTTCTCTTTTTCCTGATGACCCAAAAATCGCAGCCATCATCGGCTATGAAAACATTCTCCAATCAACGTAGGTTTTATTTATTGTAAGTTTCAAATTCTTGTCCAGAACAATGCCCCTTCTGGCTTTGCTTTGTTTGCCAATTTTCCCCGGCTACACAGCAGCTATCATCTATCGGCTTCAAATTCTGCGAGTTCTCGAGAAAAACTCGATGAGTCCGAAAACGAAAATGGCTCAGAAGAAATTAGTGAAGGTTGGTAACGAAGAAAGTAATGTTTCAAACAGACCCTGTCGCTTGCAGACAATTTCAATTACCGTAAGATCATTAATAGAGGCTGAAGGTCAAGTACTCGCAAACCTTCAAGTTTGCGCACTCGGTTCCGTACTTTGAGGAATGGGCTTTTCTGTTAGTGGCCATGGTGAGTTGGCTCATAAAACGGATGCTAGGTCGGCGTTTGAAACAAATGAAATGGCCTTTTGATTGATCAGTCCAGACAACCAAGTCCAGTTGACCACTCACACTCATCGTCTACCCAAGAACAATAACAGTCTAAGGTACAAGATCTTTTTAAAATCTCGTTCAGGTCAGCTCAATAAGCCCGTGTATTACGGTCTACTACGTGGCTCCGTATCGAGAGAAAGTCATCCAAATATTCGGTCATTTGAGAAGAAAACGAAAAATTTACAAAATCCACGATCATTCGAATGCTTCATCAAGGAACACCACGAAAGACATCCACAATAAGCAAATTTCAACTCAAATCACTTCACAATATGATCTAACTGAAGTTTTAAATAAAGATTTCAACTTCCAACGATTTATTGTTTTACAGGAAGGCAAAAAAATTACAGCACCCTTTTGGTAATTTAGTTGTAAAAAAATCAAGTCAAAACCTAGGAAAGATAAGATAAAAGAAACGTTTCTTTTGATTCAGACATTCAGACGCTCTTTTGAAATTGTTTTAACGTATTTTATTAAGTTTGCCCCAGTTTACTTGTTCAGAATTTAAAGAACAATCGTAAGAACAACAATTTTAACATCCCAGCAAAACGCAAGGCTTGCAGACAGAAACGCGAGTTGAAGAAGCACTAAGGAAGACATCGCGCAAAAGCCAAAAGCCCAAAAGCGCTCAGTTTTCTGCTATTCTTTGTGTATTTCGTTTTTCTTTATCTAAAAATGAACATCGATTGTCTTTTTCTGATAGTATGCTTATTTTTCACTTTGGGATTTGAAAGCATGTCTCACAAAACCGTGATTCCGTTTTCGATTGAGTTCGTCGTTTGGCCAATCCAACATGTGCGCTTTGAAATCATAAATAACTAATCATAGATAACTTCTTTAATTAGGAAATGTTTAATTTACGATTACCACAATTCTTTGGCCCAAAACTACAGTCATGGACAAAAGTCTTTTAACGATGGTTTTTAGAAGTTTTTCCTTTGTATATCTTGATCCAAATCCGACCAATTTGCAAACGGTTAAAAGATTTAAAGAGCTTATTATCTCTAATTTTAACATTACAAAAAGATGGATTTGACAATTTATCAGGTATCATGAACTTTTTAATAAAAGAAAAATTGAGCCAAAAATTGATGGACAAAGTCTTTTAACATCACAGTTTTTTCGAGAAATTTCCTCTTTTTCCTTTTGATTTCTGGTTGCTAACTGTAATTTTTTAGATGCCCGACGCCTACTTATCAACTTCTGACAAAGAGAAAATCGTCGAAGCTCGAAAAAATGGGATGCCTAGAAAAGCGGTTGCTGAGCTCTTCCGCTGTACCGAAACAACTGTATCGCTTGTTGTCTCCAGGGCCAAACTCGCGGGAAACGTTCATCGTGCATCAAAAAGTGCACGTCCACCAGTTAAAACTTTACGAGAAGACAATGCACTCGTTCTGGCCCACAAGAAGAACCCAAATTTGAATGCCTCTGATGGGGTGGCTATGGTGAAGCAACAATTTAACAAAGAAATTTCTCGAAAAACAGTGAGCCGACGCCTGATTCCCGGTGGATTGATGACTAGAAGGGCTGCCAAGAAACCTCTGATGATAGCTAAGCACCGGAAGCTTCGTCTCGAGTTTGCTAAGAAGTATCAAAGTTGGACGTCGCACGATTGGGCCAATGTTGTGTTCACCGACGAATCGAAAGTCAATCTTTTCGCCCCTGATGGCAATCATTTGATACGGAGACCAGTCGGACAACGTTATAACATTAAATACTTGCGTCCTACAGTTAAATTTGATGGCGGATCGATCATGCTATGGGGAAGAACCTTTGTATTTTATGCCTACTGATTTTCTGATTTCTAGAAATTCGAGTCAGTCCAGAAATTCTCTGGGTCCACTTGTCCTTCTAAACTTAACGCTGAATGCTCAACGCTACAAGACGATTCTGGAGAATGATCTTCTACCGTTTTCGACCGTAAATATGGGCCAAGGTTGGCTGTTGTACCAGGACAATGCCCCGTGCCACAAGTCACAGCTGCTGATGGGACGCCTTGTTCGACTTGCCAATGGAGGAACGGCTCTGGTGCCAGGATGGTTCAAAGAAAACCGTGTCCAACTTGTGTCTGCTCCTCCCTATAGTCCTTATTTGAATGTGATCGAGAACTTATGGGCGTTTGTGAAGTCGAAATTGAAGGGGAAACTATTCGGATCAAAAGTGGAGCTTTGGTACTTCATCCGTCGAGTCTGGACAACTATTGGACCCCAAATTCTACGTGATCTGGTTGACAGCATCCCCAGGAGAATTCAAGCAGTAATTGCGGCTCGCGAGGACCTACTAAATATTGATTTTCATAAGGTTTTTCTCACATTTTAAAAGACTTTTGCCCATCAATTTTTGTTTTATTAAAAAGTTCATGACACCTGATAAATTGTCAAATCCATCTTTTTGTAATGTTAAAATTAGAGATAATAAGCTCTTTAAATCTTTTAACCGTTTGCAAATTGCTCGGATTTGGACCAAGATATACAAAGAACAAACTTCTAAAAACCAATGTTAAAAGACTTTTGTCCATGACTGTATAGTAGTTTTTGAAAGAAACTATCAAAACTACAGTTAGAACGTAGCCTTGTAAAACATTACTAACGGTGTTATTAGCAAAGCTGTTTATTTTTCTAGCCGGAAAGTGCAGCGAGGATCAACTCAAAAACGGATGCGCCGAAGAAGAGAAGTCGAACGGAGATGTGAGATGTGACTGTGCTCATCGTGTTCGCCGCGCCTGTCCACCAAACTGTTTCGAAGAAATGAACCCGCGTGATTGGACCTTTTTGTGTACTTGCAAGACTCGAGTTTAGACTTATTTTTCTGTTTTTTTTTTTAAAAAGAAAAAGAAGCTTTTGATTTCAAAACCAGAAACAAAAATCTCGTAGCGACCAGCTTTGAGAATGCAATGCAAAGCGAAGCAATTCAATCAAAGTGTTTTAATCAAAAAACTTATTTTGTTACTCACTTGAAATCATACAGCAGAACTCTAGAATTTTGAAAAGTTTTGTGTCCTCTTTATTTATTCTAAATCATCTTCAAGATTGAATAAACAAATAAACAACAAACAACATTTAATTACAACAAATCAAAAACATCGTTTAACTTCATTTGATTTATAAACATCAATTAAATAAAAGGTAAATGTTGTGATAAAAGATGAAAGATGTAAGAAAGATTTAAAAAGTAGCTTAAAAGCATTTAGTTTACTTTGTCAGGCTTTTTCATTGATCACGAAATATGTGAGAAGATGGTGGTGGTGAGATGACAGTGAGAGACGGATGGTGGTCAGAAAGAGAAGGAGAAAGATTTCTTGCGAAATCAAAAGTTGCTTTTTATTGAAAGGCATTGAGAAAGTTTTTTTCAGCTTGAAATCAATCAATTTTGCCGTCAATCAATTTTTCTTAGACCTTCACCCTATAATAAGAAGATTGATGGCGGGGAGAGACGAAAGAATAGAGAACACTTCTCATAGGCATTTGTTTAGCATTTCTTGCTCCTAAAAAGATTAATTTTCCTTGTAGAAATCTTTTCATAAAACCTCGTAGATCTTTCACTGCACTTCTTGAGCCTTTCACCAGCTGGACATCCACCTTGAACTTCCTGTACTCAAAGAAAAGTTCCAAAAATTTAAATCTACCATAGGTTTTCTTAAAGCAAAACATTTTCTCCTTTCTTTTTCAATAATAAATTTTGTTGTTTTTCTGTGGTGAACTCTAGCTCAGAATCTAGAAATAGTTTTGAATGGAAGTCCTAACAAGCAAGAGTAAATAGTTTTGAACTATACGATAGCAAGCGAGCAATGTCAAGAGCTAACTGGGAGACTCATTCAACTTGAGAATGCTCTGGCTGCTACACAAGCATCTACGTGATGTAACTGATAAAACTAAGGGCATTACAAATTTAAATATAAAAGTTTTGTGAAATTTTAAAACTAACTGGTTAATATTTCTATGCTTTCCAAAGTTTGAAGTAAAATAAAAACTATCAAAGCAGGAGCTGTGCGGTGTTGAATGCCAAGTGGTATAGTTGAATAGTTAGATCGATTGTGGGGCTCAATTCACGCTCATCTGCACACAATTCCCAACAACAAGATCAATCAAATGTTTAAAGAGACACCTCGCCTCAAGTTTCAATGATTCTTTGACGAGCAAATTTTTATGTAAAGCAATAGCTGTTAATGAGCATTTGAATACTCAGTAATACTCAAATACTAAAAAGAATTATTAGGTTGGTGCAGATGAAACTTCCGTCACACTTGTTTGTTTATATTTTGGACCTAATAAAAGTTTTTATTGAATATATTTGTCTATCTGAAAGAGCGTCTCTTTGCGCGTCTTTTGATGTCTAAGACTCATGGGTTTTACTTAATTTGAAGTAATTTTTAGCTTCTAGAAAATGGTTGACCAAAAATTTCGAGTGCGGGTTTGCTTGTGGTATGATTTTAAACAAGGCAGAACCGCTGCGGAATCCCATCGTGCTCTGTGCAAAGCATTCGGTGATGACGTGTTGTCCGAACGTCAATGCCGGACTTGGTTTCAGCGCTTCCGAGACGGTGATGAAAATTTGAAAGACGAAAAACGCGGGAATCCGCCTCAAATTGTCGACAACGATGAGTTGAAGAACGCTATCGAATCGGATCCATGCCAAACAATTCGGGAGCTTGCAGAGCCGTTTGACTGCGACCATACAACCATTCTCCGCCATTTGCACGCAATTGGTAAGACGAATCGGTGGGGAAAATGGGTGCCACATCAGCTCAGCGACGCAAACAAGGCGGCTCGAGTTACAATGGCTGGAATTCTCGTCCGCCGCGCAAAGACCGCCGGTTTTCTCGACTCCATTGTTACGTCAGATCATAAGTGGATATGTTACGATAACACAACGAGAAAACGGCAGTGGTTGGACGCCAAACCGAATATCCACGGTGAACCGCCAAAACCGACTCCAAAATCGAATATCCACGGAAAAAGGTGATGCTTTGTATTTGGTGGAACAGTGAAAGTCTCGTGTATTTTCAGGTGCTGGCTCAGGGCCAAAGAGTCACGGCGGATCTCTACAAAGCCCAATTGAGCCGCGTGGACCAGGCGTTGCATCGTCAAGGCAATAACACGGCGACTACAAAATTCCTCCACGATAACGCTCGACCCCACACCGCGAAGAACACTCAGCAGAAAATCGAGGAATTGGGCTGGGAAGTTCTGCCTCATCCGCCATATAGCCCGGACTTGGCCCCATCCGACTACCACTTGTTTCGGTCGATGCAGCACTCTTTAGCAAAAGAAAAAATTCAAAAACCGCGAAGAAGTTGAAATCTGGGTGTCCTACTTCTTCGAGTCGCAGTTGGCCGAGTTCTTCGAAAAGGGCATCCATTCTCTGCGTGGAATATGGAAAAGAGTCATTGATAATGATGGCGAATATCTTTTGGATTGAGATTCTGTATTAGGATTTTTATAATAAATTTTGTTTATGGTTCCAACGGAAGTTTCATCTGCACCAACCTAATAACTTCAAAGATTCATAGAATAAAAGGACTTGCTTACTTGCTTGCGACAAGTTGTTCTTTACAGATTTCCTATTTAAAACCTGTTAAAAGCTCTCTAAATTTATTAAAAGGCTAATGTTTTTCTTTGTTTAAATGTTCATTTAGTTAAAATATTAAAGAATCAACTAACATTTCCTGTATTTCCATTTCTCCACTCAGAATACGAGTTGAGTCGATCAACTTCACTCGCCAACTTTCCCTCAATCTCTTCGGCTTTCCCCGGCAACACCATCTCGAGATGTTCTCGCATTTTTTGAACACAATCCTAACATTTGAAAAGTTCAATTGTCATTAAAGTCAACGTAACTCACTTTGAATAACGGTCTCTCTTTTGTCTTTGAATTCCAGCATTTCAGCATAAAGTTGTACCTAAAATGTCTTTTCTCTCTCTCTTAAACTTCCCTCCAACTTACAGATCATCATGTACAAACTCGGGCTTTTTATTTCGTTCTCCATTTCGAACTCGCATATAAATTTCCTCGAGCGGAATTCCAGGATATGGACGATCGCCAAGGGTGAAAAGTTCGTACAAAAGGATTCCGTACGACCAAACGTCAGACTGCAAATTTACTTCAGAATCTTTTCCTTTATCCAAAATACCATAGTACTTTAGTATTTGTACTTTGGTATCCGTAAAATCTTCACATAAAACAATTGCATACCGCTTGTGTGTAATATCCGCTTTCAATCGATTCCGGACTCATCCACTGCCAAGGTAGAAGATCATTTTTCTGCTTCTCGAAGTCTTTTCTAAAAATAGCTTTCTTTAATCAATAGTTTCTCCCAAACCGATAATAAGATTTGTTAGCACTTCTTGCCAATCCAAAATCAGCGATTCGACAAATGTTTTTCTCTGTGATTAATATATTTCTCGCGGCCAGATCTCGATGAATGCACTGAAAGGAAAGGATAGGCCTTTTCAAACCCGACTATCACCATTAGATGCAGTTTTTTGATGCTCATTCCGGAAACTGGTTTTAGATTTTGGGATCAATAGGTATTTGGCTTAGAAGAAAAGCCTTTTGAAGGTCTTGCTAAAACCCGTAAGCTAAATATCTCACACTCCCGAGGTGTTTAGCAAAATCTGAACCCAGATTCGGAAGCAGCATCGAAAAACCGCATCTAATGGTCATAGTACCGTTTGAAAAAGCCCGCCCGTTAAGAAACCATCCCAAGCTAGACTTCGAGCCAGCCAGACTTACCGGGATTTCACTCAAAAACTCCATTCCGCTAGCGATTTGCATCGCAAACGATAAAAGATCGGATGTCGAGCATAGAAATGTCTGGAATATTAAAATCACATTCAATTTCGTTTCTCTTCAAAACTTTTAGAAACCTGAACAATTGGTGTCTTCTCGTGTCCATCATGCTTTTCGTCTTGACATTCAACTTGAGTCCACTAAGCAATTCCTATTAAAGCTAAAAACGAAAACAAGATCATACCGGAATGTAGCTGTCAGTAACTACATCCACAGACATTTTTCTAATTACTGACAATTCAACCTAAAGGGTTTTTTGGCTTTTTAGCGATCGTCTTCCTACTGTATTTCCTCTATTTTTGCGATCCGGCTTCATGTATTCACTGTTTTGAGCCTGAAATGTTAGTTTTACAAGAGACGGTCAACGGTGTGGATGACCAAATGACATGAGCCATTTACTAACCAACGTAGAATTTTGCGATGAGTCCGAATCTGCTTCCCTTTTTTTGCACCGCAGCACTCTGTGAAAAATTATAAGCGTTGAAAGTTTTGTATGGACCTTACCAGACGGGAAAAGATTTTGTGGTGGCCGACTGGCAGTAGGTTTGAATATGAGGCATGGTTCTAGGGTTCGATTCCGGTGCTTGATTTTTGTTTTTGGATCCAAATTGACTACCTAGAGCAAAAATGGAAAGAAAGATTCGGAATCAGCGCAAAATTCTACGTCGGTTAGTCGCTTAGTATATGGCCCATGCCATTTGGCCATCACACCCTGTTGACCGTCCCTTGTTAGTCATAATTCAAATACTAACCTTTCTCAATTCATTACAAAATGTGTTGCGTGTGAGGTTTTTCAGAAATTTCTCGAGACTCCCATTGGCGCATAGCTCCGTGACAACACAGAGACGACCACTGGATTTACAAGGTGCGTTCAGAATCACGTGACAAGTTTCATTCTGGTCAAGATATTAAGTAATTACCTAGTCAGATGATCGGTGACTGCTCCAATCAGAGTGAGCACATTCGGATGCGGTGGAATGAAGGACATCAACTTCAGCTCGTCGGCCAACATTTGAATGTTGATGATGTGTTGACGGATTGAGGCTGCGTGAAATGGTTCCTATAGTAATGTTTGAGAATCTTTTGTCAAGAAGTTCACCTTAACAGCGACCTTTAAAGTTGGTGTTTCGGAAGTGAAATTATTGATTTGTTTTGGTTTCTTCAAAAATCCCATTGAAACTTTCCCGAACTGTCCACTTCCCAACTGTAAAAAGTCGAAAGATTCAGTGGATAGAAACACTTTTTACCGTTTTTCGATCAGAAATTTGAAGATCATCACATGAAATTTCAAATTTCGAACGATCGTAAACGATTTGATTGATTTGTTGATCGAGGGGAATCTGCTGGTTTCGATCTTGAGCTGGAATGGTTCCTCCGTTTATTAAATCATCGTGCAGCACTCGGAAAGCACTAAACAAAGAGGTATTGAATACGATATCAATTTACTACAGACTTTTCTTGATTTCGAGCTCGAGCTTTCTGTCTTCTCCACAAAATAACAAAATTGAGCACACATGCGAGCAAGATGAGAAAGATGATGGAGAGAGCAACGAATGCAAGCATTAGACGTCTTCTTTTATCGTCTTTGACCTATTGTTAATGCTGACCAACATTTCCGTGGGTTATTGTTTGTTCGTGATTAGTTGCGACCATGAAGTGGAGCAAAGTATGCGCTTGGCTATTATAAACTCTCTGACTAGGGAATGATCGGAACTGGGCGGACAATTTTGCTACGCCGTTGAGATGCAAACGCCTATCGTGCATGGGGAACACGATGCTCTATTTATTTTTGGCCCATTCTCAATGGCTCACAAGGGAAACGCAACAAAAAACGAAAAATGAAAACGAAAAAAAGAGTCTTTTTTCTTCCGTTCGTTTAAAAGACGCGCGTGTTAACCAATCGGCCAGTAGGTGTTGCGGTGCGAGCGCACGTGTCTCTAGGCCACACGATTCGGGTTCGACTCCCACCCGCGTCGGCACTTTTGGTTTTTTAGAAATTTAATAACATGTTGCATAACGACATGAAATTCTAAGCCAAACTAACTATTTGAAACGGCCTACTGGGCGTGGAGGAGTAGTGCGCACAGACAGACAGACAGACGTCTTAGTCCTTTATATATAGTAGATTATTGTGTGTGCTAACCCTAGTCATCAGGCATAATAGAGACTCCTTGACAGTAGATTGGGTTGGTTTGAACTGGCTTGGAGGCTTGAACGATTTCGTTCGACTCAGTACTGTTTCTAGAATCGAAGCAAACCAAACCGATGTCCATGTAAATTGTTAAGTGGATAAGCTACCGTATAAATGTATCGTATCGGACAAATGAACCAGTCTCACTTGAGGCATCGCTCTTTTACTACCTCAAGAGAGATACTCCGTCGCACTTCTCCCGCTCGATTCTTGCCAACACATTCATAGACTCCACTATCATCGGTGTCGACTTTAGGAAGAACAATTGAAGCATTTACAAGAAGACTTTCACTATCCTTCATTGCAATCCCATTCTTTGACCTTTAACCATTCAGTGTTTTCTGTTCACTTCAAACAAAGTTTTCTCTTGTAAACAACAAACCATGAAATGGAAGGGGTCGGATCTCCACTCATTTTGCAGTCTAATAGCTGGCTTTCTCCAGCTTTCATATCAACTATTTCTGTTTCATTGACGAGCAATACGGGTGCTATCATTTCATGAATCTATATGAGACAATTTCAAATGCAAAAAAAGTCTCAAACCTCAAGCCCGATTGTTTGATTAAACTCCTGTCCGGTTTCATTGTTTCTTGCAACGCAAATGTAGTCACCAGAGTTATTTGTCGAAATATTCTATGATTGAAGTTTCAGGATAAAGCTCTATTTGTATTATGAATTGGCTTAAACCACAAGAATAAAAAGAAGAGGCTTTGGCTATTTGTATTCACGGACATTTGTAAAAACAAACAAACAAACAAACCATGATTTTCATTTTTAAGAACACTGAATCTCCATCAATACTTTGCACAATTCTGCTTTCATCTAGCACTGTCTTGTTGTGAATCCAAAACATGGAGCTGTAAATGAATAGATTTAAGGAATATTTTGTTAACCAACATGTCAGCCGACATGTGAACTCGGCAAAATAGTGTGATATCATCGCCCCGATAAACTCTGTTCTAAAAGAACTTTGCAAAGAGATTTCAACAAGTAACCAACCGGATCCTCGCCGCTAATTTCGGGATCCCTTATCATCCAAACTGCTGGACGTTGACCGGCGACTCGGAGATGAAATGAACCTTGTTGGAAGATACCCTTGATGTTTGAATTTGAGAAAAGTTTCCTTCTAAACGAAACAACTTTGCAAACAACAATGAGATCCTCGCGAACGGTCGTGTTCCAAAAAACGTCATATGCTCCGGTGACACTTGTTGCCGAGACCATCTTATTCGATCTTAAGCAGTCATTGCTTTCACCTTTTCTCATCGTTACCGTTGATAAAATAAGTGAAGTTTTTTGTACTTGCCAACGTAATCCCTCGAATGACAGCCCAGCCGAATCTTTGCGCCAATCTAAAGAATTATTAGGTTGTAAACTAAGTGTTGACGCCTTCAGGAAAGTTTCGACATTTTGTTTACTTTTAGTGAGAGTGCGCTCTGTTCTTCGCGTTATGGGGATGACTCTTTCGAAAGTACAATAAGACGTTGGCTTCACAAATTCAGAAATAAGGAGCTTTCTCTCGAAGACCAATCGGGTAGACCTAGAGAGCTTGAAAATGCAGATATTCTTCGTCCCGAAAACCCCCGAATTTCTATGCGGCTGAGGTTGAATACTCTCATGTAATAATTGAAAACCTCCTTACTATTGGTTTTAAACCGATTTACGGCCAATAGGTGTCCCACAACCTCACTGAGCCCATGAAAGGGCGGAGATCACCAATTGCTGCTGCCCTTCTTTCCAGATAGGAAATCTTTCTTGCCGCGTGTAGTGACAGGAGATGAGAAATGGATTAGGACTGCAAACTTTCAGAGAAAACGATTATGGCTGAGGCCTGGAGCTATACCAGCAAAGGATGTGCTCCCAGACCTCCACGAAAAGAAGTACATGCTATTGGTTTGGTGGGATCTCTTGGGTGTCATTCATTGAGAGCTTCTCGACAATAAGCAGACAATCAATGCTCTATTATACAGCAACCAGCTCAAAAAGTTTGAAGAGGAAAAAAAAGGAAAAGGTAAAGTGCCCCAATTTGAAATTGACCCTTCTCCAACACGACAACGCCAGTTCACATGCGGCAAAGTTGACCCGCTGCACAATCCATGAGTTGAACTGGGAACTCTTACCCCACCCACCATATTCTCCTGACCTCAGTCCTACAGATTACCATCTTTTCCAATCAATTGAACGTGCCCTGGATGGAGAGCATTTCCAAAATGAAGAAGGCCTCAAAAAGTGGCTCCAAGACTACTTTGACTTGAAACCAAGAATTTTCTATGACAGGAGAAGCCACCAATTGTCAGTAAAATGGGCGAAATTCTTTGCAAATAATGAAGGCCATTTTGATTAAAATGCTCTTTTAGTTGTCAATAAATATTGTTTTGAATTTAGGGTCAAGGCTTAGTTACAATCTAATACAAAAAGCTAAAAAAAGCTAAAAATTTTCGATTTAAGAGGAATCAATTTTCTCAATAGGTATTCTCTATCGAAATTTCAGTTTTTATAGTCCTCTGGACCTACCACGTGATACACTTTATCGAATTGAACGAAATGAGCGGAGGATTGCACGTTGAAAATAAAATCTTTCACTGGAGTGTCGACTTTGACTTTCCACCTGATCCATTGATAGAACTCTTCGCTCACACTCAATTTGATTTCATAGCTAGAAAACTCGAATGAAATGAAAGAAAATTTGATTGGTTTTTGCACTCACGTTCCACCAGGAGCTAGTTTGTGACTCGGTATGAAGAGCTCTTCGGTGTAACTTTCCACTCTGCCATTTTCATCAACCTACAAGATCTCACTTCTTTTATTAATCGTATTAGCTGATTTGACAAGAAGTGACAATGTCCAAAAGCTTTTTTGTGTCTGAGTCACTAACATTGCAACCGGTTCGAAATTTATCGGTTTGCTTTGGTTCGGGTTCTGAGACGATAAGAGAGAATCGTTTTGAGTAACGTAAAACCGATTAAAACCGGTTTTAATAGGCCTTACCGTTTGATTCCCGGTCGGTTTCTAATCGATTAGACGGTCGCTCGGCTCGATTTATTTCGATTAAGAACCGAATCTAATGGCTTCGAAAGCTTTCACCTTCAGATATGGTCTCTCGCCACAGGCCACCATTGCCGGTCCGTACGAAGAGGAAACCTTTTGTCTTCCAACATCGACATATCTTGTGTACCGCCATGTACAGGTGTAGTTTACAAAATCGGCTGCTATCGGGAGGATCGTTGCTGAAAGAACTTGTTCTGTCAAACAGATTCGGTCAAACAGATTACCTCTTATTCTGATGGGCTCTCCTTGAAAAACAGTCAACTCTTCGGCGTGTGGGGCAAACTGCAACAAAGATTCAATTTTAAATTTAATCGAAATCCTACGTGCATTCTGGATAATGGGGAAAAGATTCGGAATGGAGACGTTTGCTGAGTCTTTGCATCCCATTTGTTGACCACTTTTTGAGGCCTGAAGTAAATTTCGAGAGAAAGACAATAATCTCTTCTTACCAAGAACATGTGTACCGACCATAATCGTCGGATTTAACCTCCTCAAATATCACACTTAATGAGAAGAGCGTCGAACTCCCATGAATTCGCACATCTTTTTGAATCTTTGGCTGAAAATACTTTGTAAAACTTACTACGAAATTTTTTTACTCCATCTTTTTGCCTGCATCGAGGACACTGCATTTGTAATTGATTTTCAAATTGGCTCGTAGTATTGTCCAATCGCAGATCACATTGAACAGTGACATTTCCTATATCGTTTGTAAATATCACCAACCAAGCACTAGACATGGTTTCTGATTCCATGTTCATCGGATCGGATCCGATCGAATCTCATTCGATCTGATTCGATCAGTCTGTGCGCAGTAAATCATTGCTGAAAGTATATGATAAACAAACGGACGTTTGTTAAGCCCTCGTCTGAGAGAAAACCAGTCTGGGGTCGTCATTGACACAGAGTTCACGGGCATTGAAGCAAACTAAACAATTAGTTATAACAAAGTTCTAAATCAACCGCACGCCAACCCGCACGAACCACTCGACTTCATCGCCCTTGGAAGCCACACAGCGAAACCGGCCACTACCCATCGGTAAACTCCTGTTCAGTTTCACCAAATCTATTTCGTAGCCGTATCTTAAAGTAAACAGTGTTGTTTTAAGACAAAGCAGCCAACTTACCGTGAGTCAAAGGTCACAGCATCTCGCTCTTTAATATTATTCAGCCATTTCTCTCCGTCCACAAACAAAGAGGGCCAAGATGACAAAGGCCAATGACTGATTTGCGCGTATCGACACGGAAGAAGAAATTTTGGTGAGGTGACGTCGAGTGTATAGGTTTTGGGCTTTAGAAAATCATATAAACCTTAAAATGTTGTAAAATTTGCAAAATGCAATGCTTTGAATTGAGTCTACCTTCCACAAAAACATCGAGAAAATCAGTGTGGTTTTTGTCGTCCAAACACGAGTATGTCCCGGTATCACTCTGTTCCAGGGATCGAATGTGAAACAATTGACTCTAAAAATTTACACAAAGGTTTTTAAAGACAACATTATTTTACCCGTTCATCTTCTTTTTCGACAGTGACTTTCTTTAGGAAATCCTCTTCACTAAACCCTTCTAAATCGAGGTTCGATTCAATTGGCAGCATCCATCTACACAAGAAAATCACTTGTAGTTTGAAACAACAATTTTTGACTAATAGCTTAAGATAACAGTTCGAGAGACAACAACATTTTCGTTAAATTGAATCAAATTCACGTACCGAAGTTTATTAGCAGTTGTGCTCCGGCATCGAAGACTCAAATTCTGCCCAGCTGACATTCTGATCATAGGATAGCTAAAAGCTCTAAAAGCTAAAAGTTAAATAAACAAGATCAAAAAACCTTTCATATGCATTGTAAGACACGAGAATCTCTTTGTCCACAGGCATCACCGTCAAACTCGCGTCCACATTTTGAAAGAGCAAGAGAAAAGGAAAAAGAAAAGCAACAAAAAGTTTGTTTTTAGGCATCCACCTTTCTTCAATTGATTGAATCTTTTGCATTTTAATAAAGAGCTTTCTTTCTAAACGACTAAATGAATAGGTAGTGGTAGAATAGGTTTTGGTTTCAAAATGATTTGTGAAACAATTTGTATTGAGAAGTAGAATTCTTTGATTGCTAATCTTTTTACTTTGTTTATCGGAAATCTAGTTTCGAAGAAAAGGTTGGAGAAAACAACTTAAAGGAGGAAAGAAACGACAATTGTTCGAGATTAATTGTTCGAGAGGAGGTGAGTTGGAAGATTACTCACTTTCCCACCAAAAGCTCAAGCTGTCCGTATTTACTTATTTTAACTTGCGTATTTACTTACGTATTTTGCTGCCTATATTGAGCAGGCAGCAAATTTCGATTCGAATCGAATCTCGGTCTGGAATTCTTTAGGTACTATTTCTTTTTAAGTCAACACATTTATCGGTTAACTTTAATGCAATAACAATTGACCAACAGTTAACAAAATATTCCTAACAATAAAACAAAACAACAATTGAACAATAGTTGAACAAAAAGTGACAAGAATTAGCGAAATTTGAAGAACTTTGGACGTTCAGAATAAAAGTTAAGGCAAATTATTGTATTCATCGTCAGATGGTGCTTAAAAGTCTAAAATATACACAAATTATCAACTATTAACGCTTAAAAAAATAAAAACTGGCAACAAAAATGATTTTGCAGTTAAAAAAAGAGCGAATACGCGACGTAACGTGGTGAGTCAATAGGAAAGCAACGTAGCGTCAAAGATTATCATTTAACAAAAACAATTAACATTTAATTTTGAGACAGACATTGACAGTGACGTCACAGATCGAATCGAATCGGTTCAGTTAATTTTAACCTTGTTTTCAAAGCCTTTCGAGAAATTTGGGTTTGTGTTTTGAATCTAAAACTCTTTCGTTCAGTCTCTTCTTTTTCTTGGCTAAACATTGGAGTTTATTGAATGAAGAAATGAAGATAAAAGTAATCGAAATCGTAAATCGAAAAGTATGATCAAGTTACATGAGAAATGAGAATTTGTGCGCCACGCAACGAGGCCACCGATCTTGGCCGCTCGTTTCTCGCCGATTCCCAAGATGCCACAGATCTCTCGTTTGGTAAACGGCTACACCAAAAGAGTCCCTTCATTGCTTGAAGTGTCTAAAAGAGTTTCTTTCTTCCAACAATATTCCAACAATACAAACAATAAGAAACTAACAATAACTTCTTATATGTTCGAAATGAATGGCCTTGTGTGGACCAACAACGTTGCTTATGTTCAGTCTCAATTAGACAAGGTTTTAACCGTTTTAACAACTGGCAACATTCAAAAACTGAGCAATAATCCTCACCATCGGAAAACAAATGAGAATGGCGATTGTAGCCAAGACTCCAAGAAAATAAAAGCTCATGTTGAGAAGCGGAAGATTCAGAGTCGGGAAGAAATTCATCAAATACCAGTACACCGTGAAGCTCACGTAGATGTACTTTGCTAAAAAGACTTCTTTTGATTTCCAAAAAAGAACACTCACGCAAAAGAATAACAATTTGAGTGATGACGATTCGTTTTGTGGTCGATGTCCACAAATGTTTCCTTTTCAAATTGGCCGACGTTTTCAATCTGTAAGTGAGCAGTAACACTTTACTAACTGAATCAGGACTTGTTCTTGGGAGTAAATTTTACATGTCTTTAATCTGATTTTGGTCTTTGGTCTGAGCATCGCTTTAGCTTGGTTCAGTTGGACCTCCATATGAATTGAATCGACACAACCTGATCTGATATCCAGGCCGCGTCATATTTATGGACCTGGGGGTGTCAGTTTTTAGGCTCTAACAATTCAAGCAGTTCTCCCGATTTTGATGAGGAGTCAAGCGTCGATTTACGCTTGGAGACAATTTCAATTACCGTAAGATCATTAATAGAGGCTGAAGGTCAAGTACTCGCAAACCTTCAAGTTAAGGTTTGCGCACTCGGTTCCGTACTTTGAGGAATGGGCTTTTCTGTTAGTGGCCATGGTGAGTTGGGTGATAAAACGGATGCTAGGCTGACGTTTGAAACGAATGAAATGGCCTTTTGATTGATCAGTCCAGACAAGCAAGCCTAGTCGACCACTAACGCTCATCGTCTACCCAAGAACAATAACAGTTTAAGGTGTAAGATCTTTTTAAATCTCGTTCAGGTCAGCTCAATCAACCCGTGTATTACGGTCTACTACGTGGCTCCGTATCGAGAGAAAGTCATCCAAATACTCGGTCATTTGAGAAGAAAACGAGAAATCTACAAAATCCACGATCATTTGAATGCTTCATCAAGGAACACCATGAAAGATACCCACAATAAGCAAATTTCAACTCAAATCACTTCACAATATGATCTAACTTAAGTTTTAAATAAAGATTTCAACTTCCAACGGTTTATTATTTTACATGATGACAAAAAATTATAGGCGCACCCTTTTGGTAATTTAGTCGTAAAAAAATCAAGTCAAAACCCAGGAAAGATAAGAAAAAAGAAACGTTTTTTTATTCAGACATTCAGACAGCCTTTTGAAATTGTTTTAACTTATTTTATTAAGTTTGCTCCAGTTTACTTGTTCAGAATTTAAAGAATCTTAAGAACAGCAAAACGCAAGGCTTGCAGACAGAAACGCGAGTTGAAGAAGCACTAAGGAAGATCAAACATCGCGCAAAAGCGCCCAGTTTTCTGCTATTCTTTGAATATTTCGTTTTTCTTTATCTAAAAATGAAAACCGATTGTCTTTTTCTGATAGTATGCTTATTTTTCACTTTGGGATCAGCATTTGAAAGCATGTCTCACAAAAACCGTGATTCCGTTTTCGATTGAGTCCGTCGTTTGGCCAATCCAACATGTGCGCTTTGAAATCATAAATAACTAACCATAGGTAACTTCTTTAATTAGAAAATGTTTAATTTACGATTACCACAATTCTTTGGCCCAAAACTATAGTAGTTTTTGAAAGAAACTATCAAAACTACAGTTAGAACGTAGCCTTGTAAAACATTACCCACGGTGTTACTAACAAAAGTTGCTTATTTTTCTAGCCGGAAAGTGAAGCGAGGATCAACTAAAAAACGGATGCACCGAAGGAGAGAAGTCGAACGGAGATGTGATATGTGACTGTGCTCATCGTGTTCGCCGCGCCTGTCCACCAAACTGTTTCGAAGAAATGAACCCGCGTGATTGGACCTTTTTGTGTACTTGCAAGACTCGAGTTTAGACTTATTTTTCTGTTTTTTTTTTAAAGAGAAAGAAGGTTTTGATTTCGAAACCAGAATCAAAAATCTCGTAGCAACCGGCCTTGAGAATGCGATGCAAAGCAAAGCAACTCAATCAAAGTCTTTTAATCAAAAAACTTACTTTGTTACTCACTTGAAATAAGGCACCAAAACTCTAGAATTCAGGAAAGTTTTGTGTTCTTTTTATTTATTCTAAGTCATCTTAAAGATTGAATAAACAAACAACATTGAATTACAACAAATCAAAAAAAAAATCGTTTAACTTCATTTGATTTATAAACATCAATTAAATAAAAGATAAATTTTGTGATAAAGATGAAAGATATCTTTAAAATAAGTCTAAACTCGAGTCTTGCAAGTACACAAAAAGATCCAATCACGCGGGTTCATTTCTTCGAAACAGTTTGGTGGACAGGCGCGGCGAACACGATGAGCACAGTCACATCTCACATCTCCGTTCCACTTCTCTTTTTCGGTGCATCCGTTTTTGAGTTGATCCTCGCTGCACTTTCCGGCTAGAAAAATAAACAACTTTTGCTAATGACACCGTGGGTAATGTTTTACAAGGCTACGTTCTAACTGTAGTTTCGATAGTTTCTTTCAAAAACTACTATAATTTTGGGCCAAAGAATTGTGGTAATCGTAAATTAAACATTTTCCTAGGGCGCTGAAAACGAAAACAGCAATGGAAGTGGCAGAACACGTGGTTTCCATTTTCGGGACCTTCGGGGCACCACGGATTCTTCAAACTGGTAAGCGGTTTTTAAAAATAATAATAGTTACTATTGTGCCTACAACCTCTATTTTTCTGTTTTAGATAACGGACGAGAGTCCGTTATTGTTTATCTGGTCATTCAGATCATTATGGTGTTTTAGGATATCGTAAGCGCCCATAGATCTTTCACTGCACTTTTGGGCCTTTCACCAGCTGGACATCGACCTCGAACTTCATGTACTCAAAGAAAAGATCCAAAAATTTAAATCTACCATAGGTTTTCTTAAAGCAAAACATTTTCCCCTTTCTTTTTCAATAATGAATTTTGTTGTTTTTCTGTGGTGAACTCTAGCTCAAAATCTAGCAATAGTTTTGAATGGAAGTCCTAAGAAGCAAGAATAAATAGTTTTGAACTATACGATGTCAGCGAGCAATGTCAAGAGCTAACTAGGAGACTCATTCAACTTGAGAATGCTCTGGCTGCTACACAAGCATCTACGTGATGTAACTGATAGAACTAAGTGCATTACAAATTTAAATATAAAAGTTTTGTGAAATTTTAAAACTAACTGGTCGATATTTCTATTTGTTAAAAATGATTTGCAAAGTTTTAAATAAAATGAAAACTATAAAAACGGGAGCTGTGCTGTGTTGTAGACATGGCCATTTTCGAGTTTAGGCGGCCGGGTCGGGTCAAAATATAAATGCAAATTTACCAAATGTTTTTTAAGAAATGTTATTAACATAGGTATTTATTCAAACGCAACAATGAAATAGGCAAACAAAAATTAACAACAATAAATTACTTATCAATAACTGCTCGAATAACTACAATCCGATCCGTAAGAAACAAACTCACTAGTGCTATTAGAAAAATTACTGCTTGAATCCGATCCTTTTTCGATGTGTAACTCTGTAGCAGCTATCTTCAGAGCCGAGCGATACCCATAACGAGTCTCCAGCGAAGTTGGCCAAACTCTACTCCTAAAATTAGCATTTGTTTCTGAATACAAAAGAGACTAACTTCATGCACTTTTGATTAAGGCTAACTATAAGGGCCGACTTCAATGTTGGAGGGGCCATCCGCTGTCGTCGACTGTTTTTCCAAATCAAACCACACATACTAAAATGAAACTATTACTAAACATACTAAAAATTGTACCTAAAAACACGCTCCGAAGAAACGGAACTAGCTGGTGGCGACATATATTGAACCGCAATCGGATATAAACTAAAATAGTAACTGAAAACTAGAAAATAGAGTGAACAAACTTTTTAAAACGAGCTTTGTTTTGGAACCACCACAGGTACAAGTTTTCGGTAGTAGACGGACGGGTTTCCTTTGTACAAAAGCGTACGTAGTCGTCAATCTCGAGCTACAGTAGGGTCCAAAAATTTGGAACAATCACCTTCCGGCAACTTTAACTCGATGTAACCTGCGTTAAATACATCCAATTTTGTTACTTTAAAAACTATTTTTGTTGCATTTTTTGTGAACTTTCTGAATGTCTACTTTATTTTATTTGATATTTGATCTTTTCTTTTGTCTTGCGCTTTTTCTTGGAACACTCATTTTTTTAGGGGTTCAAAAGTTTGGAACAATTTCAAAAATAACAATACATTTTTAATTTTAAGATGCCAAATCGTTCGAATTTTACGGAGTATGATAAAGAACTTATTGTGGCTGAAGTAAATCAAGGAAAGAGCCGTCAAGAAGTCGCCACAACATTCGGTGTCACCCATTCAGCAGTAACCAAGATTTATAACAAATGGAAGGTTTCCGGAAATGTGAAACGAGCAGCAACAAAGGGAAGGCCAGCTAAACTGGATGAGCGTGATGAGAGGACACTTGTGCGACCATTTAAGAAGAATCCGCGCCTCAATTCAACTGATCTACGTCGAGACGCCGAGTCAAGCTATGGAGTTTCGCTCTCCAAAACGACGGCTAAGCGCATCTTAAAGTAATTTTATGATTTAAAAATATCAAGCTCCTCAAGAAAAAAGAAAAAGCGCAAGACAAAAGAAAAGATCAAATATCAAATAAAATCAAGTAGACATTCAGAAAGTTCACAAAAAATTCAACAAAAATAGTTTTTAAAGTAACAAAATTGGATGTATTTAACGCAGGTTACATCGAGTTAAAGTTGCCGGAAGGTGATTGTTCCAAATTTTTGGACCCTACTGTATAACACCTTAATATGCACTAAACTTAGATTTTTACCCACCTGCAAAGTTGAAAGGCGTGTTTTTTTGGAGACATGTTCAACGAGAAACCATTCCAGTGGCTTTCCGGATCCTTGCGCATGTCGGGCTCAGTTTGATCATCCAAACAAAGGGCATCTAAGCATAAAACGTAACAAATTATTTTTTGAGAGAGGCTACCGTTTTTGAAGAGGATCCGCTCTTTGATGTTATTCCAGACAAGCTCGTCATATAAAGTACATCTGCAACTCCAGCGTGGGTCCAGAAAAATAGCTTCTTGCAAAAACTCATCCTGATAAGCTTCTGCGGTGGCTTTGTTGAGCTTGTCTGTAAACTCTTTGCATATATCGATAAGAGCTTCATCTCCTAGCATCATTCTAAAATATTAGATAATAATTTAGGCATTTAACAACAAACTTTTCACTGGCTATTTTCAAATCTTTCAGAAATTAATGATATCCGAAAGTGAAGAACTATGAGACGACATCTAAAAATTCATAATAAGAAAATAAATAACAATAGCATTAACCTTTCTCGAATATTCGTCAAAAAGCCCAAGGATTCCGACAATTTTTTTTACCACACTAAGTCCTTCTTCGTTTAGCATATCTTTATTTATCTCTCGTAGGATTGCATTTATCGGACGTGTCTAAAATGCAAAGCTTTCAAGAAAATTTAAAAATAAACAATCAATCTCAAACAATCAATTAGTAAATAGTATAGTGAATTCCAGCGAGTTTCACACTCCGATCGAGGCACCACAAGTGGGCATGCATACTCTTTACATAAGCTTAAAGAAAAAATTTCACTTTCAACTGAAACTATATATACCAACCCAATAAACTTGCGTCGCGAAATTCCCGATTGGTGTATGCGACGAACAGCTGATTTCATCTGATCAATAATACTAAGCAAAAAGCTTTGCTTCAGAAGTCTTCTCACAACGAGATTTAGCTTGTGGCCGAAGCAATTCACCCTAAAGGAAAGAATCAAACAAATTAAAGAAAGTAATGAAAATTTTACCAGTTCAATTTTAGATGATCTCTGATAGCTTTTTTGACGTCAGATCCTCCGTCAGTGGTTGCCCTTTTCACCTTTTGTTCAATCTCGAAATCGACCATTGTTTTTTTAAGTCGGCAGCCATGTCTATGCTTTTCCTAAAGCCAATTTTTAGAAGCTAGGTATAAGTGAATTTATTACTTAGATAACAGCGGAAAAGCACCAATTAGTAAACTTTTCTTGAGGCCGTCTTTGCCGTTTACAATATGGGCGGTCACAACCTAAACAAAAATGAATTGAGTGAACAAAAGTGAAAACAAAAAACCTGCAATGTGTATTCACAATTAGGACTGGAGCTTGTGTCCGTTTTTAATGCTACATTATCAGCATTTTTCAAGTAGTTTTTCGTCTAAATAAGAAACAATTCATGTAATGAATCGTAATTTTTAGACCTCGGCTTTTATTTCTTGAGCTCGCTTCTCAATAATACGCGTTAGTTTTCCTCTTGATATTGGCTCGAATGGCCGTTTCTGAGCAAGTATCGCAGACATCTCATTAAAGATTTTGCTTTAAACCTAAAACGTTCTTTGAAATTGTAATTCTATCAAAACATACAATGTTAAAAGGTATGTTGTTACTGCAAAAAAACGCGGCTATTTTAAGGTTAACCGCATCAATCGTTTCAATTTGCTTTTCCTTAGCACAGAAAGTTGTAATAGGCAAAATCCTTGGCTTTTCTTTAGCTTGCCTAAAAACAGAAGTTTGAGAGCATTTAATACTAAAACTTACCTTGTTTTGGCCTACTCATAAATTTCCTTGTGTTTGTTGTTGAGATGATCGTTGAGGTTTTTCGTACCACCTTTTTGCCTCGTTTGTATTTGGTGTTGCAGAGGTTACACACATCTTCGTCGCCAATTCTTGCGAAAAACGATCGGGCAATTGAGGACATTGCTAAAAAATGAAGTTTAGTGAAATAAAAAAAGCCAAATTAACAATAAAAATAATTTTCATGAACGCAAAAAAAATGATAAATGTGAGAGAGCATCGCAGCCTTTATAAACTAAGCATAAAGTATTCATTCAAGAAAATGGGAGTTCGCAGTATAGATATTGACCCGACAAACTACAAACGTAAACTACAAACGCTTCTAACTAGCTTCAAATTTGTTGCATTGACATGAACTATAGCTCAAAAAATAGAGAATCTCAAGTGCTTTTGAATGAACTCAAGTACATCCAAAAATATCAATGCTAAAGAAAGTTATAGTGGTTTGTATCCTGGCTCGATCGTTTCAACTACGTGCGAGTACGGTCCGTTTCGACAGGACCAAAAACTTTAACTTTCTTTAGCAATGATATTTTTGGATGTACTTTAGTCCATCCAAAGCACTTGAGATTCTCTATTTTTGAGCTATAGTTCATGTCAATGCAACAGATTTGAAGCCAGTTAGAAGTTTTTGTAGTGTGACAGTTCGTCAATTTTGTAGTGTATAGTGCCCATGTTCATCGCAGTTTAGAAAAGATAGTTGGCATTAGTCCAACAAAGCCGGGTCGTGGGTCGGGTCAGCGGGTCACCCAGGTAAAAAAGCCGGGTCGGGTCAGCGGGTCATTCGGGAAAAAAAGCCGGGTCGCGGGGCGGGTCAGCGGGTCACTTTTGACTCGACCCGACCCGACCCGCTGCCCATGTCTACTGTGTTTAATGCCAAGTGGTATTCGGTCGATTGTGGGGCTCAATTCACGCTCATCTGCACATAATTCCCAACAATCAAATGTATCAAATGTTTAAAGAAACACCTCACCTCAAGGTTCAATGATTCTTTGATCAGGAACTTTTGTGTAAAGCTTTTATAGTAATACTCAACACTAAAAAGAATTAACTTCAAAGATTCATAGAATAAAAGGACTTGTTTACTTGCTTGCCACAAGTTGTTCTTTACAGATTTCCTAGTTAAAACCTGTAAAAAAACTTTCTAAATTTATTAAAACGCTAATGTTTTTTTTTCGTTTAAATGTTCATTTTGATCATTTTAAACTAAAATTAAAAAAATTGTTTATTGATAAAATGTTGAAAGTTTATATGTAAGCTTTTATCTTTATCCTACTTTTTGACATCTTCTCTCCTGTTTTTCGATCTCTGGCTTGTTTTCTGATGACTGAAAATCGATTCTTTTGTTTTATAGTTAAAGAATTAAACAATAAATTAGAGAATTAGTTAAGATATTAAAGAATGAACTAACATTTCCATTTCTCCACTCAGAATACGAGTTGAGTCGATCAACTTCACTCGCTAGCTTTCCCTCAATTTCTTCGGCTTTTCCCGGCAACACCATCTCGAGATGTTCTCGTATTTTTTGAACACAATCCTAACATTGGAAAAGTTCGATTGTCAGTGAAGTCACTCGTAAATCACCTTGAACAACGGTCTCTCTTTTGTCTTTGAATTCCAGCATTTCAACATAAAGTTGTACCTAAAACATCTTCTTTCTCTCTCTTAAACTTTCCTTCAACTTACAGATCATCATGTACAAACTCGGGCTTCTTATTTCGTTCTCCATTTCGAACTCGCATATAAATTTCGTCGAGCGGAATTCCCGGATATGGACGATCGCCAAGGGTGAATAGTTCGTACAAAAGGATTCCGTACGACCAAACATCAGACTGCAAATTTACTTTAGTATATGTATTGGGTTGGGGACTATGACTCAGCGGCTAGTTTCCCAACACTCTCTTAAATTGTAAACAACAATCGGCTGCCTGCCATTTTGGCGAGCAGATAAGAACAGATCTATTCTCTCAAAAACAATGATGAATTTCCAAAAAGATACACTCAGCAGTTTCGCTTAAAATGCAAGCTTTGTGAAAATTCGTAAATTTGGCATTTCTTGAAAACCAGTTTTTGAATCGTTCTGAAAATTTGGCTATAAGCCTAATTTTTGATTCTCTACAACTTTTCTATTGACACCAAAATGGGTTTCTTTCGAAGAAAGTGCTCAAACTGGGACATCTCCAGTCCTCTATTTTTGAGTCTCACACTCGTCTCACACACAAACCAAAATCCTACTACGAAAGAGGAATCCGCAAATTGCCTGTAAAATGGGCCCAAATCGTGCAAAATAATGGAGAATACCTTGAATGATTTGCTTGTGAAATGTTCAATAAATTTGCCTTTCTTTTGTCCGCCGAGTCATAGTCCCCAACCCAATACTTTGGTATCCGTAAAATCTGCACATAAAAGAATCGCGTACCGCTTGTGTGTAATATCCGCTTTCAATCGATTCCGGACTCATCCACTGCAAAGGTAAAAGATCATTTTTATGCTTCTCGAAGTCTTTTCTAAAAATTCCTTTTTCATAATCAATAGTTTCTTCCGAACCGATAATAAGATTTGTTAGATCTTGCCAATCCAAAATCAGCGATTCGACAAATGTTTTTCTCTGTGATTAATATATTTCTCGCGGCCAGATCTCGATGAATGCACTGAAAGGAAAGGATAGGCCTTTTCAAATGGTACTATAACCATTAGATGCAGTTTTTGATGCTCATTCCGAATCTGGTTTTAGATTTTGGGATCAAGAGATATTTGGCTTAGAAGAAAAGTCTTTTGAAGGTCTTGCTAAGCCTGTAAACTAAATATCTCGCAATCCCGAGGTGTTCAGCAAGATCTGCACCCAGATTCGGAATCAGCATCGAAAACTGCATATGATGGCCATAGTACCATTTGAGAAAGCCACACTGACTACCCATTCTTCCCTCCTGAGAATTAAAGTTGACTTTTTGCGAGATGCAAAGCTTGACAAAAGGTCAAGGGGCAAAATATGAGGTGAAAGTCAAACAATTTTTGGCTTGCTTAGCTTGTCTCATTAAGTCTTCATCGAAGCCCATTAAGAAGCCATCTATTAGGTTGGCAAGTTATAAACGATCGCTTGCTTTGTTCAATGATTTCTTAGAATTAAAAAAGATTTTTCTCGGGGTTTTTTTCTGCAAACAAACTACAATATTTTAGTGTAAAAATAGCACAACTTTCAAATTTCTGAGCGCCTTTTTCCTGAAAAAAAAAATGAAGGACGAAAAGTTTCTTATTCGCGCAGCTATGCTCTACGATTTTAAACAAGGAAAATCAGCCGCTGAATTTCATCGTACAATTATTTCCGCTTTTGGAGATGGAACTATTAGCGGAAGTCAATGTCGAAAATGGTTTCAACGCTTTCAAAGTGGCAGCAAAAGTCTCCAGGATGAGCCGCATGAGAGGCCCCCTGGCTTGCTTAGCTTGTCTCATTAAGTCTTCCTCGAAGCCCGTTAAGAAGCCATCTCAAGCCAGACTTACCGGGATTTCACTCAAAAACTCCATTCCGCTAGCGATTTGCATCGCAAACGATAAAAGATCGGATGTCGAGCATAGAAATGTCTGGAATATTAAAATCACATTCAATTTCGTTTCTCTTCAAAACTTTTAGAAACCTGAACAATTGGTGTCTTCTCGTGTCCATCATGCTTTTCGTCTTGACTTTCAACTTGAGTCCACTAAACAATTCGAATTCAAGGTAAAGACTAAAACAAGATCATACCGGAATGTAGCCGTCAGTAACTACATCCACAGACATTTCTCTAATTATTGACAATTCAATCTAAACAGTTTTTAGCTTTTTAACGATCGTTTTCCTACTGTGTTTCCTCTATTTTTGCGATCCGGCTTCATGTATTCACTGTTTTGAGCCTGAAATGTTAGTTTTACGAGAAACGGCCAACAGGGTGTGGATGGCCGACTGACAGTAGGTTTGAATATGAGGCGAGGATTCTAGGGTTCGATTCCGGTGTTTGACTTTTGTTTTGGATCAAAATCGACTACCTAGAGCAAAAACGGAAAGCAGATTCGGAATCAGCGCAAAATTCTACGTCGGTTAGTATATGGCTCATGCCATTTGGCCATCACACCCTGTTGACCGTCCCTTGTTAGTAATAATTCAAAGACTAACCTTTCTCAATTCATTACAAAATGTGTTGCGTGTGAGGTTTTTCAGAAATTTCTGGAGACTCCCATTGGCGCATAGCTCCGTGACAAGACAGAGACGACCACTGGATTTACAAGGTGCGTTCAGAATCACATATCAAGTTTTCTCTGGTCAAGATATTAGGTACTTACCTAGTCAGATGATAGGTGACTGCTCCAATCAGAGTGAGCACATTCGGATGCGGTGGAATTAAGGACATAAACTTCAGCTCGTCGGCCAACATTTGAATGTTGATGATGTGTTGTCGGATTGAGGCTGCGTGAAATGGTTCCTATAGTAATGTTTGAGAATCTTTTGCCAAGAAGTTCACCTTAACAGCGACCTTTAAAGTTGGTGTTTCGGAAGTGAAATTATTGATTTGATTCGGTTTCTTCAAAAATCCCATTGAAACTTTCCCGAACTGTCCACTTCCCAACTGTAAAAAGTCGAAAGATTCAGTGGATAGAAGCTTTTTACCGTTCTTCGATCAGAAATTTGAAGATCATCGCATGAAATTTCAAATTTCGAACGATCGTAAACGATTTGATTGATTTGTTGATCGAGGGGAATCTGCTTGTTTCGATCTTGAGCTGGAATGGTTCCTCCGTTTATTAAATCATCGTACAGCACTCGGAAAGCACTAAACAAAGAGGTTTTGAATACGATATCAATTTACTACAGACTTTTCTTCATTTCGAGCTCGAGCTTTCTGTCTTCTCCACAAAATAATAAAATTGAGCACACATGCGAGCAAGATGAGAAAGATGATGGAGAGAGCAACGAATGCAAGCATTAGACGTCTTCTTTTATCGTCTTTGACCTATTGTTAATGCTGACCTATTGTTAATCTGTGGGTTGTTGTTTGTTCGTGATTAGTTGCGACCGCAAAAGTGGAGCAAAGTATGCGCTTGGCTAACGATGCTCTATTTATTTTTTGCCCATTCTCAATGGTTCACAAGAAAAACGCAGCGAAAAACGAAAAATGAAAACGAAAAAAGAGTCATTTTTCTTCCGTTCGTTCAAAAGACCCGCGCGTTAACCCTTCGGCCAGTAGATGCGAGCGCACTTGTCTCTAGCCCACACGATTCAGGTTCGACTCCCGCCCGCGTCGGCGCTTTTGGTTTTTTGAAAAATTTAAAACATGTTGCATAACCACATGAAATTCTAACCTAAACTAACTATCAGTTATTTGAAACGGCCTACTGGGCGTGGAGGAGTGGTGCGAGGCATCGCTCCCTTATTACCTCAAGAGAGATACTCCGTCGCACATCTCCCGCTCGATTCTTCCCAACACATTCATAGACTCCACTATCATCGGTGTCCACTTTAGGAAGAACAAGAAGACTTTCATTATCCCTCATTGCAATTCCATTCTTTGACCTTTAACCATTCAGTGTTTTCTGCTCAGTTCAAACAAAGTTTTCTCTTGTAAACAACAAACCATGAAATGAACGGAGTCGGATCTCCACTCATTTTGCAGTCTAATAGCTGGCTTTCTCCAGCTTTTATGTGAACTATTTCTGTTTCATTGACGAGCAATACGGGTGCCATCATTTCATGAATCTATAACAGACAATTTCAAATGAAAAAAAGTCTCAAACCTCCAGCCCGATTGTTTGATTCAACTCCTGTCCGGTTTCAGTGTTTCTTGCAACGCAAATGTAGTCACCGGAGTTATTTGTCGAAATATTCTATGATTGAATTTTGAAGAGAAAGCTCTATTTGTAGTATGAGTTGGCTTGAACCACAAAAACAAAAAGAACAAAAAAAGATCGAGCTCTAAAATCAAGCTCTGTCAAGCTATTTGTATTCACTGTCATCTGCAAAAATGTTTTTACTCATTTTTTGATTTTCAAATAAACAAACCTTGATTGTCATTTTTAAGAGCACTGAATCCCCGTCAATGCTTTGCACAATGCTGCTTTCATCTAGCACTGTCTTGTTGTAAATCCAAAACATTGAGCTGTAAATGAATAAATTTAAGGAATATTTTGTTAACCAACATGTCAGCCAACATGTGAACTCGGCAAAATAGTGTGATATCATCGCCCCGATAAACTCTGTTCTAAAAGAACTTTGCAAAGAGATTTCAACAAGTATCCAACCGGATCCTCGCCGCTAATTTCTGGATCCCTTTTCATCCAAACTGCTGGACGTTGACCGACTCGGAGATGAAATGAACCTTGTTCAAAGAGACCCTAGATGTTTGAATTTGAGAAAAATTTCCTTCTAAACGAAACAATTTTGCAAACAACAATGAGATCCTCGTGAACGGTCGTGTTCCAAAAAACGTCATCCGCTCCGGTCACACTTGCTGCTGGGACCATTTTATTCGATCTTAAGCAGTCATTGCTTTCACCTTTTCTCATCGTTACCGTTGATAAAATAAGTGAAGTCCGTCGTACTCGTTAACGTGAACCCTCGAATGACAGCCAAGCTGAATCTTTGCGCCAATCTAAAGATTTATTAGGTTGTAAACTAAGTGTTGACGGCTTCAGGAAAGTTTCGAAATTTTGCTTTTAGTGAGGGTGCGCTCTGTTTTTCCTGTTATGGGGATGACTCTTCCGAAAGTACAATAAAACGCTAAAGTTGCACCAGCAAAGGATGTGCTCCCAGACCTCCACCAAAAGTAGTACATGCTATTGGTTTGGTGGGATCTCTTGGGTCAGTGGGTGGGATGTCATTTATTGAGAGCCTCTCGATAATAAGCAGACAATCAATGCTCTATTATACAGCGACCAGCTCAAAAAGCTTGAAGAGGAAATTAAGCTTGAATTTGAAAGAGGCCATTCTCCAACACGATAACGCCAGTTCCATGCGGCAAAGTTGACCTACTCCACAATCCATGCGTTGAACTGGGAGCTCTTACCCCGCCCACCATATTCAGTCCTACAGATTACCATCTTTTCCAATCAATGCAACGTGCCCTGGATGGAGAGCACTTCCAAAATGAAGAAGGCCTCAAAAAGTGGCTCCAAGACTATTTTGAAGTGAAACCAAGAATTTTCTATGACAGGAGAAGCCACCAATTGTCAGTAGAATGGGCGAAATTCATTGCAAATAATGAAGGCTATTTTGATTAAACCGCTCTTCTAGTTGTCAATAAATATTGTTTTGAATTTAGGGTCAAGACTTAGTTTACAATTTAATACAAATGCTAAAACTAAAAATTTTGGATTTAAAAGGAAACAATTTTCTCAATAGGTATTTTCTATTGAAATTTCAGTTTTTTATCGTCCTGGGACCTACCACGTGATACACTTTATCGAATTGAACGAAATGAGCCCCAAAAGAAGTGCATGCTATAGGTTTGGTGGGATCTCTTGGGTGTCATTTATTGAGCGCCTCTCGATAATAAGCAGACAATCAATGCTCTATTATACAGCGACCAGCTCAAAAAGCTTGAACTAAAGGAAATTAAGCTAAAGCGCTCCAAATTGAAAGAGGAATTTCGAAGTTTTATTATAGTCCTCTGGACCTACCACGTGATACACTTTATCGAATTGAACGAAATGAGCGGAGGATTGCACGTTGAAAGTAAAATCTTTCACTGGAGTGTCGACTTTGACTTTCCACTTGATCATTTGATAGCGCTCTTCGATCACAAGAAATGTGATTTCATAGCTAGAAAACTCGAATGAAATTAAATGGAAATTTGATCGATTTTGGAACTCACGTTCCACCAGGAGCTAGTTTGTGACTCGGTATGAAGAGCTCTTCGGTGTAACTTTCCACTCTGCCATTTTCATCGACCTACAAGATCGTACTTCTTTAACTAATCGTATTAGCTCCTTTGACAAGGAGTGGCAATGTCCAAAATCTTTTTTTGTGTCTGGGTCACTAACATTGTAACCGGTTCGAAATTTATCGGTTTGCTTTGGTTTGGGCTCCTAAAAACGACAAGAGAGGAACGTTTTGACTAACGTAAAACCGATTAAAACCGATTTTAATAGGTTTTACCGGTTGTTGCCGGGTCGGTTCCTAACCGATTAAACGGTCGCTCGGCTCGATTTGTTTCGATTAAGAACCGATTCTAATGGCTTCAAAGGTTTTCACCTTCAGATATGGTCTCTTGCCACAGTCCACCACTTCGTGCGAAGTGGAAACTTTTTGTCTTCCAACAACGACATATCTTTCGTAATACCATGTACAGGTGTAGTTTACAAAGTCGACTGCTATCGGGAGAATCGTTGCTGAAAGAACTTGTTCTGTCAAAAAGGTTCGGCATAAGGTTACCTTTTATTCTGATGGGCTCTCCTTGAAAGACAGTCAACACTTCGGCGTGTGGAGCAAACTACAACAAAGATTCAATTTAAAATTTAATCGAAATCCTACGTGCATTCTGTATAATGGGGAAAAGATTCGGAATGGAGACGTCTGCTGAGTCTTTGCATCCCATTTGTTGACCACTTTTTGAGGCCTGAAGTAAATTTCGAGAGAAAGGCAATAATCTCTTCTTACCAAGAACATGTGTATAGACCATAATCGTGGGATTTAACCTCCTCAAATATGACACTTAATGAGAAGAGCGTCGAATTCCCATGAGTTTGCACATCTTTTTGGATCTTTGGCTGAAAATACTTTGTAAAACTTACTACGAACTTTTTTTCACTCCATCTTTTTGCCTGCATCGAGGACACTCCATTTGTAATTGGTTTTCAAATTGGCTCGTAGTATTGTCCAATCGCAGATCACATTGAACAGTGACATTTCTTCCTATATCGTTTGTAAATATCACCAACAATCCACTAGACATGGTTTCTGATTCAATATTCATCAGATGTTTGTTAAGCACCCAAGAAATCTCGTTTGACATCGTCATTGACACAGAGTTCACGGGTATTGAAGCAAACTAAACAATTGGTTATAACAAAATTCTAAATCGAAGACGCCAACCCGCACGAACCACTCGACTTCATCGCCATTTAAAGCCACACAGCGGAACCGGCCACTACCCATCGGTAAACTCCTGTTCAGTTTCACCAAATCTATTTCAAAGCCGTATCTTAAAGTAAACAGTGTTGTTTTAAGATGAACCAGCCAACTTACCGTGGATCATAGGTCCAAGCATATCCTTCTTTCCAAGCATCTCCCTCACTCAGCCATGTCTCTCCGTCCACAAACAAAGAGGGCCTAACTGGCCAATGACCGATTTGCGTGTATCGACACGGAAGAAGAAATTTTGATGAGGTGACATCGAGTGTATAGGTTTTGGGCTTTAGAAAATCATATAAACCTTAAAATGAAGTAAAATTTGCAAAATGCAATGCTTTGAATTGAGTCTACCTTCCACAAAAACATAGAGAAAATCAGTTTGGTTTTTGTCGTCCAAACACGTGTATTTCCCGGTATCACTTTGTTCCAGGGATCGAATGTGAAACAATTGACTCTAAAGATTTACACAAAGGTTTTTAAAGACAACATTATTTTACCCGTTCGTCTTCTTTTTCGATAGTGATTTTCTTTTGGAAATCCTCTTCACTAAACCCTTCCAAATCGAGATTCGATTCAATTGGCAACATCCATCTACAGAAGAAAATTACTTGTAGTTTGAAAAAACAATTTTTGACTAACAGCTTAAGATAACAGTTCGAAAGACAACAACATTTTCGTTAATCAAATTCACTTACCGAAGTTTATCAGCAGTTGTGCTCCGGCATCGAAGACTCAAATTCTGCCCAGCTGACATTCTGATCATAGGATAGCTAAAAGCTCTAAAAGCTAAAAGTTAAATAAACAAGATCAAAAAACCTTTCATATGCATTGTAAGACACGAGAATCTCTTTGTCCACAGGCATCACCGTCAAACTCGCGTCCACATTTTGAAAGAACAAGAGAAAGAGAAAAAGAAAAGCGACAAAAAGTTTGTATTTAGGCATCCACCTTCTTTCAATTGATTGAATCTTTTGCATTTTAATAAAGAGCTTTCTTTCTAAACGAATAAATGAATAGGTAGTGGTAGAATAGGTTTTGGTTGCAAAATGATTTGTGAAACAATTTGTTTTGACAAGCAAAATTCTTTGATTGCTAATCTTTTTTACTTTGTTTATCGGGAATCTAGCTTCGAAGAAATGGTGACTAATTGGAGAAAACAACTGAAAGGAGGAAAGAAACGACAATTCCTGGAAGGAGAAAGCTTCATCTACTTTGCAACGGACTCTTATCAGTTTTTTCAAACTCTATTTTGACCGTTTTTTGAAATCGTTGTTAAAATGAAACGAAAATGAAATTGATTGTTCGAGAGGAAGTGAGTTGGAAGATTACTCACTTTCCCACCAAAATCTCAAGCTGTCCGTATTTACTGATATTGAGCAGGCAGCAAATTTAGATTCGAATCGAATTTGGTTTGGAATTAGCTATCATTTCTTTTTAAGTCAACACATTTATCGGTTAACTTTAATGCAATAACAATTGACCAACAGTTAACAAAAGATTCCTAAAAATAAAACAAAACAACAATTGAACAATAGTTGAACAAAAAGTGATAAGAAAGGGGATTTGGACAACTTAGGACGTCCAGAATAGAAGTTAAAGCAAATTATCGTATTCATTGTCAGATGGTGCTTAAAAGTCTAAAATATACACAAATCATCAACTATTAACGCTTAAAAAAATAAAAACTGGCAACAAAAATTATTTTGCAGTTAAAAAGGAGCGAATACGCAACATGGTGAGTCAATAGCAAAGCAACGTAGCAGCTAACAAAAATTATCATTTAACAAAAACAAATCAACACTTAATTTTGAGACAGACATTGACAGTGACGTCACAGATCGAATCGAATCGGTTCAGTTAATTTTAACCCTTTTTTCAAGGCCTTTCGAGAAATTGGGGTTTGTGATTTGAGTCTAAAACTTTTTCGTTAAATCTGTTCTTTTTCTTGGTTAAACATTGGAGTTTATTCAATAAAACTAAGAAAAATGAACATAAAATCGAAATCGAAATCGTAAATCGAAAAGTATGATCAAGTTACATGAGAAATGAGCATTTGTGCGCCACGCAACGAGGCCACCGATCTTGGCCGCTCGTTTCTCGCCGATTCCCAAGATGCCACAGATCTCTCGTTTGGTAAACGGCTACACCAAAAGAGTCCCATCATTGCTTGAAGTGTCTAAAAAGGTTTCTTTCTTCCAACAATATTCCAACAATACAAACAATAAGAAACTAACAATAACTTCTTATCTGTTCGAAATGAATGACCTTGTGTGTGGCCAGCAGGGTTTCTTATGTTCAGTCTCAATTAGACACAAGTTTTTAACAGTTTTAACAACTGGCAACTTTCAAAAACTGAGCAATAATCCTTACCATCGGAAAACAAATGAGAATGGCGATTGTGGCCAAGACTCCAAGAAAATAAAGGCTCATGTTGAGAGGCCGAAGATTCAGGGTTGGGACGAGGTTCATCAAATTCCAGTACACCGTGAAGCTCACGTAGATGTACTTTGCTAAAAAGACTTCTTTTGATTTCCAAAAAAGAACACTCACGCAAAAGAATAACAATTTGAGTGATGACGATTCGTTTTGTGGTCGATGTCCACAAATGTTTCCTTTTCAAATTGGCCGACGTTTTCAATCTGTAAGTGAACAGTAATGCATCACTAACTAAATCAGGACTTGTTCTTGGGAGTAAATTTTACATTTCTTTAATCTGATTTTGGTCTTTGGTCTGAGCATCGCTTTAGCTTGGTTCAGTTGGACCTCTAAATGAATTGAATCGACACAACCTGATCTGATATCCAGGCCGCGTCATATTTATGGACCTGGGGGTGTCAGTTTTTAGGCTCTAACGATTCAAGCAGTTCTCCCGATTTTGATGAGGAGTCAAGCGTCGATTTACGCTTGGAGACAATTTCAATTACCGTAAGATCATTAATAGAGGCTGAAGGTCAAGTGTTTGCAAACCTTCAAGTTAAGGTTTGCGCACTCGGTTCCGTACTTTGAGGAATGGGCTTTTCTGTTAGTGGCCATGGTGAGTTGGGTGACAAAACGGATGCTAGGCTGACGTTTGAAACGAATGAAATGGTCTTTTGATTGATCAGTCCAGACAAGCAAGCCTAGTCGACCACTAACGCTCATCGTCTACCCAAGAACAATAACAGTTTAAGGTGTAAGATCTTTTTAAATCTCGTTCAGGTCAGCTCAATCAACCCGTGTATTACGGTCTACTACGTGGCTCCGTATCGAGAGAAAGTCATCCAAACATTCGGTGATTTGAGAAGAAAACGAGAAATCTACAAAATCCACGATCATTCGAATGCATCATCAAGGAACACCATGAAAGACACCCACAATAAGCAAATTTCAACTCAAATCACTTCACAATATGATCTAACTTAAGTTTTAAATAAAGATTTCAACTTCCAACGGTTTATTGTTTTACAGGATGGCAAAAAATTATAGGCGCAACCTTTTGGTAATTTAGTTGTAAAAAAATCAAGTCAAAACCCAGGAAAGATAAGATAAAAGAAACGTTTTTTTATTCAGACATTCAGACAGCCTTTTGAAATTGTTTTAACGTATTTTATTAAGTTATTAAGTTTATTTGTTCAGAATTTAAAGAACAATCTTAAGAACAACAATTTTAGCAACCCAGCAAAACGCAAGGCTTGCATACAGAAACGCGAGTTGAAGAAGCACTAAGGAAGATCAAACATCGCCCAAAAGCCAAAAGCCCAAAAGCGCACAGTTTTCTGCTATTTTTTGAGTATTTTGTTTTTCTCTATCAAAAAACCCATTGTCTTTTTCTGATCGTATGCTTATTTTTCAATTTGGGATCAGCATTTGTAAGCATGTCTCACAAAAACCGTGATTACGTTTTCGATTGAGTTCGTCGTTTGGCCAATCCAACATGCGCGCTTTGAAATCATAAATAACTAATCATAGATAACTTCTTTAATTAGAAAATGTTTAATTTACGATTACCACAATTCTTGGGTCAAAACTATAGTCGTTTTTGAAAGAAACTATCAAAACTACAGCTAGAACGTAGCCTTTTAAAACATTACCCACGGTGTTATTAGCAAAAGTTGTTTATTTTTCTAGCCGGAAAGCCCAGCGAGGATCAACTCAAAAACGGACGCACCGAAGGAGAGAAGCTGAACGGAGATGTGAGATGTGACTGTGCTCATCGTGTTCGCCGCACCTGTCTACCAAACCGTTTCGAAGAAATGAACCCGCGTGATTTGAGCTTTTTGTGTACTTGCAGACTCGAGTTTAGACTTACAGTCATGGACAAAGGTCTTGGCGGCTCCTGGGTGGCAACTTTCAAACGCGAATTTATGAACCTTTCCGAGAGGCTATAAAAAAAGTTGTCACAAGTATGTTTGAGCATTTTTACTCCACTTTTAGCTATGACCAAGCATTGAACTCGAAAGTTTATTTTAAACAACAAAAATAAGCGTAAACGACAAAAAGGTCAAAAAAACAATGGACAAAAGTCTTGGCGGCGACTTATTTTTCTGTTTTTTCTTAAAAAGAAAAAGAAGGTTTTGCTTTCAAAACCAGAAACAAAAGTCTCGTAGCAACCGGCTTTGAGAATGCAATGCAAAGTGAAGCAATTCAATCAAAAAACTTATTTTGTTACTCACTTGAAATAAAACACCAAAACTCTGGAATTTAGGAAAGTTTTGTGTTCTTTTTATTTATTCTAAGTCATCTGTTTTTTTTCAAGTTTTCATGCTAAACATTACTTAAAAATTGAATAAAAAAACCAAACAACATTTAATTACAACAAATCAAAAACATCGTTTAACTTCATTTGATTTATAAACATCAATAAAATAAAAGATAAATGTTGTGATAAAAGATGAAAGATGTGCGTTTAAAACGCAACTTAAAAGCAAAAAGTCTTGGCGGCTTACTACAACACTCATTTTTTTTTCTATTTTTGTGTGTATCTTTTCTATCTAAAGTATCTAAAGCATTTAGTTTACTTTGTAAGGGTTTTTCATTGATCACGAAATATGTGAGAAGATGGTGGTGGTGAGATGACAGTGAGAGACGGATGGTGGTCAGAAAGAGAAAGAGAAACATTTCTTGCGAAATCAAAAGCTGCTTTTTATTGAAAGGCATTGAGAAAGTTGTTTTTCAGCTCGAAATCAATCAATTTTGCCGTCAATCAATTTTTCTTATACCTTAACACTATAATAAGAAGATTGATGGCGGAGAGAGGCGAAAGAATAGAGAACACTTCTCATAGGCATTTGTTTAGCATTTCTTACTCCTAAAAAGCTTCATTTTCCTTGTAGAAATCTTTTCATAAAACCTCGTAGATCTTTGACTGCACTTTCTGGGCCTTTCACCAGCTGGACATCGACCTTGAACTTCCTGTACTCAAAGAAAAGATCCAAAAATTTAAATCTACCATAGGTTTTCTTAAAGCAAAACATTTTCCCCTTTTTTGAAAACTATCAAAACGGGAGCTGTGCTGTGTTGAATGCCAAGTGGTATAGTTGAATAGTTAGATCGATTGTGGCACTCAATTCACGCTCATCTGCACGCAATTCCCAACAACAAGATCAATTAAATGTTTAAAGAGACACCTCACCTCAAGGTTCAATGATTCTTTAACGAGTAACTTTTTATGTAAAGCAATAGCTGTTATAGTAATACTCAACACTAAAAAGAATTAACTGCAAAGATTCAAAGATAGTTAAAACCTGTTAAAAACTCTCTAAATTTAATAAAAGGCTAATGTTTTTCTTAGTTTAAATGTTCATTTAGTTAAAATATTAAAGAATCAACTAACATTTGCATTTTCTGTATTTCCATTTCTCCACTCAGAATACGAGTTGAGTCGATCAACTTCACTCGCCAACTTTCCCTCAATTTCTTCGGCTTTTCCCGGCAACACCATCTCGAGATGTTCTCGCATTTTTTGAACACAATCCTAACATTTGAAAAGTTCGATTGTCAGTGAAGTCACTCGTAAATCACCTTGAACAACGGTCTCTCTTTTGTCTTTGAATTCCAGCATTTCAACATAAAGTTGTACCTAAAACATCTTCTCTCTCTCTCTTAAACTTTCCTTCAACTTACAGATCATCATGTGCAAACTTGGGCTTCTCATTTCGTACTCCATTTCGAACTCGCGGATAAATTTCCTCGAGCGGAATTCCCGGATATGGACGATCGCCAAGGGTGAATAGTTCGTACAAAAGGATTCCGTACGACCAAACATCAGACTGCAAATTTACTTCAGAATCTTTTCCTTTATCCAAAATACTATAGTACTTTATTATTTGTACTTTGATATCCGTAAAATCTTCACATAAAACAATTGCGTACCGCTTGTGTGTAATACCCGCTTTCAATCGATTCCGGACTCATCCACTGCAAAGGTAAAGGATCATTTTTATGCTTCTCGAAGTCTTTTCTAAAAATTCCTTTTTCATAATCAATAGTTCCTTCCGAACCGATAATAAGATTTGTTAGATCTTGCCAATCCAAAATCAGCGATTCGACAAATGTTTTTCTCTGTGATTAATATATTTCTCGCGGCCAGATCTCGATGAATGCACTGAAAGGAAAGGATAGGCCTTTTCAAACCCGACTATCACCATTAGATGCAGTTTTTGATGCTCATTCCGAATCTGGTTTCAGATTTTGGGTCAAGAGATATTCGGAAGAAGTAGAAGAAAGGCCTTTTGGAAGGGCTTGCTAAAACCTGTCAACTAAATATCTCGCAATCGCCAGGTGTTCAGCAAAATCTGAACCCAGATTCGGAATCAGCATCAAAAACTGCATTTAATGGCCATAGTACCATTTGAGAAAGCCACACTCACTACCCATTCTTCCCTCCTGAGAATTAAAGTGACTTTTTGCGAGATGCAAAGCTTGACAAAAGGGTCAAAAGTCAAGGAGCAAAATATGAGGTGAAAGTCAAATAAGTTTTGGCTTGCTTAGCTTGTCTCATTAAGTCTTCGTCGAAGCTCGTTAAGAAGCCATCCCAAGCTAGACTTCGAGCCAGCCAGCCAGCCAGCAAGTTGTTGCCCAAAACGATCGTTTATAACTTGCCAACCTAATAAAGCCAGACTTACCGGGATTTCACTCAAAAACTCCATTCCGTTAGCGATTTGCATCGCAAAGGATAAAAGATCGGATGTCGAGCATAGAAATGTCTGGAATATTAAAATCACATTCAATTTCGTTTCTCTTCAAAACTTTTAGAAACCTGAACAATTGGTGTCTTCTCGTGTCCATCATGCTTTTCGTCTTGACTTTCAACTTGAGTCCACTAAACAATTCGAATTCAAGCTACAAACTAAAACAAGATCATACCGGAATGTAGCTGTCAGTAACTACATCCACAGACATTTTTCTAATTACTGACAATTCAACCTAAATAGTTTTTTAGCTTTTTAGCGATCGTTTTCCTACTGTGTTTCCTCTATTTATGCGATCCGGTTTCAAGTATTCACTGTTTTGAGCCTGAAATGTTAGTTTTACAAGAGACGGTCAACGGTGTGGATGACCAAATGACATGAGCCATTTACTAACCAACGTAGAATTTTGCGATGATTCCGAATCTGCTTTCCTCTTTTTGCACCGCAGCACTCTGTCAAAAGTTATAAGCGTTGAAATTTTGTATGGACCTTACCAAAAGATTTTGTGGTGGCCGACTGGCAGTAGGTCTGAATATGAGGCGAGGATTCTAGGGTTCGATTCCCGTGTTTGACTTTTGTTTTTGGATCAAAATTGACTACCTAGAGCAAAAACAGAAAGCAGCTTTGGAATGAGCGCAAAATTCTACGTCGGTTAGTATATGGCGCATGGCATTTGGCCATCACACCCTGTTAACCGTCCCTTCGGTAATAATTCAAATACTAACCTTTCTAGATAATTACTAAATAATTCAATTACTAACCTTTCTCAATTCATTACAAAATGTGTTGCGTGTGAGGTTTTTCAGAAATTTCTCGAGACTCCCATTGGCGCATAGCTCCGTGACAACACAGAGACGATCACTGGATTTACAAGATGCGTTCAGAATCACATATCAAGTTTCGTTCTGGTCAAGATATTAGGGACTTACCTAGTCAGATGATCGGTGACAGCTCCAATCAGAGTGAGCACATTCGGATGCGGTGGAATTAAGGACATCAACTTCAGCTCGTCGGCCAACATTTGAATGTTGATGATGTGTTGTCGGATTGAGGCTGCGTGAAATGGTTCCTATAGTAATGTTTGAGAATCTTTTGTCAAGAAGTTCACCTTAACAGCGACCTTTAAAGTTGGTGTTTCGGAAGTGAAATTATTGATTTGATTCGGTTTCTTCAAAAATCCCATTGAAACTTTCCCGAACTGTCCACTTCCCAACTATAAAAAGTCTAAAGATTCAGATAAACTTTTTACCGTTTTTCGATCAGAAATTTGAAGATCATCGCATGAAATTTCAAATTTCGAACGATCGTAAACGATTTGATTGATTTGTTGATCGAGGGGAATCTGCTTGTTTCGATCTTGAGCTGGAATGGTTCCTCCGTTTATTAAATCATCATACAGCACTCGGAAAGCACTAAACAAAGAGATTTTGAATACGATATCAATTTACTACAGACTTTTCTTGATTTCGAGCTCGAGCTTTCTGTCTTCTCCACAAAATAACAAAATGGAGCACACATGCGAGCAAGATGAGAAAGACGATGGAGAGAGCCACGAATGCAAGCATTAGACGTCTTCTTTTATCGTCTTTGACCTATTGTTAATGTTGACCTACATTTCCGTGGGTTGTTGTTTGTTCGTGATTATTTTTTGCTCGCTCATAATCTGGCTTTCCCCGCTCTTAAGCCTGCTTCGGAGCCGGTTGCTAGCATTTTTTTACTTTCTTTTGCTAAACCTTTAAAAGCACTTTATTTATTTTAGAACTTTACACAAAATCAAACTTTAACGGAAAGAAGATCAGCACTTTTTGTTCATTTTCGGAGTTTTAGAGTATCATTTCCCCTTTAAAATTATTATTGGACATTCTAGTCTTGTGACACTTTATTACCAAACCAAAAGCTTCGCAGCAAAAAAAGCAAATTGGCGAACCCGCGACCTTTCTCTTCCATTCGTTTAAAAGATGTGCGTGTTTACCACTCGGCCAGTAGATGCGAGCGCACCAGCCTCCAGCCCACACGATTCGGGTTCGACTCCCGGCCGCGTCGGCCCTTTTGCTTTTTTTAAAAATCTATAAACATGTTGCATAACTACAAGAAATTCTAAGCCAAACTAACTATTTGAAACGGCCTACTGGCCGCGGAGGAGTAGTGCGCACAGACAGACAGACAGACAGACAGACAGACAGACGAAGTCCTTCATATATAGTAGATTATTGCGAGTGCTAACCCTAGTTATCAGGTTAGCATACTAGTAGACCCCTTGACAGTAGATTGGGTTGGTTTGAACTGGCTTGGAGGCTCAAGCGATTTTGTTCGACTCAGTATTGTTTCTAGAATCGAAGCAAACCAAACCGATGTCCATGTAAATTGTTAAGTGGATAAGCTACCGTATAAATGTATCTTATCGGACAAATGAACGAGTCTCACTTGAGGCATCGCTCTCTTATTACCTCAAGAGTGATGCTCCGTCGCACTTCTCCCACTCGATTCTTCCCAACACATTCATAGACTCCACTATCATCGGCGTCGACTTTAGTAAGAACAATTGAAGTATTTACAAGAAGACTTTCATTATCCCTCATTGCAATCCCATTTTTTGACCTTTAACCATTCAGTGTTTTCTGCTCACTTCAAACAAACCATGAATAGAACGGAGTCGGATCTCCAGTCATTTTGCAGTCTAATAGCTGGCTTTCTCCAGCTTTTATGTGAATTATTTCTGTTTCATTGACGAGCAACACGGGTGCTATCATTTCATGAATCTATAATAGACAATTTCAAATGAAAAAAAGTCTCAAACCTCAAGCCCGATTGTTTGATTAAACTCCTGTCCGGTTTCAGTGTTTCTTGCCACGCAAATGTAGTCACCAGAGTTATTTGTCGAAATATTCTATGATTGAAGTTTGAGGAGAAAGCTCTATTTGTAGTATGAATTGGCTTAAACTACAGAAATAAAAAGAACAAAAAAGAACAGATGACAGTATTCACTGTCATCTGTAAAAACAAACAAACCTTGATTGTCATTTTTAAGAGCACTGAATCGCCGTCAAAGCTTTGCATAATGCTGCTTTCATCTAGCACTGTCTTGTTGTGAACCCAAAACATTAAGCTGAAAATGAATAAATTTAAGGAATATTTTGTTAACCAACATGTCAGCCAACATGTGAACTCGGCAAAATAGTGTGATATCATCGCCCCGATAAATTCTGTTCTAAAAGAACTTTGCAAAGAGATTTCAACAAGTAACCAACTGGATCCTCGCCGCTAATTTCTGGATCCCTTTTCATCCAAACTGCTGGACGTTGACCGGCGACTCGGAGATGAAATGAACCTTGTTGGAAGATACGCTAGATGTTTGAATTTGAGAAAAGTTTCCTTCTAAACGAAACCCTTTTGCAAACAACAAAGAGATCCTCGTGAACGGTCGTGTTCCAAAAAACGTCATCCGCTCCGGTCACACTTGCTGCTGGGACGATTTTATTCGATCTTAAGCAGTCATTGCTTTCACCTTTTCTCATCGTTACCGTTGATAAAATAAGCGAAGTTTTTTGTACTCGTCAACGTCACCCCTCGCATGACAGCCAAGCTGAATCTTTGCGCCAATCTAAAGATTTATTAGGTTGTAAACTAAGTGTTGACGGCGTCAGGAAAGTTTCGAAATTTTGCTTACGTTTGGTGAGGGTGCGCTCTGTTTTTCCTGTTATGGGGAACACTTATCCGAAACTACAATAAAACGTTGGTTTCACAAATACAAAAATAAGGAGATTTCTCGACCTAGAGAGCTTGAAAATGCCGATATTCTTCGTCCCGAAAACCCCGAATTTCTTTGCGGCTGAGGTTGAATACTCTCATGTAACAGTTGAAAACCTCCTTACTATTGGTTTTAAACCGATTTACGGCCAATAGGTGTCCTACAACCTCACTGAGCCCATGAAAGGCCAGAGATCAGTTGCTGCTGCCCTTCCTTCCAGATAGGAAATCTTTCTTGCCGCGTATAGTGACAGGAGGTAAGAAATGGATTATGACTGCAAACTTTCAGATAAAACGATTATGGCTGAGACCTGGGGTTACATCAGCAAAGGATGTGCTCCCAGATCTCCACCAAAAGAAGTACATGCTATCGGTTTGGTGGGATCTCTTGGGTGTCATTTATTGAGAGCTTCTCGATAATAAGCAGACAATCAATGCTCTACTTTATCGAATTGAACGAAATGAGCCCCAAAAGAAGTGCATGCTATAGGTTTGGTGGGATCTCTTGGGTGTCATTTATTGAGCGCCTCTCGATAAAGTTTTCTTGGGTGTCATTTATTGAGAGCTTCTCGATAATAAGCAGACAATCAATGCTCTATTATACAGCAACCAGCTCAAAAAGTTTGAAGAGGAAAAAAAAAGGAAAAGGTAAAGTGCCCCAATTTGAAATTGACCCTTCTCCAACACGACAACGCCAGTTCACATGCGGCAAAGTTGACCCGCTGCACAATCCATGAGTTGAACTGGGAACTCTTACCCCACCCACCATATTCTCCTGACCTCAGTCCTACAGATTCCTACAGACTACAGACTACAGAAATTTTGGATTTAAAAGGAAACAATTTTCTCAATAGGTATTTTCTATTGAAATTTCAGTTTTTTATCGTCCTGGGACCTACCACGTGATACACTTTATCGAATTGAACGAAATGAGCCCCAAAAGAAGTGCATGCTATAGGTTTGGTGGGATCTCTTGGGTGTCATTTATTGAGCGCCTCTCGATAATAAGCAGACAATCAATGCTCTATTATACAGCGACCAGCTCAGAAAGCTTGAAGAGGAAATTAAGCTAAAGCGCCCCAATTTGAAAGAGGAATTTCGAAGTTTTATTATAGTCCTCTGGACCTACCACGTGATATACTTTATCGAATTGAACGAAATGAGCGGAGGATTGCACGTTGAAAGTAAAATCTTTCACTGGAGTGTCGACTTTGACTTTCCACTCGATCATTTGAAGGTGCTCTTCTATCACATAAAATCTGATTCGATAGCTAGAAAACTCGAATGAAATGAAACGAAAATTTGATTGGTTTTTGCACTCACGTTTCACCAGGAGCTAGTTTGTGACTCGGTATGAAGAGCTCTTCGGTGTAACTTTCCACTCCATTTTCATCGACCTACAAGATCGTACTTATTTTGCTAATCGTATTAGCTCATTTGACAATGAGTGACAATGTCCAAAAGTTTTTTTTGTGTCAGGGTCACTAACATTGTCACCGGCTGGAAAGTTTGGGTTCTTAAACGATAAGAGAGAATCGTTTGGACTGACGTAAAACCGTTTAAAACCGCTTTTAATAGGTTTTACCTGTTGATACCGGGTCGGTTCCTAACCGATTAAACGGTCGCTCGGCTCGATCTGTTCCGACTAAGAACCGAAGCTAATGGCTTCAAAAGTTTTCACCTTCAGATATGGTCTCTCGCCACAGGCCATCCTTTTTATTTCGTACGAAGAGGAAACTTTTTGTCTTCCAACAACGACATATCTTTCGTAATGCCATGTACAGGTGTAGTTTACAAAGTCGACTGCTATCGGGAGAATCGTTGCTGAAAGAACTTATTCTATCAAACAGATTCAGCCTAAGATGACCTTTTATTCTGATGGGCTCTCCTTGAAAAACAGTCAACACTTCGGCGTGTGGGGCAAACTACAACAAAGAATCAATTTTAAATTTAATCGAAATCCTACGTGCATTCTGTATAATGGGGAAAAGATTCGGAATGGAAACGTTTGCTGAGTCTTTGCATCCCATTTGTTGACCACTTTTTGAGGCCTGAAGTAAATTTCGAGAGAAAGGCAATAATCTTCTTACCAAGAACATGTGTATAGACCAGAATCGTCGCGTTTAACCTCCTCAAATATGACACTTAATGAGAAGAGCGTCGAATTCCCATGAATTTGCACACCTTTTTGAATCTTTGGCTGAAAATACTTTGTAAAATTTACTACGAACTTTTTCTTACTCCATCTTTTTGCCTGCATCGAGGACACTGCATTTGTAATTGGTTTTCAAATTGGCTCGTAGTATTGTCCAATCGAAGATCACATTGAACAGCAGTGACATTTTCTATATCGCTTGTAAATCACACCAACTATGCACTAGACATGGTTTCTAATTCAATATTCATCAGATCGGATCGGATCGAAACCCATTCGATCTGATTCGATCAGTCTGTGCTGATCTGATCAAATCATTGCTGAAAGTATATGATAAACAAACGGACGTTTGTTAAGCCCTCGTCTGGGAGAAAACCAGTCTGGGGTCGTCATTGACACAGAGTTCACGGGCATTGAAGCAAACTAAACAATTGGTTATAACAAAAATTCTAAATCAAAGACGCCAACCCGCACGAACCACTCGACTTCATCGCCCTTGGAAGCCACACAGCGGAAACGGCCACTACCCATCGGTAAACTCCTGTTCAGTTTCACCAAATCTATTTCGAAACCGTATCTTAAAGTAAACAGTGTTGTTTTAAGATGAAACAGTCAACTTACCGTGAGTCAAAGGTCACAGCATCTCGCTCTTTACTATCTTTCAGCCATTCCTCTCCGTCCACAAACAAAGAGGGCCAAACTGTCCAAGAGGACCAAGAACTGCGCGTATCGCGTATGATTTGCGCGTATCGACACGGAAGAAGAAATTTTGATGAGGTGACATCGAGTGTATAGGTTTTGGGCTTTAGAAATTCATATAAACCTTAAAATGAAGTAAAATTTGCAAAATGCAATGCTTTGAATTGAGTCTACCTTCCACAAAAACATAGAGATTATCACTGTCGTTTTCGTCGTCTAAACACGAGTATGTCCCGGTATCACTCTGTTTCAGGGATCGAATGTGAAACAATTGAGTCTAAAAATTTACACAAAGGTTTTTGAAAAACAACTTGATTTTACCCGTTCATCCTCTTTTTCGACAGTAACTCTCTTTCGGAAATCCTCTTCACTAAACCCTTCCAAATCGAGATTCGATTCAATTGGCACAATCCATCTACACAAGAAAATTACTTGTAGTTTCCAAAAACAATTTTTGACTAACAGCTTAAGATAACAGTTCGAAAGACAACAACATTTTCGTTAAATTGAATCAAATTCAGTTACCGAAGTTTATTACCAGTTGTGTTCTGGCATCGAAGACTCAAATTCTGCCCAGCTGACACTATGATCATATGATAGCTGAAAGCTTAAGTTAAATAGACAAGATCAAAAAACCTTCAAACAAACATTATCCTTATTTTGTGACCGTCAAAAATCACATCATGGTCAATCTCTTTGTCCACAGGCCCCGTGAAAATCGCGTCCACATTTTGAAAGAACAAGAGAAAAGGAAAGAGAAAAGCAGCAAAAAGTTTATTTTTAGGCATTCTTTCAATTGATTGAATCTTTTGCATTTTAATAAAGAGCTTTCTTTCTAACAAATAAATGAATAGGTAGTGGTAGAATAGGTTTTGGTTTCAAAATGATTTGTGAAACAATTTGTATTGAGAAGTAAAGTTCTTTGACTGCAAATCTTTTTTACTCTGTTTATCGGAAATCTAGTTTCGAAGAAAAGGTTGGAGAAAACAATTAAAGGAGGAAAGAAACGACAATTGTTCGAGATTGATTGTTCGAGAGGAAGTGAGTTGGAAGATTACTCACTTTTCTTTCCCACCAAAAGCTCAAGCTGTCCGTATTTACTTTGAGCAGCAAATTTCGATTCGAATCGAATTTCGGTCTAGAATTAGGTACCATTTCTTTTTAAGTCAACACATTTATCGGTTAACTTTAATGCAATAACAATTGAGCAACAGTTAACAAAATATTCCTAACAATAAAACAAAACAACAATTGAACAATACTTGAACAAAAAGTGACAAGAATTAGCGAAATTTGAACGATTTAGGACGTCCAGAATAAAAGTTAAAGCAAATTATTGTATTCATCGTCAGATGGCGCTTAAAGGCCTAAAATATACACAAATTATCAACTATTAACGCTTAAAAAATAAAAACTGACAAGAAAAATGATTTTGCAGTTAAAAAGAGAGGGAATACGCGACGCAACGTGGTGACGACAATTGAGCCAAGGAAAGCAACGTAGCGTCAAAAATTATCATTTAACAAAAACAAATTAACACTTAATTTTGTGACAGGTATTCAAAGTGACGTCGCAGTTCGAGTCGAATCAGTTCGCTTAATTTTAACCCTGTTCTGCCTCTCGAGCCTCTCGAGAAATTTGGGTTTGTGTTTTGAATCTAAAACCCTTTCGTTCAATCTCTTCTTTTTCTTGGCGAAACATTGGAGTTTATTCAATAAAACTAAGAAAAATGAAGATAAAAGTAATCGAAATCGTAAATCGAAAAGTATGATCAAGTTACATGAGAAATGAGAATTTGTGCGCCACGCAATGAGGCCACCGATCTTGGCCGCTCGTTTCTCGCCGATTCCCAAGATGCCACAGATCTCTCATTTGGTAAACGGCTACACCAAAAGAGTCCCTTCATTGCTTGAAGTGTCTTAAAAGGTTTCTTTCTTTCAATGATATCGAATTTGCAAACTTTAGCAAACTAACAATAACTTCTTATCTATTCGAAATTAATGGCCTTGTGTGTACCAACAACGTTTTTTATGTTCAGTCTCAATTAGACACAAGGTTTGAACAGTTTTAACAACTGGCAACTTTCAAAAGCTAAGCAATAACCCTCACCATCGGAAAACAAATGAGAATAGCGATTGTGGCCAAGACTCCGTAGCCAGTCGGTTGAAATTTGTTTGCAAGAAAATAAAGGCTCATGTTGAGAGGCGGAAGATTCAGAGTCGGGAAGAAGTTCATCAAATACCAGTACACTGTGAAGCTCACGTAGATGTACTTTGCTAAAAAGACTTCTTTTGATTCCCAAAAAAGAACACTCACGCAAAAGAATAACAATTTGAGTGAAAAAGTAAATTTTACATTTCTTTGATCTGATTTTGGCCTTTGGTCTGACTACTTTAGCTTGGTTCAGTTGGACCTCCAAATGGATTGAACCAACACGACCTGATCTGATATCCAGGGTGCGTCATAATTATGGGCCTGGGGGTGTCAGTTTTTAGGCTCTAACGATTCAGGCAGTTCTCCCGAAAAAATTTTAGGCGGTGCGCCTATAATTTTTTTGCCATCCTGTAAAACCTTTTGGTAATTTAGTTGTAAAAAAATCAGGCCAAAACCCCGGAAGATAAGATAAAAGAAACGTTTTTTTATTCAGACATTCAGACAGTCTTTTGAAATTGTTTTAGAGTTATTAAGTCTATTTGATCAGAATTTAAAGAACAACCTTAAGAACAACAATTTTAGCATCGCAGCAAAACTCAAGGCTTGCAGACAGAAACGCGAGTTGAAGAAGCACTAAGGAAGATCAAACATCGCCCAAAAGCCAATTGCCCAAAAGCGCACAGTTTTCTGCTATTCTTTGAGTATTTCGTTTTTCTTTATCTAAAAATGAAAACCGATTGTCTTTTTCTGATAGTATGCTTATTTTTCACTTTGGGATCAGCATTTGAAAGCATGTCTCATAAAAACCGTGATTCCGTTTTCGATTAAGTTCGTCGTTTGGCCAATCCAACATGCGCGCTTTGAAATCATAGATAACTTCTTTGATTAGAAAATGTTTAATTTACGATGACCACAATTCTTGGGCCAAAACTACAGTAGTTTTTGAAAGAAGCTATCAAAACTACAGTTAGAACGTAGCCTTGTAAAACATTACTCACGGTGTTACACTGTGGTGCAAAAGTCTTGTCCCACTTATCCACTTGTCCCAAAAGTCTTGTCCCACTTATGTCCCACTTGTCCCACATGCTCCATATTCTCCTGATTATACAGATTTCCACTTTTTCAAGTTCCTCGATTACTACTTATCGGAGAAATGCTTTGCTACTCAAGGGGAGATCGAAAATGGCATCAAGGAGTTTATCGATTCAATGGAGCCCGCGTTCTATACTTTAGGAATTTAAAAGTTAACCAAACGTTGGCAATCATGTATAGATTCTACTGGTTTTTACTTTGATTAAATTGCTTTTGAAATCCAAATTTTATGAACGTGGCTCCGTATCGAGAGAAAGTCATCCAAATATTCGGTCATTTGAGAAGAAAACGAGAAATCTACAAAATCCCCGATCATTCGAATGCTTCATCAAGGAACACCACGAAAGACACCCACAATAAGCAAATTTCAACTCAAATCACTTCACAATATGATCTAACTTAAGTTTTAGATAAAGATTACAACTTCCAACGGTTTATTGTTTTACAGGATGGCGAAAAAAATTATAGGCGCATCCTTTTGGTAATTTAGTTGTAAAAAAAATCAAGTCAAAGCCAAGGAAGATAAGATAAAAGAAACTTTTTTTTATGCAGACAGTCTTTTGAAATTGTTTTGACGTATTTTATTAAGTTAATAAGTTTATTTGATCAGAATTTAAAAAACAATCGTAAGAACAACAATTTTAGCATCCCAGCGAAACGCAAGGCTTGCAGACAGAAACACGAGTTGAAAAAGCGCTAAGGAAGATCAAACATCGCGCAAAAGCGCACAGTTTTCTGCCATTCTTTGAGTCTTTCGTTTTTCTTTATCTAAAAATGAAAATCGATTGTCTTTTTCTGATAGTATGCTTTTATTTCACTTTGGGATCAGCATTTGAAAGCATGTCTCACAAAAACCGTGATTCCGTTTTCGATTGAGTTTGTCGTTTGGCCAATCCAACATGCGCGCTTTGAAATCATAGATAACTTCTTTAATTAGAAAATGTCTAATTTACGATTACCGCAATTCTTGGGCCAAAACTATAGTCGTTTTTGAAAGAAGCTATCAAAACTACAGTTAGAACGTAGCCTTGTAAAACATTACTCACGGTGTTACACTGTGGTGCAAAAGTCTTGTCCCACTTACTTTTCTGAAACATTTTGTCAAAATTCTAAAAATTCTCAAAAACAACTTTTTAAGTAAAGAGGTTTTTCTGAACCCTAAGTTGTAAGCTTTCATATAAAAAAAGGTTTTAGATTTAAAAAATTTATTACCTAAAAGAAAATAACAAATAAAGTAAAATCAAAAAATTTATGGTGCAAAAGTCTTGTCCCACCATTAAAAAAGGTAAGCTAGATTAATATTTTGTCGGTCCTCCTTTAGCCAAAATCACTGCTTGAATAGGTTGAGGCATTGAATCGACCAAACCACGTAGAATTCCCGAAGAAATTTGTCGCCAAACGTTTCTGATAAAGAACCAAAGCTCGACCTTTGTGTTGAATATCTTGCCCCTGAGTTTAGTCTTTAAATGGGCCCAAAGATGCTCTATAACATTCAAATCCGGCGAATAAGGAGGCACCTTGATCAATTTTACACGATAAGCAGCAAAAACGCCGCGTAGGCGAGCTCTTCCTCCATTTGCAAGTCGGACAACTCGGCCCATCATTAGCTGGTTTTTGTGGCATGGAGCGTTGTCTCGATATAAGGCCCATCCTTGTGGCATGTTCGTGTTTGCAAATGGAAGTAAGTTGCTCTCTATCATTGACTTGTACCTTTGAGCGTCGAGATTTCCATTGATAAACACTAGCGGTCCCGATACACTTCGATTCATCGAGCCTAAAAAAGACAAATCTTAAGTGAAAAATAGGGTGAACACTTACCCCACAACATAACACTTCCATCACCGAATTTGACCGTGGGCTTAACGTATTTGAGCTTATAACGTTGTCCAATTGGTCTTCTGATTAAATGGTTACCGTCCGGGTAGTATAAATTAATTCTAGTCTCATCGGTGAAAATGACTCGGGCCCAGTCATCGGAAGTCCAACACTCGTAGTTCTTTGCAAAATCATATCTCAGCTTCCGAGTTTTTGCAATGGTCAAGGTGCAATGGTCGTTTTGCTGGTTTTCTTGCATGTAATCCTGCTCGAATCACGGACGGTTGATGCTCCATCGAGAAATATTTTTGTTAGACATGGCCTTCAACTTCATGATTCCATGGCTCGAAGTCAGATTCGGGTTGATTCTATGGCCAATGATAAGTGCTCGATCTTCAGTTTTTGTTGTAATCGGTGGACGACCACTTTTCGAAGCTCTATGAAGACTTTGGCCTGCTTCCGATTTTGCTGCTAGCCGATTCACCGTCCTTTTATTGCATTTGAAGAGCATCGCAATAGACGGTGATGAATATCCATATTTCCTTGCTTGCACGATTTTTTGCTTATCAGGAGTTGATAAATATTTGCATCTAAAAATATCTAAAAATAAAAAAAATATCGACATCTAAAAATAAAAATATAATACAAAAAATTCATGAGAACCAACGAAGGCAAAGAAAAAATACAAATTTTCTTAGTGAGACAAGACTTTTGCACCACCTTTTTTTCTCAAGTTACGAAAAAAAGGTTTTAAAAAATAACAAAATATTGGAGTACGGGCATTTACATAGTAAAAGATGAAGGGATAAGCTACTAAAAAAACCCGTTACTTAAAAAGTTGTTTTCGAAAAATTTTAGAATTTTGACAACATGTTTCAGAAAAGTAAGTGGGACAAGACTTTTGCACCACAGTGTATTAGCAAAAGTTATTTATTTTTCTAGCCGGAAAGTGCAACGAGGATCAACTCAAAAACGGATGCACCGATGAAGAGAAGTCGAACGGAGATGTGAGATCTGACCGTGCTCATCGTATTCGCCGCGCCTGTCCACCAAACTGTTGTGGAAAGTTTTGTGTTCTTTTTATTTATTCTAAGTCTTCTGTTTTTTTTCAAGTTTTCATGCTAAACATTACTTAAAGATTGAATAAAAAACAAACAACAAACAACATTTAATTACAACAAATCAAAAAAAAATCGTTTAACTTCATTTGATTTATAAACAACAATTAAATAAAAGATAAATGTTGTGATAAAAGATGAAAGATATGCGAAAGCTTTAAAAGATAACTTAAAAGCATTTAGTTTACTTTGTAAGGGTTTTTCATTGATCACGAAATATTTGAGAAGATGGTGGTGGTGAGATGACAGTGAGAGACGGATGGTGGTCAGAAAGAGAAAGAGAAAGATTTCTTGCGATTTTTTTCTTGCGATGCGATTCTTGCGAAATCAAAAGCTGCTTTTTATTGAAAGGCATTGAGAAAGTTGTTTTTCAGCTCGAAATCAATCAATTTTGCCGTCAATCAATTTTTCTTATACCTTAACACTATAATAAGAAGATTGATGGCGGGGAGAGACGAAAGAATAGAAAACACTTCCCATAGGCATTTGTTTAGCATTTCTTTCTCCTAAAAAGCTTCATTTTCCTTGTAGAAATTTTTTCATAAACCTCGTAGATCTTTCACTGCACTTTCTGGGCCTTTCACCAGCTGGACATCGACCTTGAACTTCATGTACTCAAAGAAAAGATCCAAAAATTTAAATCTACCATAGGTTTTCTTAAAGCAAAACATTTTCCCCTTTCTTTTTTGAATAATGAATTTGTTGCTTTTCTGTGAACTCTAGTTCAAAATCTAGAAATAGTTTTTGAATCGAAGTCTTAACAAGAATAAATAGTTTTGAACTATACGATGTCAGCGAGCAGTGTCAAGAGCTAACTAGGAGACTCATTCAACTTGAGAATGCTCTGGCTGCTACACAAGCATCTACAGGGTGCGGCAATATGTATGGTTATAGACTCAGAAACGTGTATCGTAATGAAAGATGAACGGATTCATGTAAACTTTATTTAAAATTAACAACAGTAACCGTATACATTTAAAAAATAACAAATTATTCAATATGGGCACCTTTATTCTTGATAACGACTTTAAGACGCTTTGGATAACTTTCCACGGCAGCCCGCAGGGTACTTTGTGGAATTTCCACCCAGGCTTTCTTCAGAGCCTTTTTCAGACTTTCAACGTCCTAACAACTCCTAACAAGCAAGAATAAATAGTTTTGAACTATACGATAACAAGCGAGCAATGTCAAGAGCTAACTGGGAGACTCATTCAACTTGAGAATGCTCTGGCTGCTACACAAGCATCTACGTGATGTAACTGATAGAACTAAATACATTAAAGAGACACCTCACCTCAAGGTTAAATGATTCTTTGACGAGCAAATTTTTGTAAAGAAATAGCTGTTAATGAGCATTTGAATACTCAGTAATACTCAAATATTAAAAAGAATTAACTTCAAATATTCATAGAATAAAAGGACTTGCTTACTTGCTTGCCACAAGTTGTTCTTTACAGATTTCCTAGTTAAAACCTGTTAAAAACTCTCTAAATTTATTAGAAGGCTAATGTTTTTCTTTCTTTAAATGTTCATTTAGTTAAGATATTAAAGAATCAACTAACATTTGCATTTCCTGGATTTCCATTTCTCCACTCAGAATAAGAGTTGAGTCGATCAACTTCACTCGCTAGCTTTCCCTCAATTTCTTCGGCTTTCCCCGGCAACACCATCTCGAGATGTTCTCGCATTTTTTGAACACAATCCTAACATTTGAAAAGTTCGATTGTCAGTGAAGTCACTCGTAAATCACCTTGAACAACGGTCTCTCTTTTGTCTTTGAATTCCAGCATTTCAGCATAAAGTTGTACCTATTGGGTTGGGGACTATGACTCGGCGGACAATATGTCATATGTGACAGTTTGAGCACTTTCTTCAAAAGAAACCCATTTTGGTGTCAATGGAAAAGTTGTAGAGAATCACAAATCAAGCTTATATTCAAATTTTCAGAACGATTCAAAAACTGGTTTTCAAGAAATGCGAAATTTACGAATTTTCACATAACTTGCATTTTAAGCGAAAGTGTATCTTATTGGAAATTTGGCTATAAGCCTAATTTTTGATTCTCTATAACTTTTCCATTAACACCAAAATGGGTTTCTTTTGAAGAAAGTGCTCAAACTGGGACATCTCCAGTCCTCGATTTTTGAGTCTCACACTTGTCTCACACACAAACCAAAATCCTACTACGAAAGAGGAATCCACAAATTGCCTGTAAAATGGGCAGAAGTCGTCAATAATAATGGAAATTATTTGGAATGAATTCATGGTTTTATGTTCAATAAATTTGCCTTTCTTTTGTCCGCCGAGTCATAGTCCCCAACCCAATAAAATGTCTTCTCTCTCCCTTAAACATTCCTTCAACTTACAGATCATCATGTACAAACTCGGGCTTCTTATTTCGTTCACCATTTCGAACTCGCGGATAAATTTCCTCGAGCGGAATTCCCGGATATGGACGATCGCCAAGGGTGAATAGTTCGTACAAAAGGATTCCGTACGACCAAACATCAGACTGCAAATTTACTTTAGTATATGTATTGGGTTGGGGACTATGACTCAGCGGCTAGTTTCCCAACACTCTCTTAAATTGTAAACAACAATCGGCTGCCTGCCATTTTGGCGAGCAGATAAGAACAGATCTATTCTCTCAAAAACAATGATGAATTTCCAAAAAGATACACTCAGCAGTTTCGCTTAAAATGCAAGCTTTGTGAAAATTCGTAAATTTGGCATTTCTTAAAAACCAAACATCAGACTGGATTACTACCATTACTTCAGAATCTTTCCCTTTATCCAAAATACTATAGTACTTTAGTATTTGTACTTTAGTATCCGTAAAATCTTCACATAAAACAATTGCACACCGCTTGTGTGTAATATCCGCTTTCAATCGATTCCGGACTCATCCACTGCAAAGGTAAAAGATCATTTTGATGCTTCCCGAAGTCTTTTCTAAAAATACCTTTTTATAATCAATAGTTTCTTCCGAACCGATAATAAGATTTGTTAGCACGTCTTGCCAATCCAAAATCAGCGATTCGACAAATGTTTTTCTCGGTGATTACTATATTTCTTGCGGCCAGATCTCGATGAATGCACTGAAAGGAAAGGATAGGCCTTTTCAAATGGTACTATGACCACTAGATGCAGCTTTTGATGCTCATTCCGAATCTGGTCTCAGATTTTGATCATCAAGAGATTTTGGAATCAAGAGATATTCGGCCTAGAAGAAAAGCCTTTTGAAGGTCTTGCTAAGCCTGTCAGCTAAATATCTCGCAATCCCGAGGTGTTCAGCAAAATCTAAACCCAGATTCGGAATTAGCATCAAAAACTGCATCTAATGGTCATAGTACCATTTGAAAAGGCCATTCTGACTACCCATTCTTCCCTCCTGAGAATTAAGGTTGACTTTTTGCGAGATGCAAAGCTTGGCAAAAAGGTCAAAAGTCAAGGAGCAAAATATGAGGTGAAAGTCAAATAATTTTTGGCTTGCTTAGCTTCTCTCATTAGGTCTTCGTTGAAGCTTCTTGAGGAACCATCTCAAGCCAGACTTACCGGGATTTCACTCAAAAACTCCATTCCGCTAGCGATTTGCATCGCAAACGATAAAAGGTCGGATGTCGAGCATAGAAATGTCTGGAATATTAAAATCTCATTCAATTTCGTTTCTCTTCAAAACTTTTAGAAACCTGAACAATTGGTGTCTTCTCGTGTCCATCATGCTTTTCGTCTTGACTTTCAACTTGAGTCCACTAAACAATTCGAATTCAAGCTAAAAAACAAGATCATACCGGAATATAGCTGTCAGTAACTACATCCACAGACATTTTCCTAATTATTGACAATTCAACCTAAACAGTTTTTAGCTTTTTAGCGATCGTTTTCCTACTGTGTTTCCTCTATTTTTGCGATCCGGCTTCATGTATTCACTGTTTTGAGCCTGAAATGTTGGTTTTACAAGAGACGGTCAATAGGGTGTGGATGGCCAAATGACATGAGCCATATACTAACCGACTTAGAATTTTGCGCTGATTCTGAATCTGCTTTCTGTTTTTCCACCGCAGCACTCTGTAAAGAGTTATAAGCGTTGAAAGTTTTGTATGGACCTTGAATTTATAAGTTGACTTACCAGAGGGGAAAAGATTTTGTGGTGGCCGAGTGGCAGTAGGTTTGAATAAGAGGCGAGGATTCTAGGGTTCGTGTTTGACTTGCTCTTGTTTTTGCTTCTTTTAACTTTGAATAGTTTGACAAGGGAGGACCTTTAGGTCAGCATCTGGGATTGAGCTGAGGCCAAATCGATCTTATAGAAATCGACCATGAACATCCCGAATATGTTTATAACATTTGCTCTCGTTCGCCCAAACGCATGATATTTGGCACGGAAGTTTTAGCACTTACCTTATAAAAGTCCCTCACGCGTTGGAAGATAGTGCTATTGTGGTCTAGTGGATAAACGTCTTGTATCAGACGACTAATACTAATACTGGTTGGACTATTAGTAGATTAAAGCAAAAAGCTTTGCAGCACAAGGATTAGAACCAGCCGCAAAACAATCAAGGATCGTCCGATACATACGCTTATCCATTAGGCCACGGCCGCACTCTTTTCCAACATGCGTGGGACTTTATAAGATAAGTGCTAAAACTTCCGTGCCAAATATCTGGCGTGCTGCGGTGCAAAAACACGCTTTTAACTTTTGGCAGAGTGCTGTGGTGGAAAAACGGAGAGCAGATTCGGAATCAGCGCAAAAGTCTACGTCGATTAGTATATGGCTTATGTCATTTGGCCCTCACACCCTATTGACCGTCCCTTGTTAGTAATAATTCAAATACTAACCTTTCTAAATAATTACTAAATAATTCAATTACTAACCTTTCTCAATTCATTACAAAATGTGTTGCGTGTGAGGTTTTTCAGAAATTTCTCGAGACTCCCATTGGCGCATAGCTCCGTGACAACACAGAGACGACCACTGGATTTACAATGTGCGTTCAGAATCACATATCAAGTTTGGTTCCGGTCAAGATATTAAGTACTTACCTAGTCAGATGATCGGTGACTGCTCCAATCAGAGTGAGCACATTCGGATGCGGTGGAATTAAGGACATCAACTTCAGCTCGTCGGCCAACATTTGAATGTTGATGATGTGTTGTCGGATTGAGGCCGCGTGAAATGGTTCCTATAGCAATGTTTGAGAATCTTTTGTCAAGAAGTTCACCTTAACAGCGACCTTTAAAGTTGGTGTTTCGGAAGTGAAATTATTGATTTGATTTGGTTTCTTCAAGAATCCCATTGAAACTTTCCCGAACTGTCCACTTCCCAACTATAAAAAGTCTAAAGATTCAGATAAACTTTTTACCGTTTTTCGATCAGAAATTTGAAGATCATCACATGAAATTTCAAATTTCGAACGATCGTAAACGATTTGATTGATTTGTTGATCGAGGGGAATCTGCTTGTTTCGATCTTGAGCTGGAATGGTTCCTCCGTTTATTAAATCATCGTACAGCACTCGGAAAGCACTAAACAAAGAGCTTTTGAATACGATATCAATTTACTACAGACTTTTCTTGATTTCGAGCTCGAGCTTTCTGTCTTCTCCACAAAATAACAAAATTGAGCACACATGCGAGCTAGATGAGAATGATGATGATGATGGAGAGAGCCACGTATGCAAGCATTAGACGACTTTTTTTATCGTCTTTGACCTCTTGGTTAATGCTGACCTACATTTCCGTGGGTTGCTGTTTATTCGTGATTAGCTGCGACCGAAAAAGTGGAGCAAAGTATGTTATAAACTCTCTGACAAGGGAATGATCGAATCTGGGCGGACAATTTTGCTAAGCCGTTGAGATTCAAACGCCTATCGTGCATGGGGAAAACGATGCTCTATTTATTTTTGCCCATTCTCAATGGTTTAGAGGTAAGTGCGCTCGCTCTTAATCTCAATTTCGCCTGTCTTAACCCTGGCTCGGATCCGGCTGTGAACATTTTTTAACTTTCTTTTGCTAAAATTTTAAAAACACTTGATTTATTTTAGAACTTTACACAAAATCAAAATTTAACGGAAAGAAGACCAGACCTAGATCCGCACTTTTGTTCATTTTCGGAGCTTTTGGGTATCACTTGTCCTTTAAAATTATTATTGGACATTCTAATTTTGTGACACTTTATTGTCAAACCAGAAGCTTCGCAGTAAAAAAAAGCAAGCTGGCGAACCCGCGACCTTTTTCTTCCGTTCGTTTAAAAGACGCGCGCGTTAACCACTAGCCAGTAGATGACGCGGTGCGAGCGCACTTGTCTCCAGCCCACATGATTCGGGTTCGACTCCCGCCCGCGATCGGCACTTTTGGTTTTTTTAAAAATTTAAAAACATGTTGCATAACTACATGAAATTCTAAGCCAAACTAACTATAAGTTATTTGAAACGGCCTACTGGGCGTGGAGGAGTGGTGCGCACAGACAGACAGACGTCTTAGTTCTTTATATATAGTAGATTATTGTGCGTGCTAACCCTAGTCATCAGGTTAGCATAATAGAGACCCCTTGTCAGTAGATTGGGTTGGTTTGAACTGGCTTGGAGGCTCAAACGATGATTGTTTCTAGAATCGAAGCAAACCAAACCGATGTTCATGTAAATTGTTAAGTGGATAAGCTACCGTATAAATGTACCGTATCGGACAAATGAACGAGTCTCATCTGAGGCATCGCTCCCTTATTACCTCAAGAGTGATACTCCGTCGCACTTCTCCCACTCGATTCTTCCCAACACATTCATAGACTCCACTATCATCGGTGTCGACTTTAGGAAGAACAATTGAAGCATTTACACTATCTGTCATTGCAATCCCATTCTTTGACCTTTAACCATTCAGTGTCTTCTACTCACTTCAAACAAAGTTTTCTCTTGTAAACAACAAACCATGAAATGAAAGGAGGCGGATCTCCACTCATTTTGCAGTCTAATAGATAGCTTTCTCCAGCTTTTATAGGAACTATTTCTCTTCCACAGCCGAGAAATACGGGTGCCATCATTTCATGAATCTATAATAGACAATTTCAAATGAAAAAAAGTCTCAAACCTCAAGCCCGATTGTTTGATTAAGCTCCTGTCCGGTTTCAGTGTTTCTTGCAACGCAAATGTACTCACCAGAGTTATTTGTCGAAATATTCTATGATTGGAGTTTGAGGAGAAAGCTCCATTTGTAGTATGAATTGGCTTAAACCACAAAAATAAAAAGAGCAAAAAAAGATCGAGCTCTAAAATCAAGCTCTGGCTATTTGTATTCACTGCCATTTTTAAGATTTTCTTTGCTCATTTTTTGATTTTCAAACAAACAAAAAACCTTGATTGTCATTTTTAAGAGCACTGAATCGCCGACAATGCTTTGCACAATGCTGCTTTCATCTAGCACTGTCTTGTTGTGAATCCAAAACATTGAGCTGTAAATGAATAAATTTAAGGAATCTTTTGTTAACCAACATGCCAGCCAACATGTGAACTCGGCAAAATAGTGTGATATCATCGCCCCGATAAATTCTGCTCTAAAAGAACTTTGCAAAGAGATTTCAACAAGTATCCAACCGGATCCTCGCCGCTAATTTCTGGATCCTTTTTTATCCAAACTGCTGGACGTTGACCAGCGACTCGGAGATGAAATGAACCTTGTTGGAAGGTATCCTAGAGGTTTGAATTTGAGAAAAGTTTCCTTCTAAACGAAACAATTTTGCTGCAAACAACAATGAGATCCTGGTGAAGGGTCGTGTTCCAAAAAACGTCATCCGCTCCGGTCACACTTGTTGCTGAGACGATTTTATTTGATCTTAAGAAGTCATTACTTTCACCTTTTCTCATTGTTACCGTTGATAAAATAAGTGAAGTTTTTCGTCCCAAAAAACGTGTGGCCTCGAATGACAGCTAAGTTGAATCTTTGCGCCAATCTAAAGATTTATTGGGTTATAAACTAAGTGCTGAAGCCTTCAGGAAAGTTTTTTTGGAGTTATACCAGCAGAGGATGTGCTCCCAGACCTGCCCTAAAAGAAGTACATGCTGTCGGCTTGGTGGGATCTCTTGGGTGTCATTTATTGAGAGCTTCTCGACAATAAGCAGACAACCAATGCTCTATTATACAGCGATCAGCTCAAAAATCTTGAAGAGGAAATTGAGGTGAAGCGCCCCAATTTGAAAGAGGCCATTCTCCAACACGATAACGCCAGTTCACATACGGCAAAGTTGACCCGCTCCACAATCCATGAGTTGAACTGGGAACTCTTACCCCGCCCACCATATTCTCCTGACCACACTCCTATGACCATCTTTTCCAATCGATGCAACATGCCCTGGATGGAGAGCACTTCCAAAATGAACAAGGCCTCAAAAAGTGGCTCCAAGAGTATTTTGATTTGAAACCAAGAATTTTCTATGACAGGAGAAGCCACCAATTGTCAGTAAAATGGGCGAAATTCATTGCAAAGAATGAAGACCATTTTGATTAAACTGTCAAGACTTAGTTTACAATCTAATGCAAATGCAAAAGCTAACAATTTTGGATTTAAAAGGAAACAATTTTCTCAATAGGTATTTTCTATCAAAATTTCAGCTTTTTATAATCCTCTGGACCTACCACGTGATACATTTTATCGAATTGAACGAAATGAGCGGAGGATTGCACGTTGAAAGTAAAATCTTTCACTGGAGTGTCGACTTTGACTTTCCACGTGATCTTTTGATAGTGCTCTTCGATCACAAGAAATGTGATTTCATAGCTAGAAAACTCGAATGAAATGAAATGAAAATTTGATTGCTTTTTGCACTCACGTTCCACCAGCAGCTAGTTTGTGACTCGGTATGAAGAGCTCTTCGGTGTAACTTTCCACTTTACCTTTTTCATCGACCTACAAGATAGTACTTCTTTTACTAATCGTTTTAGGTAATTTGACACTGAGTCTAAAATCTTTTTGTGTCCGGGTCACTAACATTGTAACCGGTTCGAAATTTATCCGTTTACTTTCGTTCGGGTTCTTAAACGATAAGAGAGGATCGTTTTGACTAACGTAAAACCGATTTTAATAGGCTTTACCGGTTGATACCGGGTCGGTTCCTAACCGATTAAACGGTCGCTCGGCTCGATTTGTTTCGATTAAAAACCGAATCTAATGGCTTCGAAAGTTTTCACCTTCAGATATGGTCTCTCGCCACAGGCCATCCTTTTTATTTCGTACGAAGAGGAAACTTTTTGTCTTTCAACATCGACATATCTTGTGTACGACCATATACAGGTGTAGTTTACAAAATCGGCTGCTATCGGGAGAATCGTTGCTGCAAGAACCTGTTCTGTCAAACAGATTCGGTCAAACAGATTACCTCTTATTCTGATGGGCTCTCCTTGAAAAACAGTCAACTCTTCGGCGTGTGGGGCAAACTACAACAAAGATTCAATTCTAAATTTAATCGAAATCCTACGTGCATTCTGGATAATGGGGAAAAGATTCGGAATGGAGACGTTTGCTGAGTCTTTGCATCCCATTTGTTGACCACTTTTTGAGGCCTGAAGTAAATTTCGAGAGAAAGACAATAGTCTTCTTACCAAGAACATGTGTATAGACCAGAATCGTCGGCTTTAACCTCCTCAAATATCACACTTAATGAGAAGAGCCTCGAATTCCCATGAATCTTTTTGACATCTTTTTGAATCTTTGGCTGAAAATACTTTGTAAAATTTACTACGAACTTTTTCTTACTCCATCTTTTTGCCTGCATCGAGGACACTGCATTTGTAATTGGTTCTCAAATTGGCTCGTAGTATTGTCCAATCGCAGATCACATTGAACAGTGAGATTTTTTCCTATATCGTTTGTAAATATCACCAACCATGCACTAGACATGATTTCTAATTCAATATTCATCAGATCGAATCGAATCGAATCCCATTGGATCTGATTCGATCCGATCCAGTCAATTCCGATTCGATCCTTTCCGTCCGAACCGAAACCATGTCTACCATGCACTGCAGACTGATACTTTTACAATCTGTGAACAGTAAATCATTGTTGAAAGTATATAATAAACAAACGCACGTTTGTTAACCGCCAAAGCAATAGCCTCCAGTTCTGGGATCGTCATTGACACAGATTTCACGGCCATTGAAGCAAACTAAACAATTGGCTATAACAAAATTCTAAATGAAAGACGCCAACCCGCACGAACCACTCGACTTCATCGCCCTTGGAATCCACACAGCGGAAGTGGCCACTACCCATCGGTAAACTCCTGTTCAGTTTGACCAAATCTATTTCGAAGCCGTATCTTAAAGTAAACAGTGTTGTTTTAAGCGGAAGCAGCCAACTTACCGTGAGTCAAACGTCACAGCATCTCGCTCTCTACTATCTTTCAACCATTCCTCTCCGTCCACAAACAAAGAGGGCCAAACTGGCCAATGACCGATTTGCGCGTATCGACACGGAAGAAGAAATTTTGATGAGGTGACATCGAGTGTATAGGTTTTGGGCTTTAGAAAATCATATAAACCTTAAAATGAAGTAAAATTTGCAAAATGCAATGCTTTGAATTGAGTCTACCTTCCACAAAAACATAGAGAAAATCAGTGTGGTTTTTGTCGTCCAAACACGAGTATGTCCCGGTATCACTCTGTTCCAGGGATCGAATGTGAAACAATTGACTCTAAAAATTTACACAAAGGTTTTTAAAGTCAACATTATTTTACCTGTTCATCTTCTTTTTCGACAGTGATTTTCCTTTTAGAAATCCTCTTCACTAAACCCTTCCAAATCGAGATTCGATTGAATTGGCAGCATCCATCTACACAAGAAAATCAATTGTACTTTGAAACAACAGTTCGAAAAAAAGCAACATTTTCGTTAACTTGAATCCAATTCACTTACCGAAGTTTATTAGCAGTTGTGCTCTGGCATCGAAGACTTAAATTCTGCCCAGTTGACAGTTCGACCCAACGATAGCTAAAAGCTTAAGTTAAATAAACAAGATCAAAAAAACCTTTCCATTTTATGGTAATGGACATAAATATTTTCATAGTTATACACGAGAATCTCTTTGTCCACAGGCATCACCGTCAAGCTCGCGTCCACACTTTGAAAGAACAAGAGAAAAGGAAAAAAAAAAGCAACAAAAAGTTTGTTTTTAGGCATCCACCTACTTTCAATTGATTGAATCTAGAATTTAATAAAGAGCTTTCTTTCTAAACGAATAAATGAATGGGTAGAATGTGGTAGAATAGGTTTTGTTTGCAAAATGATTTGGGAAACAATTTGTATTGAGAAGTAAAATTCTTTGATTGCTAATCTTTTTTACTTTATTTATCGGAAATCTAGTTTCGAAGAAAAGGTTGGAGAAAACAACTTAAAGGAGGAAAGGAACGACAATTGTTCGAGATTGATTGTTCGAGAGGAAGTGAGTTGGAAGATTATCCACTTATCTTTCCCACCAAAAGCTCAAGCTGTCCGTATTTATTTATATTGAGCAGGCAGCAATTTTGAGGAGCAAATTTCGATTCGAATCGAATTTTGGTCTAGGATCTTTTAGGTACTATTTTTTCATTAATCCTTTCATTACATTACTTCATCACTCCAAATTTTCAGAACGATTCAAAAATGGTTTTGACTTATTGACAATTGACAAGAAAAATGATTTTGCAGTTAAAAAGAGAGCGAATACGCGACGCAACGTGGTGACGACAATTGAGTCAATTGGAAAGCAACGTAGCGTCAAAAACTATCATTTAACAAAGACAAATTAACACCTAATTTTGAGACAGACGTTCAAAGTGACGTTACAGATTGAATCGAATCGGTTCAGTTAATTTTAACCTTCTTTTCAAAGCCTCTCGAGAAATTTGGGTTTGTGTTTTGACTCTTTTGTTAAATCTCTTCTTTTTCTTGGTTAAACATTGGAGTTTATTCAATAAAACTAAGAAAAATGAAGATAAAAGTAATCGAAATCGTAAATCGAAGTCGTAAATCGAAAAGTATGACCAAGTTACATGAGAAATGAGTATTTGTGCGCCCTGCAACGAGACCACCGATCTTGGCCGCTCGTTTCTCGCCGATTCCCAAGATGCCACAGATCTCTCGTTTGGTAAACGGCTACACCAAAAGAGTCCCTTCATTGCTTGAAGTGTCTAAAAAGGTTTCTTCACTCCAACAATATCGAATTTGCAAACTTTAGCAAACTAACAATAACTTCTTATCTGTTCGAAATGGCCTTGTGTGTACCAACAACGTTTCTTATGTTCAGTCTCAATTAGACACAATGTTTTAACAGTTTTAACAACTGGCAACTTTCAAAAACTAAGCAATAACCCTCACCATCGGAAAACAAATGAGAATAGCAATTGTAGCCAAGACTCCGTAGCCAGTCGCTTGAAATTTGTTTGCAAGAAAATAAACGCTCATGTTGAGAGGCGGAAGATTCAGGGTCGGGAAGAAATTCATCAAATACCAGTAGACCGTGAAGCTCACGTAGATGTATTTTGCTAAAAAGACTTCTTTTGATTCCCAAAAAAGAACACTTACGCAAAAGAATAACAATTTGAGTGATGACGATTTGTTTTGTGGTCGATGTCCACAAATGTTTCCTTTTCAAATTACCCGACGTTTTCAATCTGTAAGTGAACAGTAAGGCTTTACTAACTAAATCAGGACTTGGAAGTAAATCTTACATTTCTTTAATCTGATTTTGGCCTTTGGTCTGAGCATCGCTTTAGCTTGGTTCAGTTGGACCTCCAAATGGATTGAGTTCTCCCGATTTTGATGATGAGTCAAGCATCGATTTACGCTTGGAGACAATGCCAATTACCGTAAGATCATTAATAGAGGCTGAAGGTCAAGTATTAGGTACGGAAAAATTATTGTCGTATTTGTGGGTCTCACTTTCCGGCGTTGCCTACGCGGCTGCAAATGCTTATTGACCTTGGATCTTTTTATGTATTTAAGTATTTTTTTCTCAATTTTCTTTTCTATTTAACACTTTTGCTTTGACCTTCCTTAATGGTCTTTTTCAGGTTGTTTTACATCGATGGAAAATCGACACTTTCGCCTCCTCTTTTTGTATGAGTTCAAGCTTGGCCACAATGCGTCAGAAGCGACCCAAAACATCTATCAAGCTTTTGGGGAAAACAAAGCTCAAGCTCAAGCAGTTCAGCGCTGGTTCAAACAATTACGCGGGAAGGCGACGAGGATCTTAATGACAAGGAAGGCCGCGGACCCCATGATAGTCTCGACAATGACGAATTAAAGGAGCTGGTAGAAGTGGATCCCAGAACAGCGGAGGCAGAATTAGTAACGCACTGTGGAGTCACTCCACACACAATTGGGAACCATCTCAAGGAAATCGGGAAAGTAAAAAAAGTTGAAAAAGTGGGTGCCTCATCAGTTGAACGAATGTCAAAAATTGCACCGTTACCTCACATCGTATTCTTTGCTGTTTCGTAACCAAAAGGAGCCATTTCTGGATCGAATTGTAACTTGTGATGAAAAATGGGTCCTCTATGATAACCGAAAACGTAAAGCCGAATGGCTAGATAAAGGACAACCACCGAACCACTTTCCGAAGCCCGACCTACACCCAAAGAAGTTTCTTCTCAGTGTTTGGTGGTCGCAGAAAGGTCCGATCCATTATTCAATTCTACCAAACGGAAAAACGATGAATTCTGATCAGAATATTTGTGACGTCCGAATCTAAGGAGATTCATTCTCCTCGGATCTTGAGAACAAATAGTTTAAATGCAAAATCCAATGTTTTGAACAAAACACATATATTCAGATTCAAATTTTCCTTTTTCTTTCAAATTCAAAGGTGAAATTGATGTGATTGTGCTTTTTCAAGTTCTACTAAAGCTAAATTGTTGAGACCAAAACTGAGATAATTGTTGTGACCTTAGTGTTTGGTTCTTGTAACTAAAACAAATGCAAATTCTAAAATGAACTGTTTTAGTATACTTGTGCTTTGAACAGCTCATAATGCTAATTATAAGATGGCTCTCATTCTCATGGCTCTTATAAGATGGCATAGACTGTCTCTCGTGAGCAGGCTTTTTTTTCTCTGATTGCAAACTTAAACCCAAAAAACAAGCACAATTTACAAGCAAGACTTCAATTTTTCGGTTAACGATTTTATTCTCCGATTCAAAATTCGGAAAACCAAAAACAAGTGAAAGGAAGAGTTTTTGTTCTAAAGTTCTCTGAAAGTTAAATTAGAAAGTCCCCAGGGATATAGTTTACCCTCAAAATATTGCCTAACAAATTCCGATTCCGATTTACCACGAAAAATCAGTGATCCACCGGTAATTGAACATGCAAAAAGTACTCACGAAAATAAAACGTTGAACCCAACTTTAAAACTTTACTCTTTCATCATTTCAGAATAAAGATGCCACTTCAATTCTACGATTGGGCATCAATCCTTTTTGATGTATCAATTCCATTCGCTGTTCTCGGAGATATAGCCATTTTTGTAGCTTTCGGAAAGCGGACTAATACACTTTGCCCGATTTTTCTTCGCTCAATCAGAAATATTGGTTTGTTTTAACGGGGGATTGATCTTGATTTAGAAATCATTAGCCAACCAGACGCTAGCTTATTGTTAGTAGCTTTTATGTCTAGAAATCGCTGAAGAAGTAACCTTTTCAGTTCTAATCAATTTCTTTCTTTATACCGAACAACTGCTTATAAGAGAGCCCGCCAACTTTGGCTACTTTTATCAATTCTACATTGAGAATGGATGGTGGATTGGAAAGATAGTCCTTATGAATACTGCAAGTGTGTTCTTTCGAATATTTATTTTCATTTTCTTCTACAACTTTTTTACACCAAAGATTTTCAGTTTGGCCAGTGATTGGAGTAGTTTTCCAATTCGAGATTGCTGTTTCGAGATTTTGGGCAATCTGGGCACCGATTTCTTATCATAAGGTGGAAATCTTTAAATAAAAAACGATAAACTGTTGAAAATGCATTTTCAGCTTTGGAAAACTTCAATCACAAGCTACATCACAGTGTTCATTTGGGCTATCGGCTTCTTGCTGTCTCTGCACGTGTGCCTTTTTGTTCAAACTGGTGCCTACAGTCAGAACGGACTCGTAAGTAACAATTCTACTCACTTAATTCAAAGTCATTTTATTTTTCTTTACAATACGCGTTCAGGCGATCGGCAACTCTCTGGCATTTAAACCGATTGTTCCAAACTTTCTGTATACAATCATTTTGGTTTACGTGAACGGGTTTCTCATCACTGCTATCACTTTTTCCTATCTCTCTACGACAGTCGTTTTGTGGAGGTAAGAAAAAAAAACAATCTTTTCATCAAGTTCATCAAGGAAATCTTTTCATCAAGTTTTGTCAAATCTTAACAATTCATTGCCTGTAAGCAGATTATTCTTCACAAGCCAACTAGGCTTTCCAGTATACAGGATGTGTCATAATTATGGACCCAGATAAATCAGTCGGTACTAACCGAAAAACAAATCACCCAAAGATAGCAAGAGACGTGGGCGGAAGGCGTCAACTGTGGCACGCAAGTAGGCAACATCAAGCTCGTCCAATGCTTTAAGGAGCGCTTTCTTCAACGAGTCAAATGTTCGATGTGGTTTAGCATATGCCTTCGCTTCTAAGATTTACCAGGCTAAGAAATCAAGCGGATTAAAATCCGGCGAGCTTGGATGCCACTCGTTGAATGAGATGAAGTCGGGTAGGTTCTGCTCACACCAATCCTGAACCATTCGAGACTTGTGAGTCGATGCTCTATTGTGCTGAAATACCCAGCTACGTTGTCCAAAATGAGATTGAGTCCAGGGAAAAACGTCTTGTCGTAAATATGCTTGACTGTTGAGCTTGACTCTTGATAACACGAAGACAAGAGAAGTCTTTCCATCCACCGTGATCCTTGCCCACACTATGACTGAAGCTGGATGAATAACGCGCGATTTTTGTGGGTTCGAAATGGCATAAATTCGGTCATTCTACTTGTTTAGCACTTGTCCAACGTTGAATAA